TAAAAAATTTAAATCCGTTTTCAAGACACCATTTATCCGTTTTGTTTAAACACAACTGCAGTTGCCGTTCTCGAACTGAGCCATTGAACACAGAAATGCATCCAACATTTGACGTCAGACATTTTCTTATTGCAAAAGTGACCCTCACAGCTATGGAGTTAATAGCCTAAAATATACCTATCATCTTAGTGTGTGAACTTATTATACTTTTTAAATGTCTCAGAAGGTGTCCTTATCGTCAACATTTACATCGAGAATCCTAACAATTGAAGTACAAATCACTTATGGAGAGCCCCTTGAAATAGGTAAAACATTCGTTCAACGTATTTAATTAATTGCAATGTTGACTGCAAAACTGAAGGACATATCCTACATGCACACATGAAAATATTCAGAATTCTCGGCTGACAAATGAAACAGTAGATGGGTTCTCAAGCTCGGTTGCTGGTTAGGATATTATATATTATATATTATATTGCATGTTATAAAAATGACACTGAAAATGAGTCTTTCCTGTGCTGAGTGAACTTCATTGTTACAGACATAGACAATAAAAATGATTTTCTTTCTCTTTTTTTGCGTTCAATGTGCCTCCGATAGCAGTTTATAAATACGGCCCGGGCTTCGATATGGATTTGTCAATAGCCATGACCATGGACATAGCACATAAGTAAATAAATATATAAGCTGTGAAGCACAGACATGTGCTCCAGATTAATGTCAGTCAACGTATCATTCATACAATAAGAATCCTAACAACTGGACATTCAGAATATTTTATATCCATTGCCTCTGGAAGTCTAGAGCCTCTGTCAACATGTGTAACACACATCATTTGTAACACACAGCATACCCTGTAAACATAGGTTTCATCATCTGTAACACACATCATACTCTGTCAAAATAGGTTTCATCATCTGTAACACACATCATACTCTGTCAACATAGGTTTCATCATCTGTAACACACACCATACTCTGTCAACATAGGTTTCATCATTTGTAACACACATCATACTCACCAGTCGTTCCACTTGTTGTGGTTGTTCCACTTGTGGTTGTTGTTCCACTGGTCGTAGTTCCACTAGTTGTTGTTCCACTGGTCGTAGTTCCACTAGTTGTTGTTCCACTGGTCGTAGTTCCACTAGTTGTTGTTCCACTTGTTGTGGTTGTTCCTATTAAATGTACACACATATATGCTCGCGGTCTTTATTTACATACATTTAGAGGTTTTCTAAAAGTAAATGTTTGTTGCCTTCCCAGCGGAAGGTTTTCACTATTCAGAACTAGCTTAAATATACATTAACAAATGGTTAAAGATCAGCATACCAACATTTATTTATCCCTGGCGAGACATTGATTGACCCCGGTGTCTTGAATTCTCTCAGAATATCAATAGCTTCCAAAATTCCAGTGAGTTTTTCACAAATTAGAAAAATATTGTGTCAATTATTGGAAACAATTTCCTTTGAAACCCGTGGGTGATTTTGAGTTTGTACAAATGCTTTTACATTTAGTGTGCTGTGGCTGATTAATACTAAAGCTGTATATACCCCTTATCCCTGTCCACACGTATCAACGCATGGAGTTAGCCAGTCAACAGAAGTAGTAACACTTCCAGATGACGTTTCTAAAGTCTTCCAAATTACACACTGAAATTGCTAACTGAATCGATGACGAAAACCCGCTGACATTCTCTATCTATGTGTACTCATGCCTAATTATAGACTGTACTTCCTTATTTGCAACATTTCTCTTTTCAGAAGTATGATATAACACAATTATTATGGAAGGAAACTGGTCAGATTCAAAGTTTGATAAAACATATGTTCTGTTAATCGAGAAAGGTCAAACCCTTGTATGCTAAATCATAAAGTTCTGAAACACATATGCAACAGTTCACAAAGCGTGTAACTACTATCGTTGTTATCATAATTGGAAATATCCCTATGAAAGAATGAATAAACAACAGCGTTTTCAGGTTCCCTGCATACATAGATATAGTTACTCATGTGTTATTAATATCTTACAGATAATATATTATCACCAAAGACAATAAAGTCTCTAAAGGTACCTATTGCATGAGTTAAGCCATTCAACATTTCAACATCTTAGATTTACGCATCACGTTTCATAGATATTATTGCCTTCAAAACACTTTATCACAAGAATTCCAAAAGTGTTTAAGTTAATGCCATACTACGACACTTTCTAAAACTTAAAAGAAACAAATGAGCTAGGAGCAAGACACAGAGCAAGAGTAAACACGCAAAATATTAGGAGCCCATCAGTTATTCATCTTTCACATTATTTCGAAATTCGAAAATATTATATCCTTGTAAAAGAAATAGACAAATTAATTGAAAAGTTCCTTCCTAGTTTTCCAACAAAAGTAATAACAACTATTCCATAAACAAAAAGATTGTTCCATTATGTACAAACTAATGTCTACTCAGCTATTGTAATCAAATATTCTCACAACACGGTTTGTATCAATCAGATCTTTGATTCTTTTCGTGAAGTAACTAACAAACGGCATATTTGTGAGAGATGGGACTGATGATATCCTATTACTTCTGTTTGCTGATGATGTAACATTAGCAGATGACACTGTTATTGGTTTGCAGAAGAAACTTGATTTGTTAGCAACGTATTGTGATAAATGGGGTTTACAGGTAAACTTGGATAAATCCTGCATCGTCGTGTTTAGAAATGGAGGCTATGTTAAATACACACTGAGAATGGACGTATGCTAGGGAAAAGGTTAATGTTGTATCATATTATAAATATTTAGGTATAATGTTCTTATCAAGACTTGTGTGGTCAACGGCATGTGAAACGTTAGCCAATCAAGCTAAAACGGCCTCCTTTCGCACTTGGCAGCGTATTAAGAAATATCCTTTAATCCCACTGAATATAATTACTCAAATATTTGATACCAAAATAGCACCCATACTGTTATATGGTTCTAAAATATGGGTTATACAGTAAGAGAAATTATTGAAAAGATACACAGCTCTTTCTTGGAGAAATACCTTGATGTCAGTAAATATGTATCTTGTAAAGCTATACTTTATACTTTATACAAGGCTATTAACCCATTCGACGTCGTAGGCCGGAAAACCGGCAAGACGTCACCAGTCCCCGACACCGTAGGCCGGAAAACCGGCCAGGCAGTAGTCGCATTAAAATGATATATAATTTTAGGAACCTAACTAAGATATGATTCATTTATCAAATCTATCACTTTAAATAATGCCTGAAAACACTTATTACATTTCAAATGGCCATATATAATCGACAGAATTAGAATTATATACTATTTTTCGCAATGTTATTGAAAACAACGATTCTTGGACACATGCTTCGGCAACGGGTCCACATCAGAGTTGTCAAAAGAGCAATGTAACGATGTTTCGAGATAATATTTAACCAAATTGAATAAACGGAAAAATAAAATCAACAACAGTACTCATACAAGTTGTCAAATGTACGTTACAAATTACTATTTCCATCTTTGTTGTGCGATCGTGTAATCTAATTCAAGTGACATCTCGGACACGATGTTTAATGCTAAAATATATGCATTAAACTTTCTTGTCACAGGTCATAACGTAGCACGATACGTCCACTAAGTTCAATAGGTTGTAACACGTTCAGAATAGCATGATTTACACAAAAGTTTTCGTCTGAACCTGCGGGTTTTCGTTTACGACGACAGTATCCACTTCTGTTATTTGATTGGCTGCCTTAGGTCACATGTCTGATTTTGACCAATCACGATCCTTATAACAGACTGAGGCAAATGAGCGTCATAAGAACCAATCTTTATCCAATAAAATCGCTTCTTACAACTGTGAAAATACTCTTCACGAGGCTAGGGTACAGTGATATTGTTGATGTTCAGAGCTTTCGAACGATACCCGCCATCAAACGAATCGCCTCACATGTTATTCATACGAAGCTTCGAAAACGGAGGTATTTCACGCTGCTGTATCATGTTACTGAGCGGAAAGCCACAGATATCGGGAAATAGACGACCATAAGTATTAATTCAGAAATCTTTTTCCGATTACGTAACAATGAAAATATAAAAGAAAAAGGTAAGGGGATATTATGACGTTACAAATGGAAAAAAAATCGCCTCATTTTTTTGCTTCCTTCGTGGTTTATCTGGACATATAAATGTGTAAGCTTGCATTTTCATTAAACATTAACTTATTTAAGTTGTAGTCGTGTTACTTGAATAATATGAGAAAAAATAACTTTCATATTTATAAACAGTAGGATTAGACCTTTCACATGGTGTATGATATGTAGTAGTAATAATGATTTACCAGCTGATATTTTGATTGATAAACATAGGCTTCATCTATGACCTCAGAGTCTCTCGGAACTCGGTGTCATGACAGTAAATCCCTCTGGTTGACTGATGTTGAAAGAGTTGAACATGGAAAATAATCGCTTTCCAAAGGCATGTTATTTAATGCTTAAGTCATATGACGACCATGGTGGTGTCAGTTGGGTGTCACGTGTTCGTACCTTGTTAATGGAGATTGGTTTTTCATATGTATGGATCTCCCAAGATTGTAGAGATATAACAAGTTTTATGCAATGTTTTAAACAGAGATGTTAAGATAATCTTTTTCAAATATGGCAAGGTAAATTAAGCTCACCACCATTTCTGCATACTTATTCAGTGTACAAGACTGTACATTATGAAAGTAACTCCGTAAAGAGACCTAGTACGCATTCCTTAAAACAAAAACAAAAACAAAAAATTGGCAACGCCATCTTAGTGTCCAAGTGTACACTCCGAGTCAGGTACCTCCTTGTTTCTGAAGAAGTTTCAAATGCAATCCATCTGAGTGACTGACATCTTTTGAGCATTTCTAATGAAGCCATCTTAAAAGTCTTATTCGCTTAAATCAGATTGATGGTTCCATTCGGTCCAAGAAATGCGAAGCATTCTTAAACATAAGGTACATATGTGCAGCCTTACCTGTTGTCTCGTGCTGGCATATGACAATTTCAGATACCGAGCTAGTTTCTGGCACAAGAATTTTTGATACTGGACCATTGACGGGAACCTGAACATGAAAAAAAAGCAACTTACAACTTTCACATAATCACTGTATACATCAACATATACCATGCAAAGGAAAGTTTATACATTCAAGACTATAGACATCGAACATATAGGCTAATCAATAAAAGCGGAGATCAGGCATTTTAAAAGAAAGCAGTCAAAAGAACTGGGAATCACTTCTTGAAATGTGCAGCGTCTAAACCTTGAACAAATACTTACTTCATAAAGAGAAGGATTTGCTGGATCCGGATTGCCCTCAATTTCTTGGAAGACTTCAGGTTTGTCTTTTCCAGCTGGAGTGATTACTCTCACTGGATCTGTACTTGGTGTAAGTGGCACAGTAGTGAGGAAAACGGGTGTGCCATCAACGGTGCCTTCGGTACTGCTAGAGGTATCAACTGGTGTCCCATTGACTGTGAAGTCGTCAGGTTTCTCTTTGGTTACCAAGATAATCTTATCAGTCGAAGGTTTGACAGTGAACTCAGTATCCTACAAAGTTCAAACAAATACTTTATTAACTTCACTCGATCATTGTTTCAGTACAATCAAACGGTAAAATACAAATCTTCTTTGCAGTCATACTTTCGTCAATCCAATGTTTTCACACAAACCTTTGAAACTGCTTCAGCATACCATATAGATTATCATTCACTCCATGAGCGTTTATTCACATCCGAAAATGTTATGTACGTTGTTTTCTCATTCAGCACATACTCTCTACAAATATACCTGAGGGTTGGTTGTTTCCTGAGAAGGCACTGAAGTGAAGATCGTTGGAGATGTGCCCTTCACTGAGTCAACGAAGGGTGACTCTTCCAAAGGTATTTCCGACAGAGGGTTGTCTCCTCCATTACCGACTGGGGATGATGTCGGTGCTGGTGATGGGTTCTCACTTGGGTTCATCAGATCAATCTTGTCACATGGGGTCGTTTCTGTAACGATGTCATACAACCATGGGTCATAACATCTTCTGGAAGTATTTGTGAAAGCAGGTCGTACGTCTTCATTCTTTTATCTAAAATAACCAATACTAACTAACCCAGCACATCGGGGATATGACAACCACACTTATACATATATATCACATCAACAATATCGCAACTGTGCACATCCAAGCTGGGGACATAATTGTATTGGTTTTTCGGCATTAACAAAGAAATTTGGGGGCAAAAGTGTCAAACTTCGAAATTTTGTCTGACAAAGCATTGTAAAAGGACATACATTAACATTTTAGTACTGAACCACAACCTAAACTAGTGACATTAATTCTTTTACCCGTTGTTGTTCCACTGGTAGTGGTTGTTCCACTTGTGGTTGTTGTACCACTGGTTGTGGTAGTTCCACTTGTGGTTGTCGTTGCACTGGTTGTAGTTGTTCCACTTGTGGTTGTCCCTAATGGAAACAATTGAATTATATATGTGCTTCCAGAGTTTGCAGTTTATCAACAAAAACAGGACATTTAACCATTGTCGTCATCAGACACGGTATTTGAGTTATATCACAGATCTATGTCTTTGACTTGTTTCTGAGCTTCAAGTAACAAACAAACAAACAGTTTAATATCCAAGTGTACAATCCGAGTCAGGTTACTCATTGTTTTTGAAGATGTTTCAAATGCAATCCATCTGAGTGACTGACATCTATTGAGCATTTCTAATGAAGCCATCTTAAAATCTTATTCGCTTAAATCAGATTGATGGTTCCATTCGGTCCAAGAAATGCGAAGCATTCTTAAACACAAGGTACATATGTGCAGCCTTACCTGTTGTCTCGTGCTGGCATATGACAATTTCAGATACCGAGCTAGTTTCTGGCACAAGAATTTTTGATACTGGACCATTGACGGGAACCTGAACATGAAAAAGCAACTTACAACTTTCACATAATCACTGTATACATCAACATATACCATGCAAAGGAAAGTTTATACATTCAAGACTATAGACATCGAACATATAGGCTAATCAATAAAAGCGGAGATCTGGCATTTTCAAAAGAAAGCAGTCAAAAGAACTGGGAATCACTTCTTCAAATGTGCAGCGTCTAAACCTTGAACAAATACTTACTTCATAAAGAGAAGGATTTGCTGGATCCGGATTGCCCTCAATTTCTTGGAAGACTTCAGGTTTGTCTTTTCCAGCTGGAGTGATTACTCTCACTGGATCTGTACTTGGTGTAAGTGGCACAGTAGTGAGGAAAACGGGTGTGCCATCAACGGTGCCTTCGGTACTGCTAGAGGTATCAACTGGTGTCCCATTGACTGTGAAGTCGTCAGGTTTCTCTTTGGTTACCAAGATAATCTTATCAGTCGAAGGTTTGACAGTGAACTCAGTATCCTACAAAGTTCAAACAAATACTTTATTATCTTCACTCGATCATTGTTTCAGTACAATCAAACGGTAAAATACAAATCTTCTTTGCAGTCATACTTTCGTCAATCCAATGTTTTCACACAAACCTTTGAAACTGCTCGTCAGCATACCATATAGATTATCATTCACTCCATGAGCGTTTATTCACATCCGAAAATGTTATGTACGTTGTTTTCTCATTCAGCACATACTCTCTACAAATATACCTGAGGGTTGGTTGTTTCCTGAGAAGGCACTGAAGTGAAGATCGTTGGAGATGTGCCCTTCACTGAGTCAACGAAGGGTGACTCTTCCAAAGGTATTTCCGACAGAGGGTTGTCTCCTCCATTACCGACTGGGGATGATGTCGGTGCTGGTGATGGGTTCTCACTTGGGTTCATCAGATCAATCTTGTCACATGGGGTCGTTTCTGTAACGATGTCATACAACCATGGGTTATAACATCTTCTGGAAGTATTTGTGAAAGCAAGTCGTACGTCTTCATTCTTTTATCTAAAATAACCAATACTAACTAACCCAGCACATCGGGGATATGACAACCACACTTATACATATATCACATCAACAATATCGCAACTGTGCACATCCAAGCTGGGGACATAATTGTATTGGTTTTTCGGCATTAACAAAGAAATTTGGGGGCAAAAGTGTCAAACTTCGAAATTTTGTCTGACAAAGCATTGTAAAAGGACATACATTAACATTTTAGTACTGAACCACAACCTAAACTAGTGACATTAATTCTTTTACCCGTTGTTGTTCCACTGGTAGTGGTTGTTCCACTTGTGGTTGTTGTACCACTGGTTGTGGTAGTTCCACTTGTGGTTGTCGTTGCACTGGTTGTAGTTGTTCCACTTGTGGTTGTCCCTAATGGAAACAATTGAATTATATATGTGCTTCCAGAGTTTGCAGTTTATCAACAAAAAAACAGGACATTTAACCATTGTCGTCATCAGACACGGTATTTGAGTTATATCACAGATCTATGTCTTTGACTTGTTTCTGAGCTTCAAGTAACAAACAAACAAACAGTTTAATATCCAAGTGTACAATCCGAGTCAGGTTACTCATTGTTTTTGAAGATGTTTCAAATGCAATCCATCTGAGTGACTGACATCTATTGAGCATTTCTAATGAAGCCATCTTAAAAATCTTATTCGCTTAAATCAGATTGATGGTTCCATTCGGTCCAAGAAATGCGAAGCATTCTTAAACACAAGGTACATATGTGCAGCCTTACCTGTTGTCTCATGCTGGCATATGACAATTTCAGATACCGAGCTAGTTTCTGGCACAAGAATTTTTGATACTGGACCATTGACGGGAACCTGAACATGAAAAAACAGCAACTTACAACTTTCACATAATCACTGTATACATCAACATATACCATGCAAAGGAAAGTTTATACATTCAAGACTATAGACATCGAACATATAGGCTAATCAATAAAAGCGGATATCTGGCATTTCAAAAGAAAGCAGTCGAAAGAACTGGGAATCACTTCTTCAAATGTGCAGCGTCTAAACCTTGAACAAATACTTACTTCATAAAGAGAAGGATTTGCTGGATCCGGATTGCCCTCAATTTCTTGGAAGACTTCAGGTTTGTCTTTTCCAGCTGGAGTGATTACTCTCACTGGATCTGTACTTGGTGTAAGTGGCACAGTAGTGAGGAAAACGGGTGTGCCATCAACGGTGCCTTCGGTACTGCTAGAGGTATCAACTGGTGTCCCATTGACTGTGAAGTCGTCAGGTTTCTCTTTGGTTACCAAGATAATCTTATCAGTCGAAGGTTTGACAGTGAACTCAGTATCCTACAAAGTTCAAACAAATACTTTATTATCTTCACTCGATCATTGTTTCAGTACAATCAAACGGTAAAAATACAAATCTTCTTTGCAGTCATACTTTCGTCAATCCAATGTTTTCACACAAACCTTTGAAACTGCTCGTCAGCATACCATATAGATTATCATTCACTCCATGAGCGTTTATTCACATCCGAAAATGTTATGTACGTTGTTTTCTCATTCAGCACATACTCTCTACAAATATACCTGAGGGTTGGTTGTTTCCTGAGAAGGCACTGAAGTGAAGATCGTTGGAGATGTGCCCTTCACTGAGTCAACGAAGGGTGACTCTTCCAAAGGTATTTCCGACAGAGGGTTGTCTCCTCCATTACCGACTGGGGATGATGTCGGTGCTGGTGATGGGTTCTCACTTGGGTTCATCAGATCAATCTTGTCACATGGGGTCGTTTCTGTAACGATGTCATACAACCATGGGTTATAACATCTTCTGGAAGTATTTGTGAAAGCATGTCGTACGTCTTCATTCTTTATCTAAAATAACCAATACTAACTAACCCAGCACATCGGGGATATGACAACCACACTTATACATATATCACATCAACAATATCGCAACTGTGCACATCCAAGCTGGGGACATAATTGTATTGGTTTTTCGGCATTAACAAAGAAATTTGGGGGGCAAAAGTGTCAAACTTCGAAATTTTGTCTGACAAAGCATTGTAAAAGGACATACATTAACATTTTAGTACTGAACCACAACCTAAACTAGTGACATTAATTCTTTTACCCGTTGTTGTTCCACTGGTAGTGGTTGTTCCACTTGTGGTTGTTGTACCACTGGTTGTGGTAGTTCCACTTGTGGTTGTCGTTGCACTGGTTGTAGTTGTTCCACTTGTGGTTGTCCCTAATGGAAACAATTGAATTATATATGTGCTTCCAGAGTTTGCAGTTTATCAACAAAAACAGGACATTTAACCATTGTCGTCATCAGACACGGTATTTGAGTTATATCACAGATCTATGTCTTTGACTTGTTTCTGAGCTTCAAGTAACAAACAAACAAACAGTTTAATATCCAAGTGTACAATCCGAGTCAGGTTACTCATTGTTTTTGAAGATGTTTCAAATGCAATCCATCTGAGTGACTGACATCTATTGAGCATTTCTAATGAAGCCATCTTAAAAATCTTATTCGCTTAAATCAGATTGATGGTTCCATTCGGTCCAAGAAATGCGAAGCATTCTTAAACACAAGGTACATATGTGCAGCCTTACCTGTTGTCTCATGCTGGCATATGACAATTTCAGATACCGAGCTAGTTTCTGGCACAAGAATTTTGATACTGGACCATTGACGGAACCTGAACATGAAAAAACAGCAACTTACAACTTTCACATAATCACTGTATACATCAACATATACCATGCAAAGGAAAGTTTATACATTCAAGACTATAGACATCGAACATATAGGCTAATCAATAAAAGCGGATATCTGGCATTTCAAAAGAAAGCAGTCGAAAGAACTGGGAATCACTTCTTCAAATGTGCAGCGTCTAAACCTTGAACAAATACTTACTTCATAAAGAGAAGGATTTGCTGGATCCGGATTGCCCTCAATTTCTTGGAAGACTTCAGGTTTGTCTTTTCCAGCTGGAGTGATTACTCTCACTGGATCTGTACTTGGTGTAAGTGGCACAGTAGTGAGGAAAACGGGTGTGCCATCAACGGTGCCTTCGGTACTGCTAGAGGTATCAACTGGTGTCCCATTGACTGTGAAGTCGTCAGGTTTCTCTTTGGTTACCAAGATAATCTTATCAGTCGAAGGTTTGACAGTGAACTCAGTATCCTACAAAGTTCAAACAAATACTTTATTATCTTCACTCGATCATTGTTTCAGTACAATCAAACGGTAAAAATACAAATCTTCTTTGCAGTCATACTTTCGTCAATCCAATGTTTTCACACAAACCTTTGAAACTGCTCGTCAGCATACCATATAGATTATCATTCACTCCATGAGCGTTTATTCACATCCGAAAATGTTATGTACGTTGTTTTCTCATTCAGCACATACTCTCTACAAATATACCTGAGGGTTGGTTGTTTCCTGAGAAGGCACTGAAGTGAAGATCGTTGGAGATGTGCCCTTCACTGAGTCAACGAAGGGTGACTCTTCCAAAGGTATTTCCGACAGAGGGTTGTCTCCTCCATTACCGACTGGGGATGATGTCGGTGCTGGTGATGGGTTCTCACTTGGGTTCATCAGATCAATCTTGTCACATGGGGTCGTTTCTGTAACGATGTCATACAACCATGGGTTATAACATCTTCTGGAAGTATTTGTAGAAAGCAAGTCGTACGTCTTCATTCTTTTATCTAAAATAACCAATACTAACTAACCCAGCACATCGGGGATATGACAACCACACTTATACATATATCACATCAACAATATCGCAACTGTGCACATCCAAGCTGGGGACATAATTGTATTGGTTTTTCGGCATTAACAAAGAAATTTGGGGGCAAAAGTGTCAAACTTCGAAATTTTGTCTGACAAAGCATTGTAAAAGGACATACATTAACATTTTAGTACTGAACCACAACCTAAACTAGTGACATTAATTCTTTTACCCGTTGTTGTTCCACTGGTAGTGGTTGTTCCACTTGTGGTTGTTGTACCACTGGTTGTGGTAGTTCCACTTGTGGTTGTCGTTGCACTGGTTGTAGTTGTTCCACTTGTGGTTGTCCCTAATGGAAACAATTGAATTATATATGTGCTTCCAGAGTTTGCAGTTTATCAACAAAAACAGGACATTTAACCATTGTCGTCATCAGACACGGTATTTGAGTTATATCACAGATCTATGTCTTTGACTTGTTTCTGAGCTTCAAGTAACAAACAAACAAACAGTTTAATATCCAAGTGTACACTCCGAGTCAGGTTACTCATTGTTTTGAAGATGTTTCAAATGCAATCCATCTGAGTGACTGACATCTATTGAGCATTTCTAATGAAGCCATCTTAAAAATCTTATTCGCTTAAATCAGATTGATGGTTCCATTCGGTCCAAGAAATGCGAAGCATTCTTAAACACAAGGTACATATGTGCAGCCTTACCTGTTGTCTCATGCTGGCATATGACAATTTCAGATACCGAGCTAGTTTCTGGCACAAGAATTTTTGATACTGGACCATTGACGGGAACCTGAACATGAAAAAACAGCAACTTACAACTTTCACATAATCACTGTATACATCAACATATACCATGCAAAAGGAAAGTTTATACATTCAAGACTATAGACATCGAACATATAGGCTAATCAATAAAAGCGGATATCTGGCATTTCAAAAAAAGCAGTCGAAAGAACTGGGAATCACTTCTTCAAATGTGCAGCGTCTAAACCTTGAACAAATACTTACTTCATAAAGAGAAGGATTTGCTGGATCCGGATTGCCCTCAATTTCTTGGAAGACTTCAGGTTTGTCTTTTCCAGCTGGAGTGATTACTCTCACTGGATCTGTACTTGGTGTAAGTGGCACAGTAGTGATTGAGGAAAACAGGGTGTGCCATCAACGGTGCCTTCGGTACTGCTAGAGGTATCAACTGGTGTCCCATTGACTGTGAAGTCGTCAGGTTTCTCTTTGGTTACCAAGATAATCTTATCAGTCGAAGGTTTGACAGTGAACTCAGTATCCTACAAAGTTCAAACAAATACTTTATTATCTTCACTCGATCATTGTTTCCAGTACAATCAAACGGTAAAATACAAATCTTCTTTGCAGTCATACTTTCGTCAATCCAATGTTTTCACACAAACCTTTGAAACTGCTCGTCAGCATACCATATAGATTATCATTCACTCCATGAGCGTTTATTCACATCCGAAAATGTTATGTACGTTGTTTTCTCATTCAGCACATACTCTCTACAAATATACCTGAGGGTTGGTTGTTTCCTGAGAAGGCACTGAAGTGAAGATCGTTGGAGATGTGCCCTTCACTGAGTCAACGAAGGGTGACTCTTCCAAAGGTATTTCCGACAGAGGGTTGTCTCCTCCATTACCGACTGGGGATGATGTCGGTGCTGGTGATGGGTTCTCACTTGGGTTCATCAGATCAATCTTGTCACATGGGGTCGTTTCTGTAACGATGTCATACAACCATGGGTTATAACATCTTCTGGAAGTATTTGTGAAAGCAAGTCGTACGTCTTCATTCTTTTATCTAAAATAACCAATACTAACTAACCCAGCACATCGGGGATATGACAACCACACTTATACATATATCACATCAACAATATCGCAACTGTGCACATCCAAGCTGGGGACATAATTGTATTGGTTTTTCGGCATTAACAAAGAAATTTGGGGGCAAAAGTGTCAAACTTCCGAAAAATTTTGTCTGACAAAGCATTGTAAAAGGACATACATCAACATTTTAGTACTGAACCACAACCTAAACTAGTGACATTAATTCTTTTACCCGTTGTTGTTCCACTGGTAGTGGTTGTTCCACTTGTGGTTGTTGTACCACTGGTTGTGGTAGTTCCACTTGTGGTTGTCGTTGCACTGGTTGTAGTTGTTCCACTTGTGGTTGTCCCTAATGGAAACAATTGAATTATATATGTGCTTCCAGAGTTTGCAGTTTATCAACAAAAACAGGACATTTAACCATTGTCGTCATCAGACACGGTATTTGAGTTATATCACAGATCTATGTCTTTTGACTTGTTTCTGAGCTTCAAGTAACAAACAAACAAACAGTTTAATATCCAAGTGTACAATCCGAGTCAGGTTACTCATTGTTTTTTGAAGATGTTTCAAATGCAATCCATCTGAGTGACTGACATCTATTGAGCATTTCTAATGAAGCCATCTTAAAAATCTTATTCGCTTAAATCAGATTGATGGTTCCATTCGGTCCAAGAAATGCGAAGCATTCTTAAACACAAGGTACATATGTGCAGCCTTACCTGTTGTCTCATGCTGGCATATGACAATTTCAGATACCGAGCTAGTTTCTGGCACAAGAATTTTTGATACTGGACCATTGACGGGAACCTGAACATGAAAAACAGCAACTTACAACTTTTCACATAATCACTGTATACATCAACATATACCATGCAAAGGAAAGTTTATACATTCAAGACTATAGACATCAAACATATAGGCTAATCAATAAAAGCGGATATCTGGCATTTCAAAAAGAAAGCAGTCGAAAGAACTGGGAATCACTTCTTCAAATGTGCAGCGTCTAAACCTTGAACAAATACTTACTTCATAAAGAGAAGGATTTGCTGGATCCGGATTTGCCTCTCAATTTCTTGGAAGACTTCAGGTTTGTCTTTTCCAGCTGGAGTGATTACTCTCACTGGATCTGTACTTGGTGTAAGTGGCACAGTAGTGAGGAAAACGGGTGTGCCATCAACGGTGCCTTCGGTACTGCTAGAGGTATCAACTGGTGTCCCATTGACTGTGAAGTCGTCAGGTTTCTCTTTGGTTACCAAGATAATCTTATCAGTCGAAGGTTTGACAGTGAACTCAGTATCCTACAAAGTTCAAACAAATACTTTATTATCTTCACTGATCATTGTTTCAGTAATAATCAAACGGTAAAAATACAAATCTTCTTTGCAGTCATACTTTCGTCAATCCAATGTTTTCACACAAACCTTTGAAACTGCTCGTCAGCATACCATATAGATTATCATTCACTCCATGAGCGTTTATTCACATCCGAAAATGTTATGTACGTTGTTTTCTCATTCAGCACATACCTCTACAAATATACCTGAGGGTTGGTTGTTTCCTGAGAAGGCACTGAAGTGAAGATCGTTGGAGATGTGCCCTTCACTGAGTCAACGAAGGGTGACTCTTCCAAAGGTATTTCCGACAGAGGGTTGTCTCTCCATTACCGACTGGGGATGATGTCGGTGCTGGTGATGGGTTCTCACTTGGGTTCATCAGATCAATCTTTGTCACATGGGGTCGTTTCTGTAACGATGTCATACAACCATGGGTTCATAACATCTTCTGGAAGTATTTGAGAAAGCAAGTCATTACGTCTTCATTCTTTTATCTAAAATAACCAATACTAACAACCCAGCACATCGGGATATGACAAACCAATTAATTTATACATATCACATCAACAATATCCGCAACTGTGCACATCCAAGCTGGGGACATAATTGTATTGGTTTTTCGGCATTAACAACAGCAGAAATTTGGGGCAAAGTGTCAAACTTCGAAATTTTTGTCTGACAAAGCATGTGTAAAGGACATACATTAACATTTTAGTACTGAACCACAACCTAAACTAGTGACATTAATTCTTTTACCCGTTGTTGTTGTACCACTGGTAGTTGTTGTACCACTGGTGGTTGTTGTACCACTGGAGATTCAGGCTAGCGTTAAACACAAAGTCCATGTGTGCAGCCTTACCTGTTGTCTCGTGCTGGCATATGACAATTTCAGATACCGAGCTAGTTCCTGGCACAAGAATGGTTGATACTGGACCATTGACTGGAACCTGAACATGAAAAAAGCAACTTACAACTTTCACATAATCACTGTGTGCATCAACATATACCATGCAAAGGGAAGTATAAACACTCAAGACAATAGACATTGAGCATATCGGCTAATCAATAAGAGTGAAGATCTGGCATTTCAAGAGAAACCACTTGAAAAAACTGGGAATCACTTCTTCAAATATGTAGCGTCTAAACCTTGAACAAATACTTACTTCATAAAGAGAAGGATTTGCTGTATCCGGATTGCCCTCAATTTCTTGGAAGACTTCAGGTTTGTCTTTTCCAGCTGGAGTGGTTACTGTCACTGGATTTGTACTTGGTGTAACTGGCACAGTAGTGAGGTAAACGGGTTTGCCATCAACGGTGCCTTGGGTACTGCTAGAGGTATCAACTGGTGTCTCATTGACTGTGTAACCATCAGGTATCTCTTTAGTCACCAAGATAATCTTATCAGTCGAAGGTTTGACAGGGAACTCAGTCTCCTACAAAGTTCAAACAAACACTTTATTACCTTCACTTGAACATTGTTTCAGTACAATCAAACGGTAAATAAACAAATCTTCTTTGTAGTCATAGTTTCTTCAATCCAATATTTTCACGCAATACATTGAAACTGCTCGTCAGCATAGTATATACATTATCATTCAGTCCATGAGCGTTTATTCAGATCCGAAAATGTTGTATACGTTATTTTCTCATTCAGCACATACTCTCGACAGACATACCTGAGGGTTGGTGGTTTCCTGAGAAGGCACTGAAGTGAAGATCGTTGGAGATGTGACCTTTACTGTCAACAAAGGGTGACTCGTCCAAAGGTATTTCCGACAGAGGGTTGTCTCCTCCATTACCGACTGGGGATGATGTCGGCGTTGGTGAAGGGTTCTCACTTGGGTTCATCAGATCAATCTTGTCACAAGGAGTCGTTTCTGTAATGATGGCATGTATCATTTTAGTTTAGTCGTTTGAAAGAGAAATTATAACATATATCAACCAATGTTTTTTGTGATAGATTACTGTCATTTGAAGTACAATGATATCGTCACTACTAATCAGTTGCATAAAGTCAACAATTTGATTATTTCAATTCACCCGTTGTTGTCCCACTTGTTGTTGTTCCACTGGTCGTGGTTGTCCCACTTGTTGTTGTCCCTGGTGAAGAAACAATTCCGAATGTCAATGCAATCAATACACTTTGACAGTGGAAAATATATATTACAAAACATAGGATTCTGGTCTCTTTCAAAACTACTCAGTGTAATATTTTCCTAAACACATTTGCAGTCATACCTGTTGTCTGTTGGCAAATCTTGACCTTGATATTGCTTTCATCGACAGATGCTGTTGGACTGTCAGACAAAATAATGAATCTTTGTCCAGAAAGTGGCACGTCCCCATTCTGAAAGCATTGACATGTGAAATATGGTTTGGACTAAACACAATCAAGGTACAATTGTTATACATTCATGCATTTATTTCGAAACTAATCTAAGTTCCTGGTTTTCTATATACTGTATTGATACATGCATTGGTATAAATGTGTCATGCTTCTGAATGTCCATGCATGCAAAATACTTCATTAAAATATTGCTACAGCACCTCTTATGCAATGAAGCCATGCATATAATGTAAGTGGGTGAGTTAGTTTGGTTTTACGCAGCTTTTAGCAATATGCCAGCAATAATTCGGTGGGGATACCAAGAGATATGCTTCAAACATTGTACCCATTTGGAGAATCTAACCCGGGTTTTCAGCGTGATGAGCGAACGCTGTAACCACGACGCTAGCCCCACCATCCCTATAATGAGTCGATTGAACACACACTATTCCAGTATTTAGATTTATTGCCCCTTTTTCAAATTGCATCAAGCGTAATTTCAAGCAGAGTGACAAAGCATAATGAATAGTTATTAAACAAAGAGATCTAGGAAGGAAAGCTAAACATGCTATATTAGGTGTCACTGTAGGACCTGTAGTTGTTGGACTTGTTGTCCAAGCGGCGGTTGCACCTGGTAAGAGGAAAATTCAACATGTCATCTACTATTTAGATAGCATGTGAGATTACTGATAATGTTAGCATCACACTTTTGGAGAAATAAAACTATATCCACTGGATCGAAACTCTGAAAAGTAATGTTTAACATTTCACAAGGTGTTTACATCACTTGCCTGGACACCTTACACAAACACACGCTTATGGTCACAAAGACACACAACAGCGATTTATCACAGATCTTTAACTGAAACTAAAAATACATTTTCAAACTCACGCACACAAGCATGCACAAAAACTGACATACACAAACTGAATAGAAATCATCAAAAGGTTAGTAGCTCGCTACAATAGAAAGCATATCTTCATTGAACTAATCATGATTTGTATGAGGTTTACCTGTGGTGCATTTTCTTCAACGAAGGTGTCACTTCCAGAAACTGGTGTGTAGGTACCTTCTGGAGCGTCCCTGTACACGTACACAGTCTTGTCATCGAAAGAAAGTGTTTCACTTGGCGTTACAACACTGTTGTCTACAAAAAACAGCAAGTCGTTAACAACTAGTTGTGTCACTAAAGGATATCGAGTTATTCACGTGAAAGGCCGGTTGAGACAAAAGTATCATTTGTCATATGCAAGAAATTGTTCAAAGTATTGACATGATGTGGTGACGCTCATTGCCATTTAAATCGCCAACCGTATATCTTCTCTCAGTTTCAGTTAGAGAAAGAGTTTCTTACCTTTCTTTAGTGCATCAGGACTTGCGCCTGTTGTTATAACAATAATGTCCTTTGGGCCAGGAAGACTGACAGTAGCCTGAAAGTATATCGTCAATATCCCATATATTCCTGAACCATTATTGATTAAATTTTTTAAATGACAATCTTGTTCCTGGGATTATGCACTTAATACCCCCTAAAAACAACACACCCTCCAAAACACACTAAAAACATTTAATTCGGACTCAGCAAGAAAAGTTAATACGAACATTGAAAAACTAGGTAGTGGGCACATTGGTTATTTCTTTATGTTTCCGTACAAGACTAATGTCATAGGCCACAAACGTGTGTCATTTCCAAGTTCCGTTTGTCTTCAGACAATTTCCTTGCCCCTATGACTCTTGACACTAGTTTAATGTGTTTATTGGAAGATGAACAGCGTGTCTACACACATCTCTATACAGAGTAAGAAAGTTGGCTCTGATTGGTATCTAAAGACGTGGCGACAAATAAAGTTTGCCCACTTTGGGAGTGAAGTTTTACATGGCCGTGTACTTCATGTACAACAGTGTTGTAATTATATGAATTGCTTTCCTTACGCTTGAGTAGAGGACAAACGAGTGGGAGTTACAATATTTGGCTGCGTGTGGTGTCTAACGTGGTCTGGATGGATTAATCTGACATTGTGTAGATCATTCTGTAGTTTTTGCAAAGACCATATAAAAAAAATACATAAAGGGATTATCATTTGCCTTTATAATCTCGCAAAGCAGCGGTTTCTGCTGCTATAGGAGCTTGGTTACAATTGCTGCTGGGTAAATATTATTATTGAGACTTTATTGCTGTTATCACTGATATATTTCATACTGACATCATCACTATACTACTTCTGAATTTTGTACAGGCACTCTGATGTGTCTTACCACTGTAAATACCTAGGGATATTTTTAATCAGTTCATAGCAGATTCCACTTACCTCATCTGCTTCTAGCGGGTTCAAGATGCTGCCATCAGATGGTTCTGTGGTTGAGACGATGTCTCCACTTTCATAAATACCAACAGATGAGCCCACTTTTTTCACTGCACTGGGGAGATCCTGTCCTTCCATGATATTTTCACATGGGGTTCCAGCTGTAGCCAGAATAATCAGTCAGTCGGAACACAATTCTAAGAATACATAAGTATTTCTCGTCATGACGCGAACAAAGAAACCAAAACAAATGGCCAAATCTACTGATCATCAAATATCATCACCAAACAACTCACCTGTTACTGTAAATCTTATAAACGTTTTAATTTTTTAGTTAATTTGACAAATGCGTGAAAATGCCAAGTACTTTCAACGGGGCGGTGGGGTAGCCTAGTGGTTAAAGCGTTGGCTCGTCACGCCGAAGACCCGGGTTCGATTCCCCACATGGGCACAATGTGTTAAGCCCATTTCTGGTGTTCCCCGCCGTGATATTGCTGGAATATTGCTAAAAGCGGCGTAAAACCAAACTCAGTCAGTCAGTCCTGCTTTCAACAATCTTCATGTAAACAGATATGCCATTGATAAAGTTTATGCTCAAAATATTAAAATCAGATTTTTACTATATCAGTTTTCTTTTGGATGGTGATCGTTTTAATCGTCATGATAGTTTCGAGGAAACGTACCTGTAGTGGTTGAAGGTGTACCCTCTGCAAAGCAAAAAGTAACAGGTGTGATGTATATGCGAATTAAATCATCTATGTTCATAGACGACGACTCGTTACTACATATGTTAGATAAGCATCAATGGCTGGGACTCCTTCTATTGAAATGAAGCTCCAAATGTAAAAATAATATCAATGTTGCCCAATGCAAACTTTCACAGTTATGGTTATTGATGTAATTACAGGACTTTTCAAAATTTTCATAGAAAGTTATCTTATAAGAACCCGTGAAGGTCCGGGTTAGAATGAGCATTCAGTAACCCATGCTAGTCGTAAGAGGCGACTAACGGGATCGGGTGGTCAGGCTCGCTGACTTGGTTGACGCATGTCATCGGTTCCCAGTTGCGCCGATCGATGCTCATGCTGTTGAGACTCGATTATTTACAGACCGCCGCCATATAGATGGAATATTGCTTAGTGCGACGTAAAACTAAACTCACTCACTCTGTTATAAGAACATTTTGTACCTGAATATGTAGATGATAGAAATTTCTTTCACGTAATGAGTTTAAGCGTCAATGGTATTGGAGAATGAAGTGATATGATATTTTTAGTATAAGCCAGGAAACTACAGCCCATGTGACGTAACTGTGCCCATAAGCGTAACAAATTGCGTGATACTGAGAAGATCATATGAAACCGCATTTTGTATTCAAATGATCATTTATAAACAACCTTGAACGCTGACAAAATATTGCATTCAGCTTCAGTATATGTGATATAAATACACATACCAAGTCACTGCTTAGTGAAACGTGTGTATTCAACTTCCAAAAGCAAAATGTTGCTACATGTGTAGGACACCGTGACCAATGCGTATATGCAATATGTTTGTTGCCTTCTCTTTTCTGACTTACCACAATCATTATTTTCAATCGTTCAATCTTCAATGGGTTCATTCAAACATTACGATTGGTCATTTCAAAGGGTTACTTCCTAATATCTTCCGAAATATTATTTCGGCATGCAAATTAGTATCCGTGGTTAATGCATTTCTATCTATCACTGCTTTGGCATTTAGAACCTACTCATCTCAATGAGGAAGAGCAAAAGTTAGTATGTTCTTAAAAGGTAATTTCATAGTCGTTTCAAACATTGTGATTTGGAAATAAGTTCAACTTTTCTCTGAATTTGAAGTAATAAAGGCTGTATGCTTTACCTGTTGTCTGCGTAATTTCTGTAACAGTAGTGGCTGATGTTGTTGCTGAAAAACGACAAACCACATGTATGGTAGGCATGTGGATGACTTTTCAAATGTGACGCATTCGTGACACGAATTATATGCTCTATGGTTCTCTAGCTTTTACTCAGAGGCAAAAGTTCTAGAATGGCAAAATACCATGGAGATTTTTATTGGTAATCATGTGAATGATATTTATATTTGAACCAATACGTGGTTGTGTGAAATGAATGAATGTTGCAAGAAGCCTGACATATTCGTGACACATAGCCAGGAATGCTCACTTTAAGAAGCCAGAGAACCCGATGCATATAATTTCTACTGAATGCAGTCTAAAGAAGTGCAGAAATCAGCTAACACCTCTATTTGTTCTCTTAATATTTGTGAGGTGAGGTAACGAGATTGCAATGGCCGCTTTACCGTTTATGCAACAGAATGGTAACAAGAGTGACGTGACAGATTAAGAGTATATAACAGGTGGGTCAACGTAGCCATCGACAGGCCCCACTATTGAGACAACCTGGCATCCTTGTTTGTGTAATTTGATCATAACGAACAAAAACCTAACAATCGAGTTAGACGTAATTTCCTTATTTCTTTGGGGAATGAATAAATACATAGTATATGTTTTACCGCATCGGACATCATCTTCATCTTCACAATAGGGTACCCCTTGTCGTGTTGTATTGCAGTCACATTTACCGTCGCAGACAGCATTCTTAGGTATACAGATGTTCACCTCCATGCACCATTCCTCTTCACTTGTACATGGCACTGTATTGAAGAAAAAGCATTGACACTGCACTCAAGGTATTTAAGTCTCCTGAAAGCAATAGTTAGACGTGTCCACGGTTATAGTCGTTACATAGATTAATAAAGGCACAAGTAAGTAATGTTATATGGACACAGTATTCTTTCGCATAGTATCATCGTGAGAATCGAACTCAGGTATGACGCAGCTTTAATCAGTGGGCCACCCTCTAGCCTTTGTAATTCTTTTACTCAACCAGGCTGAAGCCGGGTCGAGAAGAACGTGTTGTTACAGTTATTCATATCTCACCTGAAGGTGTGGTGCCACTTGTTGTTGTACCACTGGTTGTTGTACCACTTGTTGTTGTACCACTGGTTGTTGTACCGCTAGTTGTCGTCTCGCTTGTTGTGGGGATGGTTGTTTCTGACACACAGGAAGTATTTGCATGAAATATAGAAATCGGTATACCTTTCTAATGTTTACACACGGGTAATGTTGAAACATATCTATTAATCTCGTCTACCTTTACTATAACACTATAACACTATGCTATAGTACAGTATTTTGTGTACGTTTTTCAGGTATACAGGCGGCGATACTGCAACCACGTAACAGTTAGCAGGAAATAATCAAGTCCACCAAACCAGTGACTAAAATCAGGATTCACCACACCATCGACCAGCAGGGCCGACTCACCCCATTCTGTTTCAGATGGCTGTTAAGAAAAACATTTGCTACTTGGGATCCAAGGGATCTTGTTTACATAATTTCTTACGGGATCAGTTATATACGCAGATACCTACCTCCTGGCTCGTAGCAAGCTTCAACCTCGATGTCATGGATGACTGTTACTGTCAGAAGAACCTTTATCTCCACCAGAATTTTAGCCACTTTATCTCCAGTTATGACAAACTTTGCAATATCACTTTCAATCGTTGGATTCTATTTTAAAAAAAGAAAGATACGGCTCATTTAATAACGTAACCCAATCTGATGGTAAAACAAGACAATGTATAACGTTCCACATTTTACACGTTAACGCTATGGACCCTTTGTTCAAACACACTCAATTCAATATTTTCGACATTCCAGGTTCCGTTCAAATCTATATTGGTTGTGGTGGTGTTGTGATGGTCACTGTCGCTGTTGATGCCGAAGAGACATCGGCAAAAGTATTATCCATTTGGATACATGCGCAGATTGCCAGTGGGAAAGTAAAAGAAACGAAAAAGAATAACCAATGCTTTACGTTGAAACAGATTTGCTGTTAATGTGCTTAGCGTGATTACCTCATAGACTTTCTTGCCTCCGTCTAGTGTTTCTGTCATAACTTTGGCGTCGGTCATGTTGTCAGCTCCGAAGCTAACACTAAACACTTTCGGTTCTGTCCCAGCTTTAGCAATGATAGTAAGTTCCAGTTCGACGTCCCCATCTACAGTTGTGTTGAAACTTCCCCCGTTAGCGGCCAGCTGTGCCATGACGTTATTATCCTTTGTCTGTACGATGAGGTACCCATTTGACACCTTCTCCACATCACACTCTGGGGCTGAGACAAATAATAAATAACACATATAACCATCAGTGTTAACAACATTGACACTTTATAATAAGTGAGCGGATGGATATTGTTTAATGGCAAATTATTACAGCAATATATTAGCGTATTGCCCATCAGCCCATTCACAAACACTGACAACCGATCCCATTTAACCTCGTTGTTACGATCTGACCCTGAATCCCTACAAGGATTATACAATTGAACCTCAACGTCTGATCCTGGGTATCATAGAAGAAAGCACGATAACCAAATGCGTCGGTTATACACACAGCCTGATGTTTCACACTTTGAGTATTTATTTTGAACAGGCGACAGAGATGGAAAGGGTCCTTTGCACATTATTTCCGAGTTTTCCGTTCAGGTAGATTCATTGCTCCTGCCAAGGTTGAGGCAATTTAAATAGAAGTACGATCAGACATGAACGGGACCATGTTTCGTATTTGACCTCTCCGCTAAACTGTTTTGTTTTCTCTGTATCTACTATCAAGAGAAGATAACAAGATAGTACTTACTTGTTGACATCGGCGTTGCTGTAACACAATAAAAGAATAATGTTAAAAGTTTTAAGAGTTTGTTTATAAATAATATTGATAAAACTATTTTGAAAATTCATTCAAATCAAATAACCGAGACATATACCGCGCGGTTTCTACTTACTGCATCCCTTCTCGTCAGATCCATCACCACAGTCATCATGGCCATCACAACTCCGGTCCTTGGGGATGCAACTGTCGTTCTCAACACACTGTGTCTCGTTCTTTGGACAGACTGTAATAATAAAAATGTAATAATTATCATTTATGGTATTCATTAATGCATATATCCCTTTATACGCTTGTAAATTCGTTTGCTCACGTCTGTCACCAATATCATGTTATTATGTTACTTGTATTAAAGTATCTGTTTTTCATATTTATTAGACCCGTGAAGAACCGGGTTACAATTGGTCTTCAGCAACCCATGCTTGTCATGAGAGGCGTCCAACGGGATCGCTGACTTAGTTGACACATGTCATCGCATCTCAGTTACGTAGATCGATGCTTATGCTTTTGATCACTGGGTTGTCTGGTCCAGACTCGATTAGTTACAGACCGCGGCCATATAGCTGGAATATTGCTGTGAGCGGCGTTAAACAACAAACCAACTAATCATATCTATTACACGCTACAAATTATTTATCCTCCAGATAAATACAGTAGAAAAAATATAAATGAGACAGTTCCTACCATGGCAACCTGCTTCATCCGACTTGTCTTTGCAGTCTGCCTCTCCATCGCAGACGAAGGACATTGGCAAGCACATGGTTGGTGCGTCAGCACATGTGAAAGTTTCATTGCTGCATGTTATGTCTGAAAATATCCACGTGTTCATGTACTTTGGAAAGGAATATATCAACAATGTATCATAAATGAATGATTTTGATATTGATAATAGAAAAATTAGTTACCCTTTGATTAGCGGTTTACCATCAAATAAAACAGAGAAAGTGTCTGATCACACGTACGCTCACAGTGTAAATGGTAGTTACAATCAAACGCCGTAGAGTCTTAATAACATAATGGTAATAATGGTAAGAAATTAAACTTACTGCAACTTATTTCGTCGGATCCATCGTCGCACTCCTTGAGGCTGTTGCAAGTGAAGGTTTTAGGGATACATTGCCCAGAGTTGCATCTGAACTGGAGGTCAGTGCAGGTTCCATCTAAAATAAACACAAGTCACTATTTGTACAATTCCACATTTTGTTGTTTATGCATGGTTGCAAAGGTGAGCATTGAAAACGCGAACACTGATGTAATTAAAACAAAAATGCGTAAGTGAGTCTTGCTAAAGAGATTTCATCTGCTCAATAGATTTTTTCTTACTCAAGACGTTTTTCGCATGTTGAAACATAATCATGTAACTGAATCCAGGTATTATTCTTCCAAAGTTATCATTCTGTTTATTCTATGTTTTGTTGTTAAAATGTCAGACAAATAAACACATCAGTGGATTAAACGCCAATTTCTAGTCTATGGTAATATTTGTATGAACCTTGACCATTGTTACTTTAGTATCAGAATGTGCATGACAAGTATATTGTACGTTTCAGGATACAGTGATATGAATGTTCCTGAGTTTAAAGTGGAATCCTATAAGGATTACTGTCACTCTTTCGTAAAGTATCGGGGCGGTGGGGTAGCCTAGTGGTTAAAGCGTTGGCTCGTCACGCCGAAGACCCGGGTTCGAATCCCCACATGGGTACAATGTGTGAAGCCCATTTCTGGTGTCCCCCGCCGTGATTTTGCTGGAATATTGCTAAACGCGGCGTAAAACCAAACTCAGTCAGTCAGTCAGTCGTAAAGTATCAATTCATAACAAATATTACCGAGCATTCAAATAATCACACTTAGCGCCAGTTTCTTTAGCAAAACATAAGAAATGAACAGGTTACTTACTGCACTTGACTTCATCTGATCCGTCGCTGCAGTCCCGCATGCCGTCACAGACCTTGTCCTTACTGATACACATGAGTACTCCCTGCACTTCTCCACAACTGTGTTGTGTCGAGTCACATTCACCACAAGTCTTGCCAGTGCATTCCAGTTGGCCCTCTTTGCATGTGCTGTAGCATAACGAAAGGTTATAACACATCTTCACATGACGCGCACAGGAACAAGTAAATAGTTCAGTAACAGCGCTAATAAACAGAAGACACACCATAAAGTCATTCGGCAAGCGACATGGCCATGGGAATTTCAATCACAAACACTACAGGATACCTAATACTACCCCCAATGCTTGCTGGATAGATGCAGTTTGGCTACCCAACTAACACATAACGTTGGGAAGGTTGTAGATTGGTAACGTCATGCCACAACCTTGGCACAACCTTAGAATTACGTCATTTTTTAACGTTATGTCACAACGTAATAACAACGTTGCAAATTTAATTTGAGGAAATGCTTTGGGCTCCTCACAACGTTTCCTATAACTTGGGGACACGATATTTTTCTGTAAAACTTTTCACTTTGAGATTCTTTCTTCACTATTCAGCTACAGCCTAAGAAAACACATGACCAAAACAACATGCAAATTAACGAATAAACATTTAAGTGAATTTCTGTTTTGTTTCTTATGTACTGTTCACTACTGGGAAAACTATTCACCTACTTACGTTACGTAACGTAAAACACGTTAGCATTAAATAACTTAACCATGTGGCGACATATAAATGACGTATCACGACGTCAGGTCACAGCGTTGTAACAGCGTACATGGGAGTCCACAGAAGGACGGTGTAACAAGGAAAGCATAACGTTGTGACAACGTGAAAGGTGGGTACGTGTCTTTTGTTGCCTCTTGCTCAAGGAAAGATCACAGATGCATTTTATAAGTTCCCGAATGAGTTACCATGTAACACGAAAATAACTCAGCTCATATTTATTTCTAAATGCTCTCTCAGTTTCCACAGGGGTGAATAAAGGAAAACAGACATACCAGAGTTGGCAGTCTCGTGTGAAGTTCTGTCCTGGTTGGTATATGAAGCCGTTATCGTCCTTGCACGGGCATTGTTCCAATGGTACGCATTGTTTGGTTTCCTCTGAGAAAATGAAATTTCCAGTTTACTTGACACATATAGAACTTCACGACTGAGCATGTAATGAGAGGTTACATGCCGCTTTTATGCTGTGCTGACGAACAATTATCATAATTATCCAACCCATGATAATCGAATCCTTATGCAGGGAAATCAGTATGGTAAAGGTTATTAAGATAAGCGAGTCAGTGTTGAACATGAATTACATGTGCATTCGCGTTCATTTGGAAACTATTTATACACTTGACGCAAAACAACCTAGTAAAGCGGTTGGGGGAGGGGGTAAAGACAGCGGCGTCTACATACCGTCCATGATACTTCCTTCGGGGCAGAAGCAACCTTCAACACAGTGGGTGCTGTTGCAGATCTCGCCGACAGTGTCGCTGATGGTTGGTTTGGCGCAGCTTGGTTGACAAGGGTTGCCACATGCTCTGTACTGACTTCCACCTTCACACTGGATTGCTGGTAACAAACAATTAAACTGGTCCTCAGAGTATGATGAATGACTAGTGTGGTCGTTTTTGACAATCAAATGTTGACATATTATTTTTAAAGGTTACGTTTAACATTGCTTTTATGAAATGAGTCGGTAACTGTTTGGGATAAGAGTGTGCTACAAATCATATACCATGATAAAAACACTCCTTTTCGAGTTTTTCAAAAGACAATTACAAAGGCGGAGGGAGATAGGCCTTATTTCGATGAGCAAGTCTCTAATTTAATGTGAACTGGGTGACTTGGTGGTATTTACTTACGGCACAATCTCTGTGTTCTCCATTTGATAGCAATGCCATGAAGGTTCATACACTCAGCAGCATAGGTGGCAATTGCGTTACACAAACATTCACAGTCGCCTCCCTTGTCACAGCTGAAAACATCAGGGTATATTGTTCTCACTGATCGAATTATTTTGAGTTATTGATCGAATATTTCTCTTTAGCTTTTGATATTTGTCTTTAACTAGCGCTTTTCCGATTTTACTATAAGCGGTAAGTCATCACTACATTCACACAGCATGTGCTTAAAATCATTTATAGAAACGTTTTTGTTCTACGTTTAATAAAAAGGATGTTATCACGCGTGGAGAAAGTGTATATCAGCCATATCTTACAGACAAGTAATTGAGGGTAATAACAATAAATCAACTTAGAATCGGGTATACATTGTTAAACGTGTGCGATTTCAAACTGAAAGATGCAAATGGAACACTTACCCGCATGCCTCAGACTGACAGAATTTAAAGAGGGTGTGTGTTCTTGTGGCCATCTTGTTTCTACATTGTTGAAACTCTGGACTGTTGAGCACACCGCAAGCACTTGTAGCCCAATCTTTCCTGTCGCCATTTACCTGTTTATTTTAAAACAAAAACAAATTTGATAATATGTTTACTAAGACCGTTTCATGTTTATACAGAAATAATTATGAGGTGACATGGATATGGCTTAACGTGCTTGAGAGTGTGCTGGTGGGATGGGGACGGGTTGTTGGGCAGGTTGACAGTGCATGATGGGTTGACTGCTTTCATAAGTCAGGACATGCTGGTTATATAGTTAAATAGTTCCAGCCCATCGGTAACAATGTCATTGCTCAAACGAATACCACTCTCGGACACAGTACCCTGACTCCGAGCCGGATAGTCCTCGTGTGTCCTTTCATGCAAATCTTAAGGCTTGGTACAAACCGTACCGACAGGGAGTCAGTAATTTGTTAGTCAAATCGGCAACGGGTGTAATACGTGTAAACTATGTAAGCGTCTCAATAGAAACGATAAAATACATTAAAACAAAAAATGAAATGTAATGATTTTAATTAATATTAGTTGGGTAGATATTCATTCGATGTACTATGTGCTCTCACCTCACAAGGCTCTTTTCCCGTGGGCACATACTCGACACATGTATCGGGAGAGACTCTCCAGGAGTTTCCAAACTCAGCAGCATCAGCAGCAAGGGCACCTGTTTGCAAGGTTTTGTCGTCTCGGCTGTTACCATTGTTATTACCACACAAACCTCGGGTTTGATTTGCCCAGCTCTCAGGTACTTCAAGCTTCACGTACAGACCTGTTGACATAACAAGGTTAAACTTATTGCGTCAGATAGAGTACTACCCTTACTGCACTTTCCGCTGTCAAAACAATTTGGAATTTATATGTATCTGTTGACTGTAGATGTATATGGATGTGACTATATCATCCACAAAGTCAAATGGCATGGTCTCCAATACATTAAAGTTGATCTAAAAACTTCAAATACATTTTCTGTTGCTCACCTTGGTCCCATGTGATGGCTAAACTGCCGGCGATGATGTGATATGTAAGTGCAGTGAGGCGGACCTGGATGCCATCCAGTATGTTGTTAATAGTCCCTTCTGGGTAGTTCTGCCCGTTGATGTCAACACCTTTAGATCTTGCCATCGTCAAAGTTATGCCTGCTCCCAGTTGAACCTCAACAGATTTGGTACACATGGTTTCGGTACCTCGACACTTGTAACCTTGTATAAGAACCTTGATGTCATTGTACTCCAGCATGACGTACTGACACGATCCGTCACTGGAACCGGGGAAGTAGTATGCGTCGCCATCAAAGGTTTGGAAAAATTGCTGGGTTCCAGACAGCGTACAGATTTCTGCATACAAACAAGATAATAAGTATGAGAATGAGAACTTTTAGATACTTTCATCTTCAGGATAAACTGAATGTAATCAAAATATCAATATTCGGTCAACTATGTAGGACTGTCTTGAACTTGTTTCGATTCAATACTGACACATACGCATCGTACAATTGATTCTAGATGGAAACTATGTGTATGGAAAGTGTTTGTACGTGTGTGTAGGAAGATGAATACATTTCATATACTCAATAAAATGACTGATTCAGTTTGAGGATTGTGATTTATACAAAGTAATCGTTACTCACGTCTGCACGTGCTTGAGTCGAGAACGTCCCAGTGAGCGTCGTTACATTTCCTGTAAATTCATGTTGAAGTTGTAGTAATGTTTACATGCACAACATTTGTCATACATGATCGAATCTTCCATTCCATCATCATATCTAAGTAGGATATGCTTGATTATATCCTTCTGCTGATAGCAATATTTTTTCTAAATTTCTCTGAATACACAATCAGATCTTCTTGAAAGTATATACTAATATAATTCATATCCATGGCCACAAATGACTGCAAGTTACAGCACAATATTGTCTCCATGGGGGTAAAACCGAAATTACTAACATCCTTATGTTTGTACTGTGGTCTGTTCATGTTCAAACCCTCTGTGCCACTAAGAGTAAATGGGTCCGTATTGTTCTTTTTTGTGTAGTGCTAGCCTAATAAGGGGTTTAAAATAGATACCCCACTCGGACTATTTATACTGGCAGGGCAGGGCAGGGCAGGGCAGGGCAGGGCAGGTCATTCGGTGTTCTGCCCTCTCGGCCAGCGCCAGGCACAGTAACAACATGTAAAGTGGATCATCAGTTGTTGGCCAAAATAGTAAATGACATATCATATGACCCATTCTCTATAATCTGGATGGACCTGGGAGTCACAGGCATGGTAAAGATGGGTCTTGGCATTTGATGTTTCCTGTTTTTGAGGATGTCAAGACATTGAATTTCTTGTTTCGTCAAATCAATAACACCAAATGAACCAGCACAACATAAGTATTTGTGAATGAGTAGCAGTAGCAGCAGCAGCAGCAGTAACAGTAGCAGCAGCAGCAGCAGTAGTAATAGTAGTAGTAGTAGTAGTAGTAGTAGTAGTTGAATTTTGCACAAGTATTTTCTTACTTTTGGTGACAGCCAGCTGAGATGATGGATCCATGGGCGAAGTAATCCCCCGTGTCGTAGCATGGACATTGTCCAGCTTGAATACATTTACCAGACTGGAAAGAAAAACAACAACAGTTTATCATACGTTGCCGTCTTGCTGCCCCCAACCCGTACCTGTACTCTGGATACCTTATTACAACCATTATGTCACTGATTAATCAACTTAAGCATTTGAGTCCTTTAAGAAACGATAGAGTAGATTCTCTCAATGACATCGGATCTTTTTAATTGCCATGTCTATTGTAATGTGTGAGCATTTGCCTTAGTTAACGTATGTCTTTCCGTCTGTTCACTCCAACCATAAGACGGCATTTTGGTCTGATTCATTTAGTCGCTTGATGCAATAATCGTAGATAGCTGTTGATAATCGTGGATTGCTGTTAATAATCATGGATTGCTGTTAATAGCTGTGAATAATCATGGATTGCTGTTAAAAATCATCGATTGCTGTTGTAACCAGGAACACATTATGGAATGACGCACAAGTTATTCTGAAGATAAATACATGCGCCGTATGAAAAAAACAACTCACGGGGTCTTCAACAGTTCCATCGGGACAGTAGCAGGCTTCCTGCAAGATGAACTCGCCATTTCTCTGTGGAAGTTGTTTGCAAGCACTCTTTCGTCCAGGCATTTGGCAGACTGGTTTGCAGGTACCATCTTGGAGTTCAGCCAGAGTCTGAGTACCAAGACATGTCATCTTCTCGCATGTTGTATTGGTGCAGGACAGTTTGCCACTTGAACACAAGCTGCAAACATGCCATAAGTCAGTGATTAATATACATTAAACAGTGGTTTCATCAAATGTTTACGTATGTGTAGTGATTAGCACCAATGTGTACACACGGTGTCTAATCTACAGCGGGACTAACATAGTAGGTTATTTCCGCTTGACCATGACCACAAGGACGGTTCCACAACACTCGACGTTTGGAACGGGTATTTCACATTGGCAGTTAGGCCTGTTATCTTAGATCCATAGGAAAGGGAGCGCGGGAAGTAATATATGCAAACAAATTTACTTTCTTAACTATTTCAATATAATGGTGAAAAAATACAAAGTTTTTCGAAAAGGATTGATAAAAAACCCTTCTTAGAAATATGATTAATTTCATCGCAATCTTTTTAGTATTTTCACTGCTTGGTCTCAATCGAGTTATTTCTTAGAAATTATATGGCGACTCCCATTGTAGTGGTGATGGGTTGTAGAGCTATTGAAAAAGAAATTATTTATTTACACGTTAAAATAACAAAGCTATTGACAACAGGATTTTAGATATTTGAAGTTGTACTTATGTCGCTATAATATTTACTCTCCAAGAGTAATACATATCACGAAACGACTTTGAATTACACGTATGGCAAACGACACGAGAGACATTTCTGTGACCGTTGATTATCAAGCTCTAACACCGTACTTAGTCTGTGTTTTACTTTGCTGTGAATGTTCATCATATAGGTATCACGAGTTTCCTAATGCGAATAACACGTATATAATGGTTCAGTAGCTGGACCTTTACACCTTTGGTTCACAGGTTTAGAGCTTACCATTCCTGGCAGCCGATGGTGACCTTGTCGCCGGGTCTAATGGGAGTGGTAGGATCATCGAGTGAGTAGCAGTTGCATTGGTCCTGTGGAACACAGTTGTTGTCTTGGTCAAGATAGTTTCCGGGCTTGCAAGTACAGCCCTGGAGACAGTCACCAGTGCATTTCCCACCACTGAGGCTGAGGTCACGGCAGGAAGTATCACAGCTCTTTACACAACAGCTGTATTCCTTGTCGCCATCTTGATTACCGGTCCCGGCTGCGCATGTTGTCATTGACGCTAGTAAGAAAGAAGGCATATCATTATAGTGAGTGAGTGGATGAGTGAGTTTAGTCTTACTCCGCTTTCAGCAATATTCCAGCAATATCACGGCGGGGACACCAGAAATGGGCTTCACACATTGTACCTATGTGGGAACTCGAACCCGGGTCCTCGGTGTGACGAGCGAACGCTTTAACCACTAGGCTACCCCACCGCCCACATATCATTATAACATCCTTATGGACTACATTAGCCACTCAAAGTCCTTTATATCACTGGAATTCTATCAAATTGGCTTCTTGACTAAATTACCAATGATCATGTGATGAAGTATTCCTTTGTCTCTGAAAAATTATTAGAAAGAAATTCTCGGTTGAAATGCTACACCCGTGTGCGCTTTGACCATAGATTTGTCATAGTCCAATAAATATACCAGTGGAATTACAACAGAAACTGAAGTGAAGACAGGAGGACTTACAGCAGTCTACTGTGGCTGTGTCGTTGAACTGCGTGAGGCAGATGCCACAGTCTCGAAGCATTCCTTTGAGAAGGCCACAGACTCCTTCTCCTTTCATGGCTTCACAGGCGACTTCGTACTCATCCAGTTTGCTGATTTCCATTGATGGACATTTGCTGGTGATAGCTTTCCTCATGTTCTCACACTACAATAGTTAAATGTTTCCAGTGTATAGTGCTATAGTGGATATCATTTGCCAGATAACATGTGTTTTTCTACTGAACTACAGAGAGTAGAGGCACCATCCAGAAATCACAATATAATACAATAGGCGGATCCACAAGGGGGTGCAGGGGTGCGAAACCCCCCTATTGTCCTGAACGTTTATTGAATGACCATTGTAACTCTCGAGAAAACGGGTGAAAATGTACTGTGCACTTTTTTTCCTTTTGGAACTGTGCACCCCGCCTTTCTCTAAAAGCTGTATCCGCCCCTGACTTTACTGTTTATCACGGCAATACAATCTCATTATTTGCTTTCTTCAACACTCTTAAATGCAATGACAATATTGATTTCAGACATACTATGTACAATAAATGTTCAAGAAATCATGGAAGAGAAAATATGTGTATAAATAAAAGGTAAAGGTTCGCCACCATAAAGATGGGTACACCTTATCAACACAGGTAACTAAGAGGAACATAATAGACCATTTTCTTCGGATGATTTAAAAGTCATTAAAAAATCCAACTGCAAACTCAGTATATTATCAGTTACAATAAAATATATTAATCTGGTGACTTCCCCTCTTCCTGGAGAGATGCAGTGATCTACCTTCAGTTGTTGGCAATCTATAGCCTGTTTTTTTATATTTTATTGTCCTCTATAGTTAAACTGTTATAGATTTAATTACTAGTTTTACATTTATAACTGTGATTTTCTAGTTGTTTTACTGTCCTTCGTTGACAGGTTTTTATAATTTACCTTTAATTATTATTAAACTGTAACTTCAGTTATTCACGATATGGCTGAAATATTGCCGATGTGACTTTAAATTTTAACTCACACACTCACTCACACTGAAGAGATGCTATAATCTTTCCCTTAAAAAGCCTGGCAAGGATCATTATGACCCAGTAAATTATCATTTCTTGCATTTCTTGCCATAGTCCTCTCATGTTTTTGGAATGTGTGGATTTTGCACTGATTTGTCAACGTTTCGATACAGGTCAAACTATTTAAATGTGAGTTGTTATTGTTCACTGTGACAACGGACTGACGTTTCAGTGATCTTCGACATTACTTGTATTCTATATTCATTTCCACAGGAAAATAACATTTTTCTAACCGCAAATAGCTTCAATATTGCTCACGCGGCCTAAAACAACGTTTACTCATTCACTAGTGTGCTGCACTGGACTATCTTCCAAGCCACTAAAATGATTTTAGATGTTGATACTTGTAATGCACGAATACATTCTTACAATATGCTTTGGTGAAACATGAGTCGACTTATTACTCACCCGTTGAAGATATCACTGTTTAATAATTTTGCAATGTTATTACACATTGTGTAATAATACCGTACGTATGACGCCAAAGTGGTATACAGTTATGACGTCACAATGCTAATACCTCTTTCACAATAGTATTAGACCTTGCTTGACTCACGGAAAGCTGAGAGTCATCACACTCGTTGAATTCTTAGGAAAGAAGTACTTTGCTCGATATTATTTTGCTAATGTTGGTTGAGTAATAAATAAATTACCAGAGTATGTCCCGTGTAATACCATATTTATGAAACCCGTGAATGGTATTGGTATCTAACTCACTTTCGCTCGGTTGAAACCATACACTCGTTTCATAAATATGGTATTACACTGGACATCGTTTAGTATCCACTATATATGGATTAAGTATATGAAGGGATATACCTGTGGTATTTTGGTTGTGCTGTCATAAGCATCAAATGCAAGGCATCTGTCCTGTGAGTTCCCTGCAATGAAGTCGTCTTCACTGAACTGACCAAGAGTAGCTGGATCGATGAGGTCGTTGTCGGGGTTGTAGTCGTAGTTACCACAAAGACCTGATACCTAGGACACAAACAAACTGATGATAACTACCGACACACAACTCTACTTTGAAACCTTCTTCACAGTCGCATGTCTCTATGGAAGGAGATGTTCACCCATCTAAATTAGAACTTTATAATCATATCCGTATCGTTACAACGGTTCTAATATATAGTACAATCAACAGTGTTATGATTTTGTCCGTAAGATAAGGGTATGAAAACCCCAGTCAGAATATCGTTTAACGTTGCAAAAAAAGAAAATTGCAGTCAGTACATTGAATAAGTAGTTTAAGATGATCGCAAGTAGATATTGGCATATGTAAGGCACATTACACTATTCCCAAGCAGGGACTGACACATGTAAATGGTTGTGTTGTGGAGCTATATTTCAGCTATATCATGGCTTTTGGTAGATAACACTCTCCATCACTACATACAATGGCAACAGATTACATAATGTCAATTATGGTGTTGTGTCCGCTCTTTATGTGACAATACATACCCTGGTTGAGTATACACTGGGTCTGGCTGAAATGACGATGCCGCTGCTCTTGTCGATTGAAACTGTGAGGTCCATGAATTCAACTACGTATGTATCCGCGGCTGTGCTGATGAATAGTCCAGTCTTGGTGAATGGAAGAACTTTGGTTTGACCATTCACTTTGAAGGTTTGGTCTTTCACACCGATTGCGTAGCTGTCGCTTCCTCTGGTCACAGTGACTGTCATGAGACTCATGTCTGGCGCTGTTGAAGCTTCGACTTTCATCTTGCCTTTGAGCTACAACAGTCATTGTAATTAATTGACTGTTATATGGCGTGACATCAGCGACAATGTTCAATTAGCTGGTTTGGCCCGATCCCAAACTCAACGTTTAAATTGGCTGTGATGTTAAAATTGTTAAGTGGTTGAGTGGAAATAAGATGTGTCATTATATAAAGCTGTAAATAGTTAGGATCATTGTCCTTGAAAAAAACATATTATCCAGAATATTGACATATCTGGCGGGAATTTGTAATTTCACCATTTTAACAAATGGTTGTGATCATGTTTTAACAGGCTGTGTCGGCTTCAGTATATTTGTTATCTCCCCTTACATCTCACAGTAAATGTGTGCTTATGAAAGTGATCACACTCTTTACCTCCAACAGTGTGAAGGAACACTCAGCTGAGCCCTTGTTGGACACCTTGAACGAGAACTGATCAAACTGTTTGACGGTCTTGAGGCCTTTGACTTCGCAGATGCCTGGACAATCCTCCTTGACACATTTCCACATACCATAGATTTGACAGGTACTGTAATGAAGAATTAGATTCGATACTCTGGGTTTCCCATCACTAGGGGGCACACGGGGATACATTCGTAGACATTGATGGAAACTCATAAAGTAAGTGTTTCAAACATCTAGCCCAACATGACACGCTTTGTTTCTTTGATACGCCAGGTTCAGGCAAATGATTACTCTTAAACAAGAATCGAATTAAGAGAATATTCATGAATCGGTTCAACTCGTAGAAAAAAATATTCTGCTTATTTGTTGTAAAGCTGTCAAATAACTTACGACAACAATATATTCTTATCTCTCTAAAGATTTGCAATATATGTTCTTACCATGACATACACTTGTCCTTCGTGTACATTTTTTCGTCGAGAGCATATGCCTTCTTGTCGTAGACGCACTTGCAGTCATTAGGTGCCACGCAGTTGCCTGCATTGTCAAGGATCTTTCCTGCCTCACAGACACATCCAGCCAAGTGCTGAGAACACGATGGACTAGTGAGCCTCTTCAGGTTGTCTGTGTCCAACATTCCGCACATTGCAGGGCATGGGGATGCATACACAGAGAAGATCTTTCCAGCTGGGCATTGCTTGGCTGAAGAATTAAAACAGCTGCGTATTCACTAGGTATGACTCAATTTAGGTGGGCGAACATTAGAATATCGATATTGTTTTAATGAAGAGACGTAATGACTTAACCACAAAATCCAAGAGCATGACATCCATTTTTGTTTCATTAACGATCAGCAATGTGGGTATTTAGTATCTTAAAATACAACGATAATAACGGGTAATTGCAAAATTCAAATCATCAAGCTAATCTTGATCGAGTCTGAAAGTAAAAAGTATACATACGACAGAAGTTCTTCGTTCGCCATTTAAAGTAGACGTTCTTTGAAATACACATAGAGGCATAGAGAGACAGTGTGTTGCACACGGCTTCCTGTTTCTTCTCGGGGGTGGCAGCATTGCAGTAGGCTCTCTTGCACTCAAAGAGACTCAGTGTGGGGTCCACCTGTCATCATAACACACGTCTTACTAATATACACTCGAAGTGGACCAGCATTTACAATTATATAACGGCATACACTCAATGTGTACAGAAGAGAACAAATATGTTACAACTGGACATACGGTACCAGACTTTAGGAGTCCATCTATCTGTTTTTTGCAGTAGTTTAAACTGATCCCCATGCAGTGTCCGTATACTTACGATATCGTTGCAGGTTCTGAAGCCACTGCTTCTAAGCCAAGCACAGGCCTTGTTGGCTTGGTCCTCTTCATCCCCAGCGGCACATCGTCTCAGTCCCTCGCCACACTGCATCACATTGTATACACACGTTGTACCAAATGATATATTATATATACTCAGTGTCAGTTATTTCCAGAAATGGTTGATAATATACTTTAGAGATGGTGGATATTGCATCAAGTCGATATCCAGTGACAGAGAGGATTATACTAGAGGGGGTAGATACAGAGATACGGTTCATGTCAGGTTATCTACTGGGTGGACAATAAAGGTAATATGCGTATACAACAAGGGTTGAAAGTACAGTATGGTCTGAGAGTGGATATCACATCACAAACAGGAAATGTGAGTTCAAAGAGGGTTGACATCTCGTTATATACACACATGGTTGAAGTTACATGGTCAAAGAGGCTTGACATCTCTTTATATACACACATGGTTGACGGTACATGGTCAAAGAGGCTTGACATCTCTTTATATACACACATGGTTGAAGGTACATGGTCAAAGAGGCTTGACATCTCGTTATATACACACATGGTTGATTGTACATGGTCAAAGAGGCTTGATATCTCGTTATATACACACATGGTTGAATGTACATGGTCAAAGAGGCTTGACATCTCGTTATATACACACATGGTTGAATGTACATGGTCAAAGAGGGTTGATGTCCCATTACATACAGTGCTTGTAGCACCTTAACAATGCACATCGAGTGCTGATTGCTGGTATATTTATCAAGGATTCATAGCATTATATGTCTTATAGTGTTACATATGATTGATAGTAAATATATAAAGATAGAGGTTATACATGCACAATAGACAACTTTACCTTATCTGCGCTTCTGAAGTTGCCTGCAATACCCTTGACTTCAATGGGATTGCTGAGGAGGGCATATTCAGCTGTAGGGGAAATAATTTGGGTATAATATATTCCAATTGAATTGATTGACAAAAATATTCTTACAGCCCTTTTACTTGATAATTGTTTTAATTTTGTTCGTATGAAATGAAAAGAAGATGAATATTATTTGTACCTGCTTGATCGCCCTTGCCGTTTCCGCACATTCCGGTGAAACCTCCATCTTCAAGAGTTCCCCTGTCGGCTGTGACCACAGCCATACCGTCATCATCAACACCAACGGTGATCTCGAATTTTGAGAGTTTGAAGTTCTTACGCTCCAGTTTTTCGTAAACAGTAATGTCTGAAAAGAAATATGGTATTTACCAATCTATTCTCACAGAGAAATCTTCTGTTGATTTGTCCCAATACCTACCACCAGCCAAGTCTTTGACGAGCATAATACTTAGTGTGTCATTAATACCTTCATCAGATTTCCACAGTCAACACTACTTATTCAACATCGCTTTGTACTACAATCCAAATAACGTGTGTCTTATGTAATTTCATAAACCAAACAATATCCATTAATTCCAACTATCACCGCTTTCGTACTTATTACAAATATGTCAATTTAATATTCGATTATTTTCTTGATTCTACATATTTTCGAAACTATTAAACAATACCATTTTAATCGCATTACCTCAATTACATTGCACGGATATATTATCTGCAAAGGCCAAGATCTAGAATGATTTTTGTAAGCTCAAATGAATAACGTTTCAACGATATAAACGAAAGTGCTTATTTCTAGCCCTTTAGACACCGATATACCGACATGTGACGGGGTCGTACTGGCGAGGTTTCACTTGAGATTGATTTTATACACACGTGGTTTTATAACCTGTTAAATATCCATTCATGCAAATTTTCAGAGCTACCGTTAATTTTTACAATAAATGGAATCTGATTTTGAATTAGTCCAGACTGGGTTAGTCCATACTTCTTCTGATATTGCAATGTACATACAGATATATCTGACTATGTAAAACATGGCTGCTTCCCTTCCTCCTACCTCCGAGACTCTTTGGTTCTGATGTAACGTCAGTTTCCGTTCCATCGGGATTTTTTACTTTTCCAGTTGCGCTACTGTATTCGTATGTTTTCCCGTCCATTGTGATTGAAATAGACTGAAAAGAAGGAATTGTTAGACTTCGTTAGGACAGTGGGTGCGACAAGAACATGGTCAGCCATCTTGTTGAAGAGGAGATTGTTTATCAAAACCACCCAATAATAAGAATTCGGCACGTTAACGTAACAACACTGATGGCGCAATACAGACAACACTGATGACGCAATACAGACAACACTGATGACGCAATACAGACAACACTGATGACGCAATACAGACAACACTGATAACGCAATACAGACAACATTGATCACGTAATACAGACAAAATTGTTGACGTGAAACAGACACCATTGTTGGTGTGATAATTGGCAATATTGTTGACCTGATACAGACATCAGACGTGATACAATAGTTCATTATCTTAGTGTAATGGCGCAATTTCTTTGAGGGGCATTTTGAAGTTGGAGTACTAAGTAAGGATAACTCATAAGGATTACAGGTTGTAATAAAGACGTTGTTCATCCACGTGTCTTTTCCTTACTAAATGACGTAACTGCCCGTTACATACAAATATATATATGATGCTGTGATAATTTCATACGTTTGTTGTATTGTATTATGGTATGTCTCTATTCGCTGTATGTACGAATCAACTAGCTCGCCTATGATTGTTGTCTTCTACAAGCCATAACATATGTGTACGTTTCTATGTTCATGTATCTCCCACTTGGAATACACTGAAAATGTTTCCTCATTCAGAAACGTGTATATGTCAACAAGTGTAAATTTTGTAGAAGTACAATGTAGGTTTTTTCGTCTATTTGCTCTGTCTATGGAACTTTCAACGGGTAAATCTTAACGATATATATAATATATTGAGGCACATTGAAGAAAACTCAATTCTTTAGCTTGATATTCGCCGGGAACCTGTCTCCCTTATAATATACGTTCAAGAAACGTCAAAATTACCTTCTTGCATTTGCACGTAGAACCGGGATCGCATGATGTGTATGCTGTGACCTTTATGTTGGTGTTCTGGATGAGAGTCATAGTACAAGTGGAACAGTAGTTGTAATCGACGCCGTCAAAGGTACGGTAGCTGCACTCTCCGAAAGTTCGGCAGGTCTTTGTACGGAAATCACCCTCTCCGCCAATAACTGTTGCGTTCACTGTAAACACAATGTTAGATATGTTGCAAACATATTGTTTCATCACATCGTATTTTGTTGTAGTTCTTATTCTCTTACATCGCATTTATTCCTGATAGATAATGAAGCATTTAAAGAAGCATATAAGCAGTGTATATATGTCATCATATTGTCATTATTCATCAGGTTATTGCCATAATACAGTTTACAAATCCAAATATAGGTTAATGAACTGCAACTGAAATTACAATCGATTTGTCAAGGTGTGCATAAGGTCAACTGTGAATAGATATTTTACCAAGTATAAAAGGCTCCTGTTTCAGATATCACATTGAACGGCCTTGAATGTGTGCCAAGGATACGTACAAACAAGGGAGTTGAGATTATATTTCGATGAGGTTGTTAACGAAATAAATCTTTTATTAACTTATTATTCTCCCATGTTATTGCCTTTGTGTTCATACATGAAAACAGCAGAACAAGGTAGATTGCCTATGCTGTCCTTAAGCTTGTGTGAGTTCTATTATATCTATTTTTAGGAATTTGTGTATATAAAAAATACTACCCTCTCATCGTGAAATCAGTACAATGAATAGATAAATTATCTATAACTAACTGCATTCTCCTAACGCACCTTTCTTGCAGATGTTGCAAGTGTTCTTGTTACCCCAGGATCCACCTTCTGTACAGCAAGTGCCCTCTGCCGTGAACTCACTTTTCTTGGAGCCGCTGCAGAATTTGCCCACGTAGCAGTAGGACTCTGAAAGTCCCACAATATAATTTCGTTAAAAACTAATTACGGTGTTTTTTCAGTAAATATTGTTTGTTGTTAAAACCTACGACAGGTGATACTACACGTGCATGTGAAGGTATCGTGCTTAAACAACCGCTCTACTATATCTACATTTCTTATACAACGATTTAGCGTTGAGAGTAGTCTATGAATTGTTGGTAGCAAATACTTACACATAGCAAAGCAAATTAATTCATACTGCAATACTTGCATTACATTGAGGATATTTACCAACATATGAAGAAAACATTTCATGAAACTGCATAATAAGTGAACGCATCTTCAAGTAAAAAGTATATTTATGAAAGACCTAGTTTCAAATCACAGAGAGGTATGGTATTACGCGACTTTTAGAAAATTGCCAGCATTATCGGCTGGGGACACCAGACGTAGGATTCACAAAAACGAACCATGGTCTTAGGCGTTACAAACATACGTTTTAGCTACTAGGCTACCCCGCCGCCGCTTTAGTTGTAAATGTATCGTGTTGGTTCCATCTGGCTTATTGTGTTCAATCTTAAAGGATGCAGTGTCGAGGATATCAAAAGCAATGAGACAAATGTTTAAGGGAACGATTTATACCAGTTCCTTTCCGGCAGGGTGAGATGTCCTATCTGATTTAATTTTAAATTAAATCCAACCTACCTCCTGGAGCCTCTTCACAGTTTATCCCAGTGTAGTTGTTTTTACACTCGCAGAGGTTAGGGTTCACACAGACCCCGTTGGCTCCACAGCCACCAGTACAAACAGCTGTGTAGGGACAGAGAGAACATACAACCGTCTAGGTATACAACATCCAGTTGATTCCATGGTAGAACAAGTTCCCGAAACATTTGAAGTATATTAGCTAACTTTGTTTTTATTCATTTACAAATTTCAAACTTTCTTTGTCACGATATGCCTGAAATACTACCGATGTGACATTAAAATTTTAACTCACTCACTCTCTATAACTTGTTTTAGTCACGATATGATTGAAATACTGCCGATTTGACTTAAAATCTTAAATCACTCACTCCCGTAACATTTCAAATATAGTGTAAATTCACACATGCTTACGATTGATCAACCATTGATGCGCCACTGTAGGGGAATATTTACAGGCGTATTAATGTAAACGAAATACCGTTATCCGCAGGCCGACTGTACATAGAAACCTTCACGGAGTGGTATGTAATATATTCATCATTATTCTCATTACTGCCAGCAGTATTTTCATCACATGTAACATTACATTGAGAAAGACAAATGTTTTGTTTGGTAATAACGTTCACAAACAAACCAATTACTCGCTGTGTTTTAGCATATCGGCGTCGTTGTTCAAGAAAATATAATATCAGTTCGAAATTTGATTAAACATTCACTCTCTGTACAACATGATATAGAAGATGAACTTACGATCGTTGCAGTCGTTACCACTGTAACCGTCGCAACAGCCCCATTTTTCCACCTCTTTTTTTCTATAAAAGATAGTCATTGATATAAGTCAGTGGCAATAGCAACAAATGGGTAGGGTCATTTACACACATTACACGAAGCGAAATGGTACTTTGGGGATTTTTGGAAAACAGTTACTGCAGATTTCTAACTTTTCTAGGTTATTTTTTTAATAGTGCTGCCATTGCGGTCATTTTTACAGTTAGGTCGGCCTCGCTGATTCCAGAGTCGCACCTTCATCATCCTTTACATCATTTGAAAGACCGAAACAGAAGTACGACATGACTATGTACGATACGGCAGGTTGTACAGATCTTCAATTTACAGAGGTACAATCGTGAAATATGCAAAGCATATTCTGAAAACTTTCCTATCTAAATTCTCAATGCTGTTATTGTACAAAAATGAAAACATCAGTAACGGGAGGCAGACAGAAAAATATAATTTTTACCTTCATTTGTTGTACGTGAACATAAAACCGCAAACAAATATTCTAAAGTACTACGATAAAAGTGATTACATATGGCACATTTGAAATATTGCATAAGTATAACATGTATCAATAATAGTTACTATTTGTTTTATTCTACGATTACGAGTTTATGTTTGAGATGACGTTAGTATACATGACTTTGAGGGGATAATGTGTGTGTAACGACAGCATATTAAGGTTAAACATGTGTGTATGCCCATGTACCCAGTGTGCATGTAAATTATCAGGACAATTTGTCTTCAGAATTTGTTATAAATACATTAAGTGTAATACACCGTATACTTTGCGAAATGTATAATACCCTTTGCACACAAGAAAGCACATATTACGTTGGGAAACATTTGAGTAGCTCGTTTTCTATCTGAAAGTGACCAACAATATATGCATTAATTTGTTACCTAGTGAAAACACAAGGGATGTCAATTGTGGAAAGCTCCAGCATGTTTTTATTTTCGAGATCCTGTCCCGGGTTCAAACTGTTAATCTGATCCATGGCCGGGATGAAATCTCGTTCCATCATCTGCAGCATTTGTAGGCATGATGCATTTTCGGTCTTTGTTTCAAGTCGTGTCGTGTTACAGAAGGCCGCTCTGTAATGATAGCAGGATATCGAAGTGAGACATACTTCAACGTGTTGCAGAAAGAACACACAGGATGGGTGATACTATTAAGGCATTACAGTGATAACACAGGGAAAGTCATTATGGAACTTGTAATACTATTAAGATAATACAATGACTTCATAGGGAAAGGGATAATGAAATTCAATCTATGAAGATAACACAATATCACAATGTAAACATTGCAAATGTCAGGCTACTATCCTAATGAAGTTCTATCATTGTGAACATTGCAAAGGTAAGGCTACTATCCTAATGCAGTTCTATCATAGTGAACATTGCAAAGGGAAGGCTACTATCCTAATGCAGTTCTATCATAGTGAACATTGCAAAGGTAAGGCTACTATCCTAATGCAGTTCTATCATAGTGAACATTGCAAAGGGAAGGCTACTATCCTGATGCAGTTCTATCATAGTGAACATCCTAATGCTATCAAGGTGCAAAGGGAAGGCTACTATCCTAATGCAGTTCTATCATAGTGAACATTGCAAATGTAAGGCTACTATCCTAATGCAGTTCTATCATAGTGAACATTGCAAAGGTAAGGCTACTATCCTAATGCAGTTCTATCATAGTGAACATTGCAAAGGGAAGGCTACTATCCTAATGCAGTTCTATCATAGTGAACATTGCAAAGGTAAGGCTACTATCCTGATGCAGTTCTATCATAGTGAACATTGCAAAGGTAAGGCTACTATCCTAATGCAGTTCTATCATAGTGAACATTGCAAAGGTAAGGCTACTATCCTAATGCAGTTCTATCATAGTGATGATTGCAAAGGTAAGGCTACTATCCTAATGCAGTTCTATCATAGTGAACATTGCAAAGGTAAGGCTACTATCCTAATGCAGTTCTATCATAGTGAACATTGCAAATGGAAGGCTACTATCCTAATGCAGTTCTATCATAATGAACATTGCAAAGGTAAGGCTACTATCCTAATGCAGTTCTATCATAGTGAACATTGCAAAGGTAAGGCTACTATCCTAATGCAGTTCTATCATAGTGAACATTGCAAAGGTAAGGCTACTATCCTAATGCAGTTCTATCATAGTGAACATTGCAAAGGTAAGGCTACTATCCTGATGCAGTACTATCATAGTGAACATTGCAAATGTAAGGCTACTATCCTGATGCAGTTCTATCATAGTGAACATTGCAAAGGTAAGGCTACTATCCTGATGCAGTTCTATCATAGTGAACATTGCAAAGGTAAGGCTACTATCCTAATGCAGTTCTATCATAGTGAACATTGCAAATGTAAGGCTACTATCCTGATGCAGTTCTATCATAGTGAAAGTAATTATGAAACAAGTTACATTACTACGACAATGCAGTCACATCGTACAGAACTTGTTTATGAGTCTGCTTAAGCTATCATGATGATATATGTATATCATAGCGAATATAGAGTCCCAACGCGACAACAACATCAGCCTAGACTAGATGATGAAATTGCTCCAATTTGCGCGAAAACGGTAAAATAGTGATGAAAACAACATACATGGATCATGGAATATCTGTGTTCGCAAAAAGGTTAAGTAAGAAATTATGAAACTGTTACGGCAAGTATGTAAATACTATGGCATCATACTAATATTAATTAAGAAAATGATGACACCCTTGCAGTTCGACATTTGCTGTTAAAAAAATAACGTAATAAACCACATTGTTCTTTGGAAGCTTGAATATTTAAATCATTATATTTGATGTTTCTCCTATATTTACAAGATATGCACTCTCCGTCAGTAACAACTAATGACTGCATATTGTTAATTCTAAACAATTACATTGCATCGAAGGTGACAATGATTTGGGGTATTGATGAAAATGATCAAATGGGAACATACTTAGAATACCGACCACAATCTATCAAATATAGATTCTAAATATAAAAAGAACGTTCTTCAAGTCCCGAATGAAGGTAAGTGTGGATGGCCAATTAATCTTACGGTTTAATTTATCTGATTTAAGTTGCAAAGTTGTACAAGTACACGTTTATATAATTCAAATACAGAATGTGAAAGTGCGGTAAACTTCAAGTCGAAATGAACACCACGTCACGATCACAACCCCGAGGAGCAGCTGTCGCCATTTTGAAATCATTGTCTGCGGTTCGGACTTGCTGCTTGAGCTAACTGTCACGATCCAACTGTCATCGACAAACTGTCAAACCGATTCCTCTTAAATTTCAACTATTACAATGTTGATGCAAATTAGATGCCCATGTCCTCACTATTTTGTTTCACTACTTTGTCCATGTATTTTTAAGAAACCAACGACTGCAAGGCAAACAGTTAATTTAGTATTAGTTTGCATGCAACATATTGACAATGTCTGACTAGTGAAGACCTACTACGTTTGCTTCTGTTCATGCCAAGGCTCCTGAACAGATCCCTTACTGTACGTGCCAAACACCAACAGACAGATGCCAAACACCAACCCTTACTGTACTTGCCAAACACCAACAGATCCCTTACTGCACGTGCCAAACACCAACAGATCCCTTACTGCACGTGCCAAACACCAACAGATCCCTTACTGTACTTGCCAAACACCAACAGATCCCTTACTACTGTACTACGTGCCAAACACCAACAGACTTGCCAAACACCAACCTTACTGCACGTGCCAAACACCAACAGATCCCTTACTGTACGCCACGTCGAGTACAAGACATGATATGATGCTGGTTAGGTTCTGCATAGCCAACTCAAACCAACATAGCTTTAAAGCTACTGCCGAATCCGTTTTATAACCATGTTTCTATTCACAGTTAATCACAACTATCAAGCGGGAGAATTGAATCTCTTAATTCAGAATAAAAATCTGAAATAAAAATCCTACGACAATTTAAACTGAAAGTTTTCAAGTGTTCATACCTATGTGATTCTTATTTTAGAGACAAGATGCATCTTAAGACAATGAAAATGACTATATGACATATTTATTGAAAGTGAAAGATACTTACGAGGAAATCGCCGGTCCGGTTACCATTATCCATAGTATAACAGAGAGAAGCGGGTTGAGGGAACGAGCCATGGCTCCCTTAGTTTAGTCGATCTACGACTCGTTTGTCCTGTCAGCACTCCAATAGTCCAAGTTTTCGCACGCACGGATAAACACACAGAAATGTATCGGGCAGTGCTCTCTTGGAGAAGAAGTCTCGTTCGCTTACCCCTGCTCTCTTTATTATATACCTTCGTAAAATAACCACGTGACTTAACTTTAGGCTACCAGTTACCTATTGAGTGCCCCTATACCATATTGATATTTTGTCATGTGCTCACCCTTCCATTGGCTGGTGGTGGTGACAGCTACCACAGACATTGATTTGCTTTAACTAAATTCATAATAGCCCGTGTGCTGTTGTTCCTTGGGTAACATATGGCAGCTATGTTGACGAATTTATTTAGAAATATACAGACCTCAGCAGAATTTTGTCCACTCCTTACTTTTGACATTAATGCACTTTTCACGCTCTTTCTGCGTGCTAGGACCGTGTGCAAACCTAAACATGTTTATGTTTGTGTTGGTTTGTGGAAACGTACACATGTTTATGGTTGTGGTGGTGTGCAAACTTATTCATGTTTATGGTTGTGGTGGTGTGTGCAAACCTATACATGTTCATGGTTGTGGTGGTGTGTGCAAACCTACTCATGTTAATGGTTGTGGTGGTGTGTGCACACCTACACACGTTTATGGTTGTGGTGGTTTGTGCAAACCTACTCATGTTTATGGTTGTGCTGGTGTGTGCAAACCTACACACGTTTATGGTTGTGGTGGTGTGTGCAAACCTACTCATGTTTAAACCCATACATACACACGTTATGGTGTGGTGGTGTGTGCAAACCCATACATGTTTATGGTTGTGGAATATGTGTAATGTTACTCATGTTTATGGTTGTGGTGGTTTGTGCAAACCTACTCATGTTTATGGTTGTGGCGTTGTGTGCAAACCAACATTTTTAATGGTTGTGGTGGTGTGTGGAAACGTAGACATGTTTATGGTTGTGGTGGTTTGCAAACCTACACATGTTGATGGTTGTGGTGGTGTGGGGCAACCTACACATGTCTATTGTTGTTGTGTGTGCAACCCACACATGTTTATGGTTGAGGTGGTGTGTGGAAACCTGCACATGTTAATGGTTGTGGTGGTGTGTGCAAACCTACACACGTTTATGGTTGTGGTGGTTTGTGCAAACCTACACATGTTGATTGTTGTGCTGATGTGTGAAAACCTACACATGTTTATGGTTGTGGTGGTTTGTGGAAACCTACACACGTTTATGGGTGTGGTGGTTTGTTCAAACCTAGACATGTTCTTGTTTGTGGTATATTTGCAAACCTACCCATGTTGATGGTTGTGGTATATGTGGATGCCTACTCATGTTTGTGGATGTGGTGGTGTATGCAAACCTACAAATGTTTATGGTTGTGGTGGTGTGTGCAAACCTAGACATGTTTATGGTTGTGGTATATGTGCATGCCTACTCATGTTTATGGTTGTGGTGGTGTATGCGAACCTTCTCATGTTTGTGGATGTGGTGGTGTATGCAAACCTAAACATGGTTATGGTTGTGGTGGTGTGTGCAAACCTACCCATGTTTATGGTTGTGGTATATGTGCATGCCTACTCATGTTTATGGTTGTGGTGGTGTATGCGAACCTTCTCATGTTTGTGGATGTGGTGGTGTATGCAAACCTAAACATGGTTATGGTTGTGGTGTTGTGTGCAAACCTATAGATGTTTATGGTTGTGGTGGTGTGTGCAAACCCATACATGTTTATGGTTGTGGTGGTGTGTGCAAACCTACTCCTGTTTATGGTTGTGGTGGTGTGTGCAAACCGATACATGTTTATGGTTGTGGTGGTGTATGCAAACATACTCATGTTTATGGTTGTGGTGGTGTGTGCAAACCCATACATGTTTATGGTTGTGGTGGTGTGTGCAAACATACTCATGTTTATGGTTGTGGTGGTGTGTGCAAACCTACTCATGTTTATGGTTGTGGTGGTTTGTGGAAACCTACACATGTTAATGGTTGTGGTGGCGTGTGCAAACCTACACACGTTTATGGTTGTGGTAGTGTGTGCAAACCTACACATGTTTATGGTTGTGGTGGTGTGTGCAAGCTTACACATGTTTATGGTTGTGCAGATGTGTGAAAACCTACACAAGTTTATGGTTGTGGTGGTTTGTGGAAACCTACACACGTTTATGGGTGTGGTGGTTTGTGCAAACCTAGACATGTTCATGTTTGTGGTATATTTGCAAACCTACCCATGTTGATGGTTGTGGTATATGTGCATGCCTACTCATGTTTGTGGATGTGGTGGTGTATGCAAACCTTCTCATGTTGATGGTTGTGGTAGTGTGTGCAAACCTACTCATGTTTATGGTTGGGGTGGTGTGTGCAAACCTACTCATGTTGATGGTTGTGGTATATGTGCATGCCTACTGATGTTTGTGGATGTGGTGGTGTATGCAAACCTACTCATGTTTGTGGATGTGGTGGTGTATGCAAACCTACTCATGGTTATGGTTGTGCTGTTGTGTGCAAACCTATACATGTTTATGGTTGTGGTGGTGTGTGCAAACCCATACATGTTTATGATTGTGGTGGTGTGTGCAAACCTACTCATGTTTATGGTTGTGTGGTGGTGTACTCATGTTTATGGTTGTGGTGGTGTGTGCAAACCTATACATGTTTATGGTTGTGGTGGTGTGTGCAAACCTATACATGTTTATGGTTGTGGTGGTGTGTGCAAACCTACTCATGTTTATGGTTGTGGTGGCGTGTGCAAACCTACTCATCTTTATGGTTGTGGTGGTGTGTGCAAACCTATACATGTTTATGGTTGTGGTGGTGTGTGCAAACCTACTCATGTTTATGGTTGTGGTGGTGTGTGCAAACCTACTCATGTTTATGGTTGTGGTGGTGGTGTGTGTGCCTATACAAACCAGCCATGTTTATGGTTGTGGTGGTGTGTGCAAATCTATACATGTTAATGGTTGTGGTGGTGTGTGCAAACCTATACATGTTCATAGTTGTGGTGGTGTGTGCACATGTTTATGGTTGTGGTGTGTGCAACCTACACATGTTGATGGTTGTGGTGGTGTGTGCAAACATACACATGTTTATGGTTGTGGTGATGTGTGCAAACCTACACATGTTTATGGCTGTGGTGGTGTGTGCAAACCTTACACATGTTAATGGTTGTGGTGGTGGGTGCAAACCTACACACGTTTATGGTTGTGGTAGTGTGTGCAAACCTACACAAGTGTATGGTTGTGCTGATGTGTGAAAACCTACACAAGTTTATGGTTGTAGTGGTTTGTGCAAACCTAGACATGTTCATGTTTGTGGTATATTTGCAAACCTACCCATGTTGATGGTTGTGGTATATGTGCATGCCTACTCATGTTTGTGGATGTGGTGGTGTATGCAAACCTACTCATGGTGATGGTTGTGGTGTTGTGTGCAAACCTACTCATGTTTATGGTTGTGGTGGTGTGTGCAAACCTACACATGTTTATGGTTGTGGTGGTGTGTGCATGCCCACTCATGTTTGTTGTTGTGGTATATGTGCATGCCCACCAGTGTGGTGTAAATGCCATGTTTGTGGATGTGGTGGTGTATGCAAACCTACTCATGGTTATGGTTGTGGTGTTGTGTGCAAACCTATACATGTTTATGGTTGTGGTGGTGTGTGCAAACCCGACACATGTTTATGGTTGTTGTGGTGGGTGCAAACCTACACACGTTTATGGTTGTGGTAGTGTGTGCAAACCTACACAAGTGTATGGTTGTGCTGATGTGTGAAAACCTACACAAGTTTATGGTTGTAGTGGTTTGTGGAAACCTACACACGTTTATGGGTGTGGTGGTTTGTGCAAACCTAGACATGTTCATGTTTGTGGTATATTTGCAAACCTACCCATGTTGATGGTTGTGGTATATGTGCATGCCTACTCATCTTTGTGGATGTGGTGGTGTATGCAAACCTACTCATGGTTATGGTTGTGGTGTTGTGTGCAAACCTATACATGTTTATGGTTGTGGTGGTGTGTGCAAACCCACACATGTTTATGATTGTGGTGGTGTGTGCAAACCTACTCATGTTTATGGTTGTGGTGGTGTGTGCAAACCTATAGATGTTTATGGTTGTGGTAGTGTGTGTAAACCTACTCATGTTTATGGTTGTGGTGGCGTGTGCAAACCAGCCATGTTTATGGTTGTGGTAGTGTGTGCAAACCTATACATGTTTATGGTTGTGGTGGTGTGTGCAAACCTATACATGTTCATAGTTGTGGTGGTGTGTGCACATGTTTATGGTTGTGGTGTGTGCAACCTACACATGTTGATGGTTGTGGTGGTGTGTGCAAACATACACATGTTTATGGTTGTGGTGGTGTGTGCAAACCTTACACATGTTAATGGTTGTGGTGGTGGGTGCAAACCTACACACGTTTATGGTTGTGGTAGTGTGTGCAAACCTACATATGTGTATGGTTGTGGTGGTGTGTGCAAGCTTACACATGTTGATGGTTGTGCTGATGTGTGAAAACCTACACAAGTTTATGGTTGTAGTGGTTTGTGGAAACCTAGACATGTTCATGTTTGTGGTATATTTGCAAACCTACCCATGTTGATGGTTGTGGTATATGTGCATGCCTACTCATGTTTGTGGATGTGGTGGTGTATGCAAACCTTCTCATGTTGATGGTTGTGGTAGTGTGTGCAAACCTACTCATGTTTATGGTTGCGGTGGTGTGTGCATGCCTACTCATGTTTATGGTTGTGGTGGTGTGTGCATGCCCACTCATGTTTGTGGTTGTGGTATATGTGCATGCCCACTCATGTTTGTGGATGTGGTGGTGTATGCAAACCTACTCATGGTTATGGTTGTGGTGTTGTGTGCAAACCTATACATGTTTATGGTTGTGGTGGTGTGTGCAAACCCACACATGTTTATGATTGTGGTGATGTGTGTAAACCTACACATGTTTATGGTTGTGGTGGTGTGTGCAAGCTTACACATGTTTATGGTTGTGCAGATGTGTGAAAACCTACACAAGTTTATGGTTGTGGTGGTTTGTGGAAACCTACACACGTTTATGGGTGTGGTGGTTTGTGCAAACCTAGACATGTTCATGTTTGTGGTATATTTGCAAACCTACCCATGTTGATGGTTGTGGCATATGTGCATGCCTACTCATGTTTGTGGATGTGGTGGTGTATGCAAACCTTCTCATGTTGATGGTTGTGGTGGTGTGTGCAAACCTAGTCATGTTTATGGTTGCGGTGGTGTGTGCAAGCCTACTCATGTTTATGGTTGTGGTGGTGTGTGCATGCCCACTCATGTTTGTGGTTGTGGTATATGTGCATGCCCACTCATGATTGTGGATGTGGTGGTGTATGCAAACCTACTCATGGTTATGGTTGTGGTGTTGTTTGCAAACCTATACATGTTTATGGTTGTGGTGGTGTGTGCAAACCCACACATGTTTATGATTGTGGTGGTGTGTGCAAACCTACACATGTTTATGGTTGTGGTGGTGTGTGCAAACCTATACATGTTTATGGTTGTGGTAGTGTGTGTAAACCTACTCATGTTTATGGTTGTGGTAGTGTGTGTAAACCTACTCATGTTTATGGTTGTGGTGGCGTGTGCAAACCAGCCATGTTTATGGTTGTGGTGGTGTGTGCAAACCTATACATGTTCATAGTTGTGGTGGTGTGTGCACATGTTTATGGTTGTGGTGTGTGCAACCTACACATGTTGATGGTTGTGGTAGTGTGTGCAAACATACACATGTTTATGGTTGTGGTGGTGTGTGCAAACCTTACACATGTTAATGGTTGTGGTGGTGGGTGCAAACCTACACACGTTTATGGTTGTGGTAGTGTGTGCAAACCTACACATGTTTATGGTTGTGGTGGTGTGTGCAAGCTTACACATGTTGATGGTTGTGCCGATGTGTGCAAACCTACACATGTTTATGGTTGTGGTGGTTTGTGCAAACCTATACACGTTTATGGTTGTGGTGGTGTGTACAAACGTATACATGTTCATGTTTGTGGTATATTTGCAAACCTACCCATGTTTATGGTGCATGCCTACTCATGTTTGTGGATGTGGTGGTGTATGCAAACCTACTCATGTTTATGGTTGTGGTGGCGTGTGCCAACCTACTCATGTTTATGATTGTGGTGGTGGTGTGTGCCAACCTACACATGTTTATGGTTGAGGTATATGTGCAATCCTGCACATGTTAATGGTTGTGGTGGTGTGTGCAAACCTACACTGTGGACGCTGTGGACCGTCTCTGTTGTGTAGTGGTTAGAGTGTCCGCCCGGAGAGCGGAAGGTCGCGGGTTCGATCCCCGGCCGCATGAACCCGAAAGACGTTAAAATATGGTACTTGTTGGTCCCTGCCTGGCGCTCGTCATTAATAGGCACAACAGGGACTGGCCGGCTCAGAGTCAATATAATGTGTCTGAGTGGGGTATTCATGCTTCACTTCGTCATGGTATCTCAGTTAGCAAGCACTATAAAACCAGCTTAAGTCTGGGCTAGTACAAGCAGCCACACATACATACACACGCATGCACGTCGTCATGAGCAAAATATTCTCAAGTACCACGTTTAACCTCATTCCTTCTCACCTTTACCGTTGTGCTAGTGTGTTCAAACCCGCAGTCTCTTAACCGTTGTGCTGATGTTTTCAAACCTGCACATTTCTTTATGGTTGTGCTGATGGGTTCAGACCCGCACATTTCTTTATGGTTGTGCTGATGGGTTCAAACCCACAATCTCTTTACCGTTGTGCTGGTGTGTTCAAACCCACAATTTCTTTACCGTTGTGCTGGTGTGTTCAAACCAGCAATCTCTTTACCGTTGTTCTGACGGGTTCAATTCCGTACATTTCTTTACCGTTGTGCTGACGGGTTCAAACCCATATGTTTTAGCGTTGTGCTGGTCTATTCAAACCTACATATGTTTCAGCGTTGTGCTGGTCTATTCAAACTTACATATGTTTCAGCGTTGTGCTGGTCTATTCAAACTTACATATGTTTCAGCGTTGTGCTTGTCTATTCAAACTTACATATGTTTTAGCGTTGTGCTGGTCTAGCGTTGTGCTGGTCTATTCAAACTTACATATGTTTCAGCGTTGTGCTGGTCTATTCAAACTTACATATGTTTCAGCGTTGTGCTGGTCTATTCAAACTTACATATGTTTTAGCGTTGTGCTGGTCTATCGTTGTGCTGGTCTATTCAAACTTACATATGTTTTAGCGTTGTGCTGGTCTATTCAAACTTACATATGTTTCAGCGTTGTGCTGGTCTATTCAAACTTACATATGTTTTAGCGTTGTGCTGGTCTATTCAAACTTACATATGTTTCAGCGTTGTGCTTGTCTATTCAAACTTACATATGATTTAGCGTTGTGCTGGTCTAGCGTTGTGCTGGTCTATTCAAACTTACATATGTTTTAGTGTTGTGCTGGTCTAGCGTTGTGCTGGTCTATTCAAACTTACATATGTTTTAGCGTTGTGCTGGTCTATTCAAACTTACATATGTGTTAGCGTTGTGCTGGTCTATTCAAACTTACATATGTTTCAGCGTTGTGCTGGTCTATTCAAACTTACATATGTTTCAGCGTTGTGCTGGTCTATTCAAACTTACATATGTTTCAGTGTTGTGCTGGTCTATTCAAACCTACATATGTTTCAGCGTTGTGCTGGTCTATTCAAACTTACATATGTTTCAGCGTTGTGCTGGTCTATTCAAACTTACATATGTTTTAGCGTTGTGCTGGTCTATTCAAACCTACACTGACTATTCTTTTTATATGGAGTTTTGATAACGTACTCATCTCCCTGTTTTAGTGTCATGTGCAAACCGACACATTGTATTTACTCTGCAATATTGATGTACTGAAAACCAAAAATAAGTACATGATCTGCTGGTCGCCTCCTGTATAAATATACAGCAACAGACGCAGCACTTTGTCAAACCTTCAAATTGTGTCCGTTTGATTGGCTAGGCGAACAGAAAAGCAATTTGTTAATGGTGCTTCGAGTCTATCTCGCAGATGAATGGGTGAGAGTGAGTGATTTAGCTTTTTCCGCAGCTTTTAGCAATATCACGGCGGGGACACAAGAAATGGGGTTCACACATTGTACCCATTTGCAAAATCGAACCCAGTTCATCAGCGTGACAAGTGAACGATTTAACCACTAGGCTGCCCCAATGAGTAACGTAGACAACACGCTCCTGTAATGTTTGTTTCTTGTCACACTCAGCAGTATTCCAGCTATATGGCGGTGTACAAGTATTCAAGGCTACCCTGATGGGGAATAACTGCATAATACAAAACAGACATTTCAGTTTATATAATTATGCATATTTTATTCACTTTTCAAATTACAATTCAAAAATACATAGATAAATTAATAATGCTGGCGCTGTATAGCGAGCACTGCAGTCTTTGTTTCAACATATTCCTAGACTGGTTACCTCTGCTTTACATGCTGAAAAAGAAATAAAAACAGTCACAAGACCTTCAATACGACAAATTACATCATTATAACAATACAATGTACATAGTCAGACAAGCGAACACTCATAAATAGAGACGGCATAAGAGATAATATACATTATGCTGGATCCAAACCTCTGAAGAAGTAAAGCAGGACCACTTTGGTTATATTTCAGTGTATGAGACTTCAGTACCACAATTACCATATTGCAGGCAAAGACCAGAATCTGATAGCACTTGGGTAGATAGACTTAAACGTTCGTTTGATTGTACTAAGAAAATCCACCAGCGACACATTGAGACGATAGCCTTACAGATGGAAATGTGTTCAAGTAAAGAAACTACCACTATGACCGAGTAAGGTCACTGGTCGGTGAAAAGTTTAATTACATGGAGACAAAGTACTAATATGTGTACTAATACGGGAGATTACATCAGTCAATGTGTCAAAATGCTAGATATTGGTTCAAATCCTCATTTCACCATGAGTATTATCCTGTTTCGTTGGAATTCTACCTGTTTTGAAATTACTGTTGACAGGGACGTGAAATCCAAACATTTAAAGTGTGCAGCTTGTTATACGTACCACATGTTACAAGAGCAGCTGGTGATTTCCCTGATGCTGATGGTACGGGAAGAAGAGTCAGTGCAGGTGACGGTGTAGTTCTTGAGTGACGTCTCGACAGGGATGCAACATCTGCACTCCTTCACCATCGCGTTATTATTAGTCACGTCGAAGGTGACAGTACTAGGACCGCAGTCACCTTTGCAGGAGTACTGCTCTACCTCAAAGCTGTCGACACAGCCCTGAACGCCAATCGTGACCTTTTCAGGAGAGGGTTGACATGTCTTCTTTCTGCATTCATACTTGCAGCAAGAACCTTCGGGAGCAAGAATCATATCTTCGGTGTCCTGGAATGAATAGTTTGTGTACATTTTCACCTCATTTATCATTTTCGTTGGGATCCTAAATGGGATTGTTCTTACATTATTTCGAGAATTGGTTGGTTACATACAGGTGCATATTATGATAAATGGATTGTTTTTATTTTCTCCATGATTGAAGATTACAGGTTATTGGATAACATTAAACATGAACACAGATTTGATTTAAACGGCAGCAAGACGTGTGCACGTGATATCTATACAATGAAATGAGGATACAAAAGATGATACAATTTCTTAAAATAGCGTGCTAATAAGGAACATACAATCTCTCCACGTTTCAAATGGAACATCCGAAAAACAGTCGGGTACCCCTCCAAGCATAAAAGACATAATGACATCGTCATCAGGCCAAGGTGTTCACATAAATGACACCACATAAACTTTCAAACAGTTCATTTCTTTCAAATAGAGCACAACATAAGGGTGTGTTGGACAATGTCAGTTGCTACTCTTCCACACTCACATTCACCAGATTTGATTTGGCTGACACCGAGTTTGCTATTGTTGATAAATCTTTAATTCTGCCGGGAGCATGGATAGCTTGTTGCCATATATTCAGTGTAACTTGTTGTCTGATTAAGGCATATCTATTCAAATCCTTCCTGTCAGATAGTTGTCTCTGTTATGACTTAGTCTCCACTTGCTTTATTCTCTCACCCTAAATGGGATTGTTCTTACATCATGTCGAGAATTGGCTGGTTACATGCAGGTACTTGTTATGATATACAGTTAGGGATCGTGAATGTTTCTGGCGATATCGAAGTGAAGACTGAGCGCACAATTACTTAAACTTGTCATATTAACCTATTTGTTCTGTGTATTAATCATGTTAATGTTCACTAAATATTTTTAAATAGGTAATATCATATTCTATTCTTAAGGAAAAAAGTGGTTTACAGTTAAGATTGTTTTGATTTACATATTTGTGTCGCATATTTGCATATTTACGTGCCATTACATCTTTCCTTTTTACGCACAGGTAATTGAGGATAATGAGAACGTGTGTTGGGGATGGCAGAGGGGTCCACAAGGATCAATGTGTGACCTCTGATAGCATGGAAATGACGTGTCCCTCCAAAGGGATACTCCTTCCGAATAACCACAAGAAAACGTAACTTACGGAATTGCATGACTTTACACAGTTATCAGTAGGCATTGGCTCGCCTTCTTCACAGATGAACTTGGTACAGTTATCGGCTGGATCTGTGATGCTTTCTCCGTTCTAGAAGAATTGAATAGCATTTAAGTTACTCTTGGGACGACGTCTTGTAAAACGTCCAGCAGTAGTGTATCTTTACAGACATCACATCATCTAAAACACTTATAATTGACTGTACGATTGATCATATTTCCAAACAATTACATTCAGCGACAATAATTTCTTTGTAACTATGTTTCATTAACAAGGTTCAGAAGAGACAAGTGCCATCTTGTCATCACGAATGGTGGATAACTATGACATTACTGCCTCATTCGTCCACTGACTAGACAATATTAGTAGTGACGTTGAACTGGTAACTCACCTTATAAATTTTGCCATTATACACACAGTCTAGACATTCCTCGATCGTGACGCAATCTGCACCACGCCTCATGGTGTTGTTGGTGCACATACAACCAGGTTTTGGAGGGGACTCGCAGTTGTCCCTCGGGCTCCTGTCTTCACAAGTCATTTGGCAGTAGGTGTAGTTACTATACTCTTCGTTGGCTTTGTCGCATACTGAAAAAAGGAAACTTTGTCATAGATTTTGGCGTTCGGTTTAAGTTCCCGGTTAGGTTTGATCTCCAGAAACCCAAACTTGTAGTGAATCGGGACTAATGGGATCGGTTGGCCAGACTTGGTTCCTGCATATTGGTGTCAATCACTGTATTGTCTGGTCAAGTGTCTGGTCGTTATTTAGCTAGCCTGTTGCCATAATACAACAGTAGCAAGTAGCAAGTTATATGGAAACTATGTAGTAAAACATAGTGGACAAAATACTTATATTTTTCGTAGGAAAAAATAATGTTCTTCTACGTGTATACACTTAGTCTGTGCTTTAACTATCTTGGAAATAATCACAGGCTATGACGGGAACATTAATGTGTTTATATTTGTTGGTAATTGTCATAATTTATCTCATGAAACGGTCAATGATAAAAACAAACAACATCGCTCATAAAAGGAGGGCGACTGAATGTACTCACTGCATGGTTCCTCGTAGCAATCACGGGTCTCCAATTTATCCAAGTGTTCGCACCTCACATCATTTTGTGTATCACGTGTTCTTGTGACATTCTGAAGTCCACATGTGCCTTCACATGTTGTCCATTCGCTCCATATATACTTGTTGCCTTTTTCGAGAAAATATGATATGTGTTTACCGTTCAAGCATATGTACTATTTGATGCCGTCACCACTAAATGTTACACTTAGCCCCCTGAGTAATTGTTACATTGTTTGAGTAACATGAGAATGTTAGCAGGTGGAGTAAACGTAATGTTGTGTCTGAGTAAACATGAGAATGTTAGCAGGTGGAGTAAACGTTACACTGTGTCTGAGTAAACATGAGAATGTTAGCAGGTGGAGTAAACGTTACATTGTTAGCAGACGTAGAAAACGGTACATAGCTAGCCGTTTGAGAAAACCTTTACTTCTACAATTATTGTTATGTAGATCAGAAGCTTACAATAGCAGGGTTCTCCGCAAGGTTCTTGGGTCTGCTCAGTAATTTGACAGCTCTTGTCGTCGGGATTTGCGATTGTGAAGTTCCTTGTCTTGATACCTGAAGCTTCACCATCCTTGATGCAGTCCTTACTGCAAGATGTCCAAGCAGTCCATACAGGATCGCAGCCTGTGAGAGAAAAGAATGATATTCTATTCATCAAATCATTCACCTGAATGTGAATACCACTAATTCAGAGCAGCATCAGTGAACCTCGCACATTATATTTAGGTTGGAAATTAAACTTTAGCAAAGGACTTGTGAAAAATTAGGCTTTCCGATATGTATTTCTCAACTTCACTGAAGACGTCACGAGCCTAGCTGAGTTCACGAAAGAGAGGTGAGTATGTCGTGCATTATAATCAGTTTAACTTTTTTTTCCTGTATATTTGCACCAGAACGCTAAAATGAAAGTAATTTTATGATGCACATTCATATTACTGCATGGTACACTAGTCATGGGCCTGACATACTTAAGACCCTCAGAGAAACGAGTCTGAACAAATCTGGCAACTGAAGATTGCGAACTTACATTCGGCAGTTCCACAAGGTTCTGTCTCCACTTCTCTGGGGCCGTTTTCACATTCCTTGCCGTCGCATTTAGGGCCATCGCACTCTCTTTGTCTTGTCATGTTCCTGTCCCTGCACATCTTTCCATTACAAGTGATGGTTGACCATTCGGCCCACTCCTTATACGTACCATCAACTGCAAGAGTAAACGGATATTACAGCCAGATCAGCAATGCCGAGCCATTGTTATGTTTGCTAGAGAGTGGACAGGTAACGTTAGGGAAGGAAAATAGTCGGACATGCAATGCTTAATACACACTTTCAAAAATATAAATGAATAAGATTTGACTATTGAAAGTCGATATTTATCCTTATATACTAGCCATTTCATTGGAAGTAAATTAGGACAATAAAGATCAATCGACTTTAGGTTCTAATCGTTGTTAACTCTTTAGCATAACGTACTTGGTGATTTGGGAACCTTGGTGGCGTTTCCGTCTTCGCATTTCCTGAAACACATGGAGTGGGCTTCATTAGACAAAAGCTAAAGATAACATGCAGAATTTAGTAGGTGTTCTGCGATGTATGTGTGAGAACATATGTATGTTTTTATGCAAGAGCATGAGTCCTTATCCAGCTTGCGTGTTTGTGCTGTTCCTGCTGACAGCGCCATCAGCCAAGCCGGTTACAATGCTTATACTAGCTGAGAGGTTTAATGACATGGTCATCGTGATAGTTGCCAAGCATTAATTCAGACTGAGAAGACAACAACTGCCTTCTTTTGTACAGACACTGATTTTAAAATTTATTTGAAAATGCGCCTTTATTGGCGATGTTCATTTCAACAACGTTTGTTTATACGTACACAGTGAAACACTCCTCATCGACAGTAGTGCCGCTTTTGATGATGTCACCCTGATAATCACAGGGACATAGTGGTACAACGCAATCGGCGGTCTCTGTCTCTGGGTTCTGCTTATCGCACGTAACTGCGCTCTGTGACACCCTGTAGAAACAAACATATTTGGTTATAGATTGTAACACATGTATGTATACAGTGCATACCGTGTTTCTTAAGTATCATTGTGTATGTTAAACATGGGATCATGTCTATATTCAAATTCCAAACATCAAACATATCCTAGAGAGGAAAAGTGATCAGCAGGCCACACTAACCTTGTCCTCGATTTTGTTGCATTCACTCCGCATGATGGATTGCAATCATCCCACGATGTCCATTCAGCCCAGTCGCAGCCTGGGAAAAAAACATAGTTAATAATAGTATCACCCACATTGGCGGATCAAGAGGGTGGGGGTGGGGGTTTCCAGGGGTTCGACACCCCCTTTTGAAAATGACTTAAGACCACATTGAAGATTTTTTTGCGTTGGCGGAGCCAATAGGGGGTTCAAGGGGTTCGAGTCCCCTGATCCCACCCCACCCCACCCCCCTTCAAAATTCCTGGATCCGCCCATGACCCATCACACAATAAGTCTCGTGACATACACATACCCTGGTTATAATGCCACCGTTTGTCCAGGAGAAAATTTTATCCAGGCTGACATTATAACAAAGCAGGACAGTTAAAGGCCCTGTACAATCAACAAGGTGATTGAGCTGACTGAGCGTCTCCTCGTTTTTCTGCTGCTCAGGGATTCTTGTCATTATCTGAATGCATACTGTCTTTAATGTAATAAAGGGTTGTATATATTCAGTAAAAATACAGATAATAAACACAAATTGATAACAGTAAACATCAGCTTGCTATATTATGTTCGCCACATCATAAAACATCACGAAATATTCTACTGCTTTACTTTTAACTTTGTTAGGTACCAGTCGTAGTCAGTGTTTTGACATGCCAGTAGTTGTTCGGCTATGTGATATAAACCCCAGTCATGTATACTGTCAAGTCAGTCATAACCAAAACAATGTAAATACTTACATGCAGCCTTAGGTCCACAGACAAATTTCTTCTCATTGTTACATTTGCTGAAAAAAAGCGATTGGTATAGCATGAAGATACATCCATCAAAGGATTACATGTTTCTGTCTTGATAATAGAGAAGTTACACTATCAGAATATTGTGTACAGGTTTAAATTATCTCCTCACCCGACCGATGAGGAATAACTCTACTACCATTAGCATTAGCTGCTAAAAGATACCATTTTCATATTCCACAGCACTATGTTTCACTACATTTGAAATTTCAAGAAGAATATTGTAAAAGAATTGTGTATTTTATTCCCATCCAGAGCAGAAGATTATACCAGAATACGATATGATCTCCTGAATGACATTCGTGTTCAAACATTCTTTCATTCTTCCATTCAGTTACACGGTTTCAGTTATTGCACAGAAAGACAATAGACAACTTATCATCACTGAAGCTCATGTGGACAAGTGGAATAAAAAACGTCATTTGTTAAGTGTTGATGTGGAGGAAACTCACTCTCTATAGACTCACTTACTCGTGAAGGTCCAGGTTAGAATATTGGCCTTCAGTAACCCATGCTTGTCGTAAGAGGCGACAAACGGGATCGTGTGGTCAGGCTCGCTGACTTGGTTGACACATGTCATCGGTTCCTATCGATGATCCTTTTTTGTTGATCATTGGATTGTCTGGTCCAGACTCGATTATTTACAGACCACCGCCATATAGCTGGAATATTGCTGAGTGCGGCGTAAAACTAAGCTCACTCACTCACTCATAGACTTACAGCAAAGAATACAAAGTAGGCTTGCTTTGATACAAATTATAAGTTGATAGTTTAGTTATCAGTATTATGTATTATAACAAGAATATAAAATTTATATTTAATAGAAATATATGAAAAGACTTCAAATACCATTCTTCACATGGGCTTCCGGATGGTGATGGGTAAACTTCATTTTCGTTGTATTTTTTCCCCTCACTGTCGTAACATCCGCACTCTTCTTTAGGTATGCATTTGCCGTCCTCCATCTTGTAGCCCTCCTCGCAGACACATGTTTCACCAATGACACAGTCCCTGAACTCAAGCAGGCAGCGGAAAATCGCATTCCATAACAGGTCTCGCACGTCTCATTGCAGTTAGTGCTGATTTTCATGTTTTCACCACAGACAGCTACACAAACGAAAATAAATAGTGAATGTTCCTTTATGTCAAAGAGAATTAGTTCACGTGTAAAAAAAACTAGCTTGTATCAACTAACTTGTAGCATCTTAAATGTATACTATTGTCTGGTGTGAAAAAACTAGCTTGTACCAACTAACTTGTAGCTTCTATAAGGTATACTCTTGTCTAGTGTGAGAACCTAGGTCGTGCCAACTAACATGAGGCCTCCAAAAGGCATACAAATGATAGTCTAACTTACGTGTAGAACAGTCCGATTCACATGCCAACTCCTGCACTTTACTCTCTGTGCAGGTACATCTGGTGTCATCAGAACAGTTTCTATTTCTGGTCCTTGAAACCGTAACAGATTTACATCCAGTATCGCAGGCGGACCACTCTCCCCATGGTTCCCAGCATGTTGGCGGCCCTGAAATAACATTTAGTGACAGATATTCACGTCGAGGAGGGAAATATTTGAAAGAAATATCTTCTTTATAATTGTATTTGTTCTTTGATAATAGACGGTGCCATACGGTAGCCTAGCAGTTAAGCGTTCGCTCGTCACGCGAGTTCGATTCTCCACATGGGTACACTATGTAAAGCCCATTTTCGGTGTCCCCCGATGTGATATTGCTAAACTCGAGCAAACCTAAACTCAATCACTGATTTTCAGAAAGAATACAGTGTAGTACAAGACATTGCAATTTAGAATATATGATTATTCATAATTCTGTAAATTTTAATTATGTTCTGACCTGAGATGCAAATAAATCCTTTCAGCCTACAGTAACAGAGCTGATGTGTATCAATTCTATTGAGATTTTACATTTGATCCTATACAAGCATCGAGCATGATCAGTATGGTCCATATATTAAGCGACATGTTGCTGTGACCTTTCCGTAGTAAGATCGACAATGCGTGTAATGGTTTACATGTACTTCGTTACTTCCACTTGTTTATGTTGTACCAGATGTCGTAGTACCACTGGTTGTTATTCTATCTGAAGTGGTAGTTCCTCTATCTGTTGTACCAGATTTAGTAGGTTTTTCTTGTACCAGATGTAGTTATATCACTGGTTGTTGTACCAGATGTAATAGTTCCACTGGTTGTTCTAGTACCTGAAGTGTTGTTGTACTATATGTACTAGTACTACTTGTTGTTGTACCAGATGTAGGAGAACCACTGGTTGTTGTACCAGATGTAGTAGAACCACGGGTTGTTGTACCAGATGTAGTAGAACCACTGGTTGTCGTACCAGATATGGTAGTACCACTGGTTGTTGTTGTACTAGATGTGTTAGTACCACTGGTTGTTGTACCACAAGTTGTAGTACCACTGGTTGTTGTACCAGATGTGTTAGTACCACTGGTTGTTGTACCAGATATGTTAGTACCACTGGTTGTTGTTGTACCAGATGTGGTAGTACCACTGGTTGTTGTACCAGATATGTTAGTACCACTGGTTGTTGTTTTACCAGATGTGGTAGTACCACTGGTTGTTGTTGTACCAGATGTAGTAGTACCACTGGTTGTTGTTGTACCAGATGTGTTAGTACCAATGGTTGTTGTATCAGATGTAGTAGTACCACTGGTTGTATGAGATGTAGTAGTACCACTGGTTGTTGTTGTACCAGATGTGTTAGTACCACTGGTTGTTCTGCCAGATGTGTTAGTACCACTGGTTGTTGTACCAGATGTGTAAGTACCACTGGTTGTTGTACCAGATGTGTTAGTACCACTGGTTGTTGTACCAGATGTAGTAGTACCACTGGTTCTTCTTGTACCAGATGTGTTAGTACTAATGGTTGTTGTACCAGATGTGTTAGTACCACTGGTTGTTGCACCAGATGTGTTAGTACTAATGGTTGTTGTTGTACCAGATGTGTTAGTACTAATGGTTGTTGTACCAGATGTGGTAGTACTAATGGTTGTTGTACCAGATGTGTTAGTACCACTGGTTGTTGCACCAGATGTGTTAGTACCACTGGTTGTTGTACCAGATCTAGTAGAACCACTGGTTGTTGTACCGGATGTGTTAGTACCACTGGTTGTTGTACCAGATGTGGTAGTACCACTGGTTGTTGTTGTACCAGATGTGTTAGTACCACTGGTTGTTGTACCAGATGTTGTAGTACCACTGGTTGTTGTACCAGATGTTGTAGTACCACTGGTTGTTGTACCAGATGTGTTGGTACCACTGGTTGTTGTACCAGATGTTGTAGTTCCACTGGTTGTTGTACCAGATGTTGTAGTACCACTGGTTGTTGTACCAGATATGGTAGTACCACTGGTTGTTGTTGTACCAGATGTGTTAGTACCACTGGTTGTTGTACCAGATGTGTTAGTACCACTGGTTGTTGTACCAGATGTAGTAGTACCACTGGCTGTTGTACCAGATTTGTAGCGCCACTGGTCGTTGTACCAGATGTGTTGGTACCGCTGGTTGTTGTACCAGATGTTGTAGTTCCACTGGTTGTTGTACCAGATGTTGTAGTACCACTGGTTGTTGTACCAGATGTTGTAGTACCACTGGTTGTTGTTGTACCAGATGTGTTTGTACCACTGGTTGTTGTACCAGATGTTGTAGTACCACTGGTTGTTGTACCAGATGTAGTAGTACCACTGGTTGTTGTTGTACCAGATGTGTTTGTACCACTGGTTGTTGTACCAGATGTTGTAGTACCACTGGTTGTTGTACCAGATATGGTAGTACCACTGGTTGTTGAACCAGATGTGTTAGTACCACTGGTTGTTGTACCAGATGTAGTAGTACCACTGGCTGTTGTACCAGATTTGTAGCGCCACTGGTCGTTGTACCAGATGTGTTGGTACCACTGGTTGTTGTACCAGATGTTGTAGCTCCACTGGTTGTTGTACCAGATGTTGTAGTACCACTGGTTGTTGTACCAGATATGGTAGTACCACTGGTTGTTGTTGTACCAGATGTGTTGGTACCACTGGTTGTTGTATCAGATGTTGTAGTACCACTGGCTGTTGTACCAGATTTGTAGCGCCACTGGTCGTTGTACCAGATGTGTTGGTACCGCTGGTTGTTGTACCAGATGTAGTAGTACCACTGGTTGTTGTACCAGATGTAGTAGTACCGCTGGTTGTTGTACCAGATGTGTTAATACTACTGGTTGTTGTTCCAGATGTAGTAGTACCACTGGTTGTTGTAACAGATGTGTTAGTACTACTGGTTGTTGTTCCAGATGTGTTAGTACTACTGGTTGTTGTTCCAGATGTAGTAGTACCACTGGTTGTTGTACCAGATGTGTTAGTACTACTGGTTGTTGTTCCAGATGTGTTAGTACTACTGGTTGTTGTACCAGATGTGGTAGTACCACTGGTTGTTGTACCAGATATGTTAGTACCACTGGTTGTTGTTTTACCAGATGTGGTAGTACCACTGGTTGTTGTTGTACCAGATGTAGTAGTACCACTGGTTGTTGTTGTACCAGATGTGTTAGTACCAATGGTTGTTGTATCAGATGTAGTAGTACCACTGGTTGTATGAGATGTAGTAGTACCACTGGTTGTTGTTGTACCAGATGTGTTAGTACCACTGGTTGTTCTGCCAGTTGTTGTTGCCAGATGTGTTAGTACCACTGGTTGTTGTACCAGATGTGTTAGTACCACTGGTTGTTGTACCAGATGTAGTAGTACCACTGGTTCTTGTTGTACCAGATGTGTTAGTACCACTGGTTGTTGTACCAGATGTGTTAGTACCACTGGTTGTTGCACCAGATGTGTTAGTACTAATGGTTGTTGTACCAGATGTGGTAGTACTAATGGTTGTTGTACCAGATGTGTTAGTACCACTGGTTGTTGCACCAGATGTGTTAGTACCACTGGTTGTTGTACCAGATCTAGTAGAACCACTGGTTGTTGTACCGGATGTGTTAGTACCACTGGTTGTTGTACCAGATGTGGTAGTACCACTGGTTGTTGTTGTACCAGATGTGTTAGTACCACTGGTTGTTGTACCAGATGTTGTAGTACCACTGGTTGTTGTACCAGATGTAGTAGTACCACTGGTTGTTGTACCAGATGTGTTAGTACCACTGGTTGTTGTACCAGATGTGGTAGTACCACTGGTTGTTGTACCAGATGTGTTAGTACCACTGGTTGTTGTACCAGATGTGGTAGTACCACTGGTTGTTGTACCAGATCTAGTAGAACCACTGGTTGTTGTACCGGATGTGTTAGTACCACTGGTTGTTGTACCAGATGTGGTAGTACCACTGGTTGTTGTTGTACCAGATGTGTTAGTACCACTGGTTGTTGTACCAGATGTTGTAGTACCACTGGTTGTTGTACCAGATGTAGTAGTACCACTGGTTGTTGTACCAGATGTGTTAGTACCACTGGTTGTTGTACCAGATGTGGTAGTACCACTGGTTGTTGTACCAGATGTGTTAGTACCACTGGTTGTTGCACCAGATGTGTTAGTACCACTGGTTGTTGTACCAGATCTAGTAGAACCACTGGTTGTTGTACCGGATGTGTTAGTACCACTGGTTGTTGTACCAGATGTGGTAGTACCACTGGTTGTTGTTGTACCAGATGTGTTAGTACCACTGGTTGTTGTACCAGATGTTGTAGTACCACTGGTTGTTGTACCAGATGTAGTAGTACCACTGGTTGTTGTACCAGATGTGTTAGTACCACTGGTTGTTGTACCAGATGTGGTAGTACCACTGGTTGTTGTACCAGATGTGTTAGTACCACTGGTTGTTGTACCAGATGTGGTAGTACCACTGGTTGTTGTACCAGATGTTGTAGTTCCACTGGTTGTTGCACCAGATGTGTTAGTACCACTGGTTGTTGTACCAGATCTAGTAGAACCACTGGTTGTTGTACCGGATGTGTTAGTACCACTGGTTGTTGTACCAGATGTGGTAGTACTAATGGTTGTTGTACCAGATGTGGTAGTACTAATGGTTGTTGTACCAGATGTGTTAGTACCACTGGTTGTTGCACCAGATGTGTTAGTACCACTGGTTGTTGTACCAGATCTAGTAGAACCACTGGTTGTTGTACCGGATGTGTTAGTACCACTGGTTGTTGTACCAGATGTGGTAGTACCACTGGTTGTTGTTGTACCAGATGTGTTAGTACCACTGGTTGTTGTACCAGATGTTGTAGTACCACCGGTTGTTGTACCAGATGTAGTAGTACCACTGGTTGTTGTACCAGATGTGTTAGTACCACTGGTTGTTGTACCAGATGTGGTAGTACCACTGGTTGTTGTACCAGATGTGTTAGTACCACTGGTTGTTGTACCAGATGTGGTAGTACCACTGGTTGTTGTACCAGATGTTGTAGTTCCACTGGTTGTTGCACCAGATGTGTTAGTACCACTGGTTGTTGTACCAGATCTAGTAGAACCACTGGTTGTTGTACCGGATGTGTTAGTACCACTGGTTGTTGTACCAGATGTGGTAGTACCACTGGTTGTTGTTGTACCAGATGTGTTAGTACCACTGGTTGTTGTACCAGATGTTGTAGTACCACTGGTTGTTGTACCAGATGTGTTAGTACCACTGGTTGTTGACTAGATGTGTTTGTACCACTGGTTGTTGTACCAGATGTTGTAGTTCCACTGGTTGTTGTACCAGATGTTGTAGTACCACTGATTGTTGTACCAGATATGGTAGTACCACTGGTTGTTGTTGTACCAGATGTGTTAGTACCACTGGTTGTTGTACCAGATGTGTTAGTACCACTGGTTGTTGTACCAGATGTAGTAGTACCACTGGTTGTTGTTGTACCAGATGTGTTGGTACCACTGGTTGTTGTATCAGATGTTGTAGTACCACTGGCTGTTGTACCAGATTTGTAGCGCCACTGGTCGTTGTACCAGATGTGTTGGTACCGCTGGTTGTTGTACCAGATGTAGTAGTACCACTGGTTGTTGTACCAGATGTAGTAGTACCGCTGGTTGTTGTACCAGATGTGTTAGTACTACTGGTTGTTGTTCCAGATGTAGTAGTACCACTGGTTGTTGTACCAGATGTGTTAGTACTACTGGTTGTTGTTCCAGATGTGTTAGTACTACTGGTTGTTGTTCCAGATGTAGTAGTACCACTGGTTGTTGTACCAAATGTGGTAGTACCACTGGTTGTTGTACCAAATGTGGTAGTGCCAACGGTTGGATTAGTACCTGAATGTTACATGTTTGCACAATCGTGTTGTGGATTTTGAGATTCAAGTAGTAGCAAGTCGCGCGTCAATTATTTTCGGAGATATGGCTACCATATCTACATGAACCTTTTTTGATTTCAGTAAGTATATTACATTTAGGCATTACTTACCCGTGGTGGCACTGGTTGTTGTTCCGCTGGTTGTTGTTCCGCTGGTTGTTGTTCCACTGGTTGTTGTTCCACTTGTTGTTGTGCCACTGGTTGTTGTTCCACTTGTTGTTGTGCCACTGGTAGTAGTTCCTACAACAAGTGAGTTAGTGAGCGAGTTAAAATTTAACGTTGCAATGGTGTTATTTCAGCCACAAAGCGCCGAGACCAGCTGACAAATGAATCACCAGTTCAACGTCATGATTACAAGTGTTAAACGTATTCAAAACCTATAATAAGGCAGATACAAATTGCAATTACCCACTGGTATTTCTCCAGGAGATTTCGCAAACGAAGATAATAAGGAAAACCATGGTAAAGAAACAAACCATAGAATTCATATGCAAATGAAAAGGCACCCGATAAATCGTAATACTTAATACATCGATCTGTATGAAAAGTAACACTCGATTCAGTATGTGATTTAACACATCAGTAAGCATCATCCATGAAATAACACAAGTTTTGATATTGTAACTCTTTATTTCTATGTGTTATGTTGTTTGATTTCAATTTTATTAAAATGTCCCAGGCATCTGGTTTTCGACCTTGTTGTTGCTGTATAATGAGAAAATATTGAAATGGTTAGACATGAAAATGAAATACAAATCTTTCTGTAGCAATGTGAAGCAATGTGAACACAAATATGCTTCGCGAATGGAATGAAGGTCATACAATGGCTCCGCAATCGTAGCATTCCATGTGAATGTATATGCAAAGCCACACAAAATATTACGTTCATTACTTTCTGACCATCTCTAAGACAAACAAACTATGTTCTCAGCAACAACAAATACAGGTACAAAGAGGTAATGGTAAGATGGCAAACAAAACAACTCGCTTTTGCAAATTTCCTGGTGTTAATTTTGGCAATTAATACATTAAAATGTGATACAGCTAACAACACGTACAACAAACACAATATTATCAGACAGATACTTTCTGTCGGATTCCGTATAAAGATGTACAGTAATTACGAAATGAGTGGTCTCATTCCTTTCATTATAATCTTAATCAGTCATTAAAGTTCCCCCGGCAGATTACTTGGCGTAAAACTGGCATATTGTTACAAACAACTGTTTTTGTCAAGACCTATAAGGACTATTACAATCAAATCCGTATCGTCTAAGCTGTTCCTCAAAATTTAATATGCCATTGAGAGAATCTTTCATAAAACCTCAATTGCGCAGATCGATGCTCATGCTGTTGATCAATGGATTGTCTAGGCCAGACTCGATTATTTACAGACCGCCACCATATAGCTGGGATATTTCTGAGTGCGGCGTAAAACTAAACTACACACTCTTACTCACTTCATAAAACGACAAACGTACCTGTGGTTTCTTCTCCACAATAACTAATACCACCATCGTCTTTCATGGTATCCTCAAGCATACTCTTTGGCACGCTAGACTGGATAAGCGCAACGATAACTGGTATTGCTTTGTTGAGTGCTATGGGACTTGAAACCTATAAAAACACATAAGAAAGCTTTAAGGGCAAGAAGAGATGTGTTTTCACATGAAGACCGGTTAGTGAAGTTGGACTACTGTACTATTTAGTTCTGCGAATGGCGTTCAACAAGCTGGAGAAGATTGCTCAAACAAGCAAAACATCAGCTGTATGTACGGCAATATTTACTACTATGGAAATGTTCAAATGGCCTTAATAAAAAAAGTTAGCTATAGACAAACATTTGCCAGTACTCACACTGAATGTACCAAGCGATACTACAATCCTTAGATTGATCAAGGACTCTTTAGATTGAATTGTCAACCTTTTGTGTGGCATGGGATTAGTCACAGTGACTAAAACCAGCTTATTGTTTAGGAACTCCTCACTGATGTCTACAGATGCACCAGTGTCTGCAAGGAATGAAAATGTGAACATGATTAAATAGTAGCCTAGGATTTATATTCATATTAAAATATAACACAATCAGTATATTTTTTTAATTTGCTTGGTTTATTTGGTATCCGTCGGATTTTGTATATCAATTGCAATATATGTAATGTAACCTCAATCACTAAATTTTTACATTTATCCCCACACCGAGCAATATCATATACACTTTGCATCGATAAAAAGTTTACCTGTGTCGGTAATATTGAAGCTGCCTGCTACAAATACAGCAGCAAGCACAGAAAATCCATTGCGCATTTCCTCTGTCACTTCAAAAATGTTCTTTCCGTTGACAGCCTTAAAGGAAAAGGAATGTAACATGATGCATCTTTTAGTCTTACGTTATATGCAGTAATGAACACTTTCAATGTGACAGATATTGCTTTGAACCATATCGTATAGGAACATAGTCAAATCGATTAGTTCGTGGGGATTTGCTATTTCGCTACCGCGACAACGCACTGCATCACAATATTACCATTTCGTAAACACTTTTCTTTAGTTGCTTGACTGAGAAAGAAACTTTTATTACACCCTAGGACACTAGGTACGCAGTAACTTGACTCTCGAAGGAATCTATCTTTACATAAACTTACATTTCTGAAAGTAACTGCACTGAACGTAGGTGCAGATGAATCAATGACAAAGCTTCCTCATAATTTGTGATTACTGTAACTTAAACATTTGCTGTGGATTGCCTGCCAATGGCATTGGCATAAAGCTTACCTTTATTTAGTCCCCCTTCCTGAAAGCAAGATTAAATATGCCATAAGTAACGTGAATGAGACAGAAGAGTTGCCACTAGAACACTATTCAATAAAAACATATGTGTCCATTCTACTGTACCTTATGATTTTATCTTTGGACACGAAATTATACACATATTTTGATAGCAGAAAAATGGAGATGCCAAATATTGCATGTTCATTGTAGACAATACCATTCAAAGAGAAATTAATATTAATTGAGTCTGACTTACATACTCGCTATGGTCACACTACTTACCGGTGTTCTTTGAAGGTCTGAAAACAACTGTGCAGTACCAGATGCCAAACCAAACTTCAGATCACCGACTATTTCGTTCTCCTTAGTGATAATAGAGATCAAGAAACGATCACCAACTGTTTCCACAGTTGCATCCGTGATACTTTCACGTGTGCAGGTTCCTGTAAATAAATTAAGAGACAATGAATACACAAACATGACTTACACCTTGTTGTAAGAGGGAATGCAGATGGGTAGTGCCACCTGGCATGGTACGGCTATATCGTAATGTACGGCATTTTGTCTTTTATTTTAACAACCACATACTTTTATGAATCAATGCATGCAAGTCCAGCTGTAGTTGCACTGCTTGTTGTCAGTCTGATCCGTTTGAGTTTTAACCACAGTTTCGGGATTAATTTATGGCATTCACTTTCATACCTGTTGTTGCACTTGTTGTTCCAGATGTTGTTGTACCGCTGGTTGTTGTACCACTAGTGGTTGTGGTTCCACTGGTTGTTGTTCCCGATGTAGTAGTTGTACCACTGGTTGTTGTTGTACCACTAGTAGTGGTGGTGCCACTGGTTGTTGTTCCCGATGTTGTAGTTGTACCACTGGTTGTTGTTGTACCACTTGTAGTGGTGGTTCCACTGGTTGTTGTTCCTGATGTTGTAGTTGTACCACTCGTTGTTGTGCCTAGATTGTATATCAGTTATATTTCATATTATGTGTATTGTTGGTTGTGACACTGTACTCAGAAATTGTCATAGTTCCAAACCTTACATCTAGTACCATTACCTACTGTCCCCCAAAAGTCGATAAATCGCAATAATACGTACAACCCACTTTGACCATATCTCCCACAAACCTCAGGACATGAAGTCATTTGTAAGCCACAACAAACACAGATTGGAGAATAGAAATGATAAAATGGCAACCACATGAACACGTTTTTGCAGCTTTCCTGACGTTTAGTTTGTAGAAATCACAGTCAACCACAACATATTTTATTTTCGCATCCCCGACAATCTGACTTCGATCTTTATAAGTGATTAAAGGTCCCCCGGCAGATTAATTGGCATATAACCGGCATATTGTTACAAACAACTGTTCTTGTCAAGACCTATAAGGACTATTACAACCAAATCCTTATCGTCTAAGCTGTTCCTCAAAATTAAATATGCCATTGAGAGAATCTTTCATAAAACCTCAATTGCGCAGATCGATGCTCATGCTGTTGATCAATGGATTGTCTGGGCCAGACTCGATTATTTACAGACCGCCACCATATAGCTGGGATATTTCTGAGTGCGGCGTAAAACTAAACTACACACTCTTATTCACTTCATAAAACGACAAACGTACCTGTGGTTTCTTCTCCACAATAACTAATGCCACCATAGTCTTTCATGTTATCCTCAAGCATACTCTTTGTCATGCTAGACTGGATAAGCGCAACGATAACTGGTATTGCTTTGTTGAGTGCTATGGGACTTGAAACCTATAAAAACACATAAGAAAGCTTTAAGGGCAAGAAGAGATGTGTTTTCACATGAAGAGCGGTTAGCGAAGTTGGACTACTGTACTATTTAGTTCTGCGAATGGCGTTCAACAAGCTGGAGAAGATTGCTCAAACAAGCAAAACATCAGCTGTATGTACGGCAATATTTACTACTATGGAAATGTTCAAATGGCCTTAATAAAAAGTTAGCTATAGACAAACATTTGCCAGTACTCACACTGAATGTACCAAGCGATACTACAATCCTTAGATTGATCAAGGACTCTTTAGATTGAATTGTCAACCTTTTGTGTGGCATGGGATTAGTCACAGTGACTAAAACCAGCTTATTGTTTAGGAACTCCTCACTGATGTCTACAGATGCACCAGTGTCTGCAAGGAATGAAAATGTGAACATGATTAAATAGTAGCCTAGGATTTATATTCATATTAAAATATAACACAATCAGTATATTTTTTAATTTGCTTGGTTTATTTGGTATCCGTCGGATTTTGTATATCAATTGCAATATATGTAATGTAACCTCAATCACTAAATTTTTACATTTATCCCCACACCGAGCAATATCATATACACTTTGCATCGATAAAAAGTTTACCTGTGTCGGTAATATTGAAGCTGCCTGCTACAAATACAGCAGCAAGCACAGAAAATCCATTGCGCATTTCCTCTGTCACTTCAAAAATGTTCTTTCCGTTGACAGCCTTAAAGGAAAAGGAATGTAACATGATGCATCTTTTAGTCTTACGTTATATGCAGTAATGAACACTTTCAATGTGACAGATATTGCTTTGAACCATATCGTATAGGAACATAGTCAAATCGATTAGTTCGTGGGATTTGCTATTTCGCTACCGCGACAACGCACTGCATCACAATATTACCATTTCGTAAACACTTTTCTTTAGTTGCTTGACTGAGAAAGTAACTTTTATTACACCCTAGGACACTAGGTACGCAGTAACTTGACTCTCGAAGGAATCTATCTTTACATAAACTTACATTTCTGAAAGTAACTGCACTGAACGTAGGTGCAGATGAATCAATGACAAAGCTTCCTCATAATTTGTGATTACTGTAACTTAAACATTTGCTGTGGATTGCCTGCCAATGGCATTGGCATAAAGCTTACCTGATTTAGTCCCCCTTCCTGAAAGCAAGATTAAATATGCCATAAGTAACGTGAATGAGACAGAAGAGTTGCCACTAGAACACTATTCAATAAAAACATATGTGTCCATTCTACTGTACCTTATGATTTTATCTTTGGACACGAAATTATACACATATTTTGATAGCAGAAAAATGGAGATGCCAAATATTGCATGTTCATTGTAGACAATACCATTCAAAGAGAAATTAATATTAATTGAGTCTGACTTACATACTCGCTATGGTCACACTACTTACCGGTGTTCTTTGAAGGTCTGAAAACAACTGTGCAGTACCAGATGCCAAACCAAACTTCAGATCACCGACTATTTCGTTCTCCTTAGTGATAATAGAGATCAAGAAACGATCACCAACTGTTTCCACAGTTGCATCCGTGATACTTTCACGTGTGCAGGTTCCTGTAAATAAATTAAGAGACAATGAATACACAAACATGACTTACACCTTGTTGTAAGAGGGAATGCAGATGGGTAGTGCCACCTGGCATGGTACGGCTATATCGTAATGTACGGCATTTTGTCTTTTATTTTAACAACCACATACTTTTATGAATCAATGCATGCAAGTCCAGCTGTAGTTGCACTGCTTGTTGTCAGTCTGATCCGTTTGAGTTTTAACCACAGTTTCGGGATTAATTTATGGCATTCACTTTCATACCTGTTGTTGCACTTGTTGTTCCAGATGTTGTTGTACCGCTGGTTGTTGTACCACTAGTGGTTGTGGTTCCACTGGTTGTTGTTCCCGATGTAGTAGTTGTACCACTGGTTGTTGTTGTACCACTAGTAGTGGTGGTGCCACTGGTTGTTGTTCCCGATGTTGTAGTTGTACCACTGGTTGTTGTTGTACCACTTGTAGTGGTGGTTCCACTGGTTGTTGTTCCTGATGTCGTAGTTGTACCACTCGTTGTTGTGCCTAGATTGTATATCAGTTATATTTCATATTATGTGTATTGTTGGTTGTGACACTGTACTCAGAAATTGTCATAGTTCCAAACCTTACATCTAGTACCATTACCTACTGTCCCCAAAAGTCGATAAATCGCAATAATACGTACAACCCACTTTGACCATATCTCCCACAAACCTTCGGACATGAAGTCATTTGTAAGCCACAACAAACACAGATTGGAGAATAGAAATGATAAAATGGCAACCACATGAACACGTTTTTGCAGCTTTCCTGACGTTTAGTTTGTAGAAATCACAGTCAACCACAACATATTTTATTTTCGCATCCCCCGACAATCTGACTTCGATCTTTATAAGTGATTAAAGGTCCCCCGGCAGATTAATTGGCATATAACTGGCATATTGTTACAAACAACTGTTCTTGTCAAGACCTATAAGGACTATTACAACCAAATCCTTATCGTCTAAGCTGTTCCTCAAAATTAAATATGCCATTGAGAGAATCTTTCATAAAACCTCAATTGCGCAGATCGATGCTCATGCTGTTGATCAATGGATTGTCTGGGCCAGACTCGATTATTTACAGACCGCCACCATATAGCTGGGATATTTCTGAGTGCGGCGTAAAACTAAACTACACACTCTTATTCACTTCATAAAACGACAAACGTACCTGTGGTTTCTTCTCCACAATAACTAATGCCACCATAGTCATTCATGTTATCCTCAAGCATACTCTTTGTCATGCTAGACTGGATAAGCGCAACGATAACTGGTATTGCTTTGTTGAGTGCTATGGGACTTGAAACCTATAAAAACACATAAGAAAGCTTTAAGGGCAAGAAGAGATGTGTTTTCACATGAAGAGCGGTTAGCGAAGTTGGACTACTGTACTATTTAGTTCTGCGAATGGCGTTCAACAAGCTGGAGAAGATTGCTCAAACAAGCAAAACATCAGCTGTATGTACGGCAATATTTACTACTATGGAAATGTTCAAATGGCCTTAATAAAAAAAGTTAGCTATAGACAAACATTTGCCAGTACTCACACTGAATGTACCAAGCGATACTACAATCCTTAGATTGATCAAGGACTCTTTAGATTGAATTGTCAACCTTTTGTGTGGCATGGGATTAGTCACAGTGACTAAAACCAGGTTTCTGTTTAGGATCTCCTCACTGATGTCTACAGATGCACCAGTGTCTGCAAGGAATGAAAATGTGAACATGATTAAATAGTAGCCTAGGATTTATATTCATATTAAAATATAACACAATCAGTATATTTTTTAATTTGCTTGGTTTATTTGGTATCCGTCGGATTTTGTATATCAATTGCAATATATGTAATGTAACCTCAATCACTAAATTTTTACATTTATCCCCACACCGAGCAATATCATATACACTTTGCATCGATAAAAAGTTTACCTGTGTCGGTAATATTGAAGCTGCCTGCTACAAATACAGCAGCAAGCACAGAAAATCCATTGCGCATTTCCTCTGTCACTTCAAAAATGTTCTTTCCGTTGACATTCTTAAAGGAAAAGGAATGTAACATGATGCATCTTTTAGTCTTACGTTATATGCAGTAATGAACACTTTCAATGTGACAGATATTGCTTTGAACCATATCGTATAGTAACATAGTCAAATCGATTAGTTCGTGGGATTTGCTATTTCGCTACCGCGACAAGGCACTGCATCACAATATTACCATTTCGTCAACACTTTTCTTTAGTTGCTTGACTGAGAAAGTAACTTTTATTACACCCTAGGACACTAGGTACGCAGTAACCTGACTCTCGAAGGAATCTATCTTTACATAAACTTACATTTCTGAAAGTAACTGCACTGAACGTAGGTGCAGATGAATCAATGACAAAGCTTCCTCATAATTTGTGATTACTGTAACTTAAACATTTGCTGTGGATTGCCTGCCAATGGCATTGGCATAAAGCTTACCTGATTTAGTCCCCCTTCCTGAAAGCAAGATTAAATATGCCATAAGTAACGTGAATGAGGCAGAAGAGTTGCCACTAGAACACTATTCAATAAAAACATATGTGTCCATTCTACTGTACCTTATGATTTTATCTTTGGACACGAAATTATACACATATTTTGATAGCAGAAAAATGGAGATGCCAAATATTGCATGTTCATTGTAGACAATACCATTCAAAGAGAAATTAATATTAATTGAGTCTGACTTACATACTCGCTATGGTCACACTACTTACCGGTGTTCTTTGAAGGTCTGAAAACAACTGTGCAGTACCAGATGCCAAACCAAACTTCAGATCACCGACTATTTCGTTCTCCTTAGTGATAATAGAGATCAAGAAACGATCACCAACTGTTTCCACAGTTGCATCCGTGATACTTTCACGTGTGCAGGTTCCTGTAAATAAATTAAGAGACAATGAATACACAAACATGACTTACACCTTGTTGTAAGAGGGAATGCAGATGGGTAGTGCCACCTGGCATGGTACGGCTATATCGTAATGTACGGCATTTTGTCTTTATTTTAACAACCACATACTTTTATGAATCAATGCATGCAAGTCCAGCTGTAGTTGCACTGCTTGTTGTCAGTCTGATCCGTTTGAGTTTTAAGCACAGTTTCGGGATTAATTTATGGCATTCACTTTCATACCTGTTGTTGCACTTGTTGTTCCAGATGTTGTTGTACCGCTGGTTGTTGTACCACTAGTGGTTGTGGTTCCACTGGTTGTTGTTCCCGATGTAGTAGTTGTACCACTGGTTGTTGTTGTACCACTAGTAGTGGTGGTGCCACTGGTTGTTGTTCCCGATGTTGTAGTTGTACCACTGGTTGTTGTTGTACCACTTGTAGTGGTGGTTCCACTGGTTGTTGTTCCTGATGTCGTAGTTGTACCACTCGTTGTTGTGCCTAGATTGTAAATCAGTTATATTTCATATTATGTGTATTGTTGGTTGTGACACTGTACTCAGAAATTGTCATAGTTCCAAACCTTACATCTAGTACCATTACCTACTGTCCCCCAAAAGTCAGAGACGTACAACCCACTTTGACCATATCTCCCACAAACCTTCGGACATGAAGTCATTTGTAAGCCACAACAAACACAGATTGGAGAATAGAAATGATAAAATGGCAACCACATGAACACTTTTTTGCAGCTTTCCTGACGTTTAGTTTGTAGAAATCACAGTCAACCACAACATGTTTTATTTTCGCATCCCCCGACAATCTGACTTCGATCTTTATAAGTGATTAAAGGTCCCCCGGCAGATTAATTGGCATATAACTGGCATATTGTTACAAACAACTGTTCTTGTCAAGACCTATAAGGACTATTACAACCAAATCCTTATCGTCTAAGCTGTTCCTCAAAATTAAATATGCCATTGAGAGAATCTTTCATAAAACCTCAATTGCGCAGATCGATGCTCATGCTGTTGATCAATGGATTGTCTGGGCCAGACTCGATTATTTACAGACCGCCACCATATAGCTGGGATATTTCTGAGTGCGGCGTAAAACTAAACTACACACTCTTATTCACTTCATAAAACGACAAACGTACCTGTGGTTTCTTCTCCACAATAACTAATGCCACCATAGTCATTCATGTTATCCTCAAGCATACTCTTTGTCATGCTAGACTGGATAAGCGCAACGAGAACTGGTATTGCTTTGTTGAGTGCTATGGGACTTGAAACCTATAAAACACATAAGAAAGCTTTAAGGGCAAGAAGAGATGTGTTTTCACATGAAGAGCGGTTAGCGAAGTTGGACTACTGTACTATTTAGTTCTGCGAATGGCGTTCAACAAGCTGGAGAAGATTGCTCAAACAAGCAAAACATCAGCTGTATGTACGGCAATATTTACTACTATGGAAATGTTCAAATGGCCTTAATAAAAAAGTTAGCTATAGACAAACATTGGCCAGTACTCACACTGAATGTACCAAGCGATACTACAATCCTTAGATTGATCAAGGACTCTTTAGATTGAATTGTCAACCTTTTTGTGTGGCCTGGGATTAGTCACAGTGACTAAAACCAGGTTTCTGTTTAGGATCTCCTCACTGATGTCTACAGATGCACCAGTGTCTGCAAGGAATGAAAATGTGAACATGATTAAATAGTAGCCTAGGATTTATATTCATATTAAAATATAACACAATCAGTATATTTTTTAATTTGCTTGGTTTATTTGGTATCCGTCGGATTTTGTATATCAATTGCAATATATGTAATGTAACCTCAATCACTAAATTTTTACATTTATCCCCACACCGAGCAATATCATATACACTTTGCATCGATAAAAAGTTTACCTGTGTCGGTAATATTGAAGCTGCCTGCTACAAATACAGCAGCAAGCACAGAAAATCCATTGCGCATTTCCTCTGTCACTTCAAAAATGTTCTTTCCGTTGACATTCTTAAAGGAAAAGGAATGTAACATGATGCATCTTTTAGTCTTACGTTATATGCAGTAATGAACACTTTCAATGTGACAGATATTGCTTTGAACCATATCGTATAGTAACATAGTCAAATCGATTAGTTCGTGGGATTTGCTATTTCGCTACCGCGACAAGGCACTGCATCACAATATTACCATTTCGTCAACACTTTTCTTTAGTTGCTTGACTGAGAAAGTAACTTTTATTACACCCTAGAACACTAGGTACGCAGTAACCTGACTCTCGAAGGAATCTATCTTTACATAAACTTACATTTCTGAAAGTAATTGCACTGAACGTAGGTGCAGATGAATCAATGACAAAGCTTCCTCATAATTTGTGATTACTGTAACTTAAACATTTGCTGTGGATTGCCTGCCAATGGCATTGGCATAAAGCTTACCTGATTTAGTCCCCCCTTCCTGAAAGCAAGATTAAATATGCCATAAGTAACGTGAATGAGGCAGAAGAGTTGCCACTAGAACACTATTCAATAAAAACATATGTGTCCATTCTACTGTACCTTATGATTTTATCTTTGGACACGAAATTATACACATATTTTGATAGCAGAAAAATGGAGATGCCAAATATTGCATGTTCATTGTAGACAATACCATTCAAAGAGAAATTAATATTAATTGAGTCTGACTTACATACTCGCTATGGTCACACTACTTACCGGTGTTCTTTGAAGGTCTGAAAACAACTGTGCAGTACCAGATGCCAAACCAAACTTCAGATCACCGACTATTTCGTTCTCCTTAGTGATAATAGAGATCAAGAAACGATCACCAACTGTTTCCACAGTTGCATCCGTGATACTTTCACGTGTGCAGGTTCCTGTAAATAAATTAAGAGACAATGAATACACAAACATGACTTACACCTTGTTGTAAGAGGGAATGCAGATGGGTAGTGCCACCTGGCATGGTACGGCTATATCGTAATGTACGGCATTTTGTCTTTTATTTTAACAACCACATACTTTTATGAATCAATGCATGCAAGTCCAGCTGTAGTTGCACTGCTTGTTGTCAGTCTGATCCGTTTGAGTTTTAACCACAGTTTCGGGATTAATTTATGGCATTCACTTTCATACCTGTTGTTGCACTTGTTGTTCCAGATGTTGTTGTACCGCTGGTTGTTGTACCACTAGTGGTTGTGGTTCCACTGGTTGTTGTTCCCGATGTAGTAGTTGTACCACTGGTTGTTGTACCTATTTTGGAAATATATCGCTTTATGGTAGGTTGTGACAATGTTCCTCAAAATGTCTGTTTCAGCAAGAGTCACTGATTTGTTTTCCTCTCGTCTCGTTCTCTCTTTGCAAGAACATGTTTGAGATAAAAATAATTCGACATTAAATTACCTAAATGACTGTATTGACGAATGGTTTGCGTTACTTCGTTTGCCATTGAATTTCAAACTATAGCTAGAAGTCTCCATTGTTTAATTAGCATAGAAGATGTTAATAATTTCACAACCCTTAGCAATGATAGATGAAATTTTGCTCAAGGCAAAGATTTTGATTTTTAAAAGTCAATTGCAGAAGTTTTAAGGCTCTTGAAAAATTAAGTACATCCTAATAGACCAGGACAAATAGATATATTTACCACACATCCGCCATTTTCAAGCCAGTGGAACCTTGTTGAAAATACCTCTTGAAATTGTGAAAACTAAACGCGCGAAAGGTTTCCTCGCTCACGTCATAACAAAATATGCCATACGGATATTTTATAAATAAATGTATAGTATAATTTATATATTTATTAATAGAATATTTATTACGCGCGTTTCCAGGCTTCTCTCAAATGAAGAGAAATAATTTCAATCCCTTCATTAATAACAAATACATGTATTAGTATCACTTATGCAATAAATGTTCGAACCTTGTGTTTATCATTTAAGGCTGTTTTCATTGATGCCAGTATCACAAGATCATTCATTCAGGTGTTTATAGTCCTGTTAAGATTCAGCGACTTGCTCGCGCACCTTCATTACCAAAACTGAGAGATTACAGTTAGACATAACAGCTTCTCAAACACCGCAAAGCAATCCGTATATATCTTCTAGAAATAACCGTTTCTTTCGCTGATGAAAATCTCGACCATGCAGGCAAAGACATTCAAATGGAGATTGATATAAAAATGTACCTGAAAAATACATCATGTAACAACCAAAGTAAAATCCATCACGTTTACCACCCAGACAACCTGTTGTACCTGACGATGTTGTCCCGCTTGTTGTTGTTCCACTAGTTGTTGTTGTACCACTAGTTGTGGTTGTTCCACTGGTTGTTGTACCACTAGTTGTAGTTGTGCCACTGGTTGTTGTACCACTAGTTGTAGTTGTACCACTGGTTGTTGTTCCGCTGGTTGTTGTACCAGTGGTTGTTGTTCCGCTAGTTGTAGTTGTGCCACTGGTTGTTGTACCACTAGTTGTAGTTGTGCCACTGGTTGTTGTTCCACTAGTTGTTGTTGTACCACTAGTTGTTGTTGTTCCACTGGTTGTTGTACCACTAGTTGTAGTTGTGCCACTGGTTGTTGTACCACTAGTTGTAGTTGTGCCACTGGTTGTTGTTCCGCTGGTTGTTGTACCAGTGGTTGTTGTTCCGCTAGTTGTAGTTGTGCCACTGGTTGTTGTACCACTAGTTGTAGTTGTGCCACTTGTTGTCGTACCACTTGTTGTTGTTCCTAAAATCAAGACCGTTATCATGGAAAGTTGGCATTCTTTTGTTTCCATGTGCTATCGCAGTACAATACAAGATTTTCTTTCTTTGTATTCAACACTTCAAACTTCTTGAATTGGTTTGTTCTGACAGGATGCTACGGCTAGTGAAAGCCTTCCAAGAAATATCTCCCCAAAACAAAACATACCAAGCCCATACCATACTCCGCTCTACGTACTAACTGCAACATAATGAAACGCACAAGCGTCGAGGGGTAGATTCAGATCAGCAACGAACATAAAGGCCGTTGTCACAGGCATCAACCATACGCAATTAAGTTGTCACATGGAATGTAACAAGATCAAAGATTATATGAGGTCAATGTTGTGTTTGGACGTCATACACATGATCATGAGAGCTACCAGCGTATTTCATGGAAGCAAACTCATGTTCATGATTATCCAAGAATTCATGCGATCCAAGATGGTTCACGTATCAAGAAACAACGTTTCGTGCATTTAATGTAAGGAATGATATATTATCACTTGTCGTTTGAAAGGTATTACTTGGTCCTTATTCATATGGCGACTGTTAAGTGATTTTTGTGTGATACTCCACTATATGGTTTGCTGCACTCTAAAACCTACCCGCCTTAAACCTTAACCACTCCCCTTACGGTCACAGCAAGGGTAAAAATCGTAAACGTCGTTATAAATCATGTCACGTTGTATCGCAGGACGTAAGATCAAACATTGTGCTCATTCAGAGAAGTGTTCTCGTTCCTGCTTATGATACACTGACTTGCTTTTACTCAAGCACCTTCTCAAAATACTACATTATATATATCTATATCTCTCTCTATATATACACACATATTTGTGTGTGTGTGTGTGTGTGTGTGTGTGTGTGTGTGTGTGTGTGTGTGTGTGTGTGTGTGTGTGTGTGTGTGTGTGTGTGTGTGTGTGTGTGTGTGTGTGTGTGTGTGTGTGTGTGTGTGTGTGTGTGTGTGTGTGTGTGTGCATGTGTGTGTGTGTGCATTGACGAAATAACCCGTCCTTGGAGACAAATAAACAAAAAGGGGAAATGATCAGAGAAGTACCTGAAAAATAAACCATCCTGTCACCACCTTGTTATCACCAAACAAATATCCATCTCTTATATAACGCTCTTCTACCTGAAGCTGTTGTGGCACTTGTGGACGTGCCACTGATTGTTGTACCACTTGTTGTAGTTGTTCCACTAATAGTTGTTCCACTGGTTGTTGTACCGCTTGTTGCAGTTGTTCCACTAATAGTTGTTCCACTGGTTGTTGTACCGCTTGTTGTAGTTGTTCCACTAATAGTTGTTCCACTGGTTGTTGTACCGCTTGTTGTAGTTGTTCCACTAATAGTTGTTCCACTGGTTGTTGTTCCACTGGTAATTGTACCACTAGTTGTACTTATGCCACTGGTGGTTGTACCACTAGTTGTAGTTGTGCCACCGGTTGTTGTACCACTAGTTGTGGTTGTTCCACTGGATGTTGTACCACTAGTTGTAGTTGTGCCACTGGCTGTTGTTCCTAAAATTTGCACGGTTATCAATTGGTGATATATTTGTGAATACTCTTCCTTCTGTCCTCATGTATACCAGGCTCTTTGTCTCCATTCTTGAAAGAGGGCATTCGTTTGTTGCCAAACTGTTCCAGCATCATAGTGGATACATTCAGTCCTTATACTGTATACTGGGCAATCATAACACTTATTAATAGCGCATTCTCAAAAGACCGAACAGAATTTGTTTATCTTCAAGAACACATCGCTTCTTCCCCCAATAAAACATCCGACCATGGAAACAAATAACCAAAAAGGGGAAAAGATCAGAGAATGTACCTTGGAAAAACATCATGTAACCAACATATACAAACCCATCACTTATACAACCTAAAACTTCTTGTACCTGAGGATGTTGTTCCGCTTGTCGTCGTGCCACTGGTTGTTGTACCACTGGCTGTTGTACCGCTTGTCGTTGTCCCACTGGTTGTTGTACCGCTTGTTGTTGTTCCACTGGTTGTAGTTGTGCCACTGATTGTTGTACCACTAGTTGTAGTTGTGCCACTGGTTGTTGTACCACTAGTTGTAGTTGTGCCACTGGTTGTTGTACCACCAGTTGTAGTTGTGCCACTGGTTGTTGTACCACCACTTGTAGTTGTGCCACTGGTTGTTGTACCACTAGTTGTAGTTGTGCCACTGGTTATGGTTGTGCCACTGGTTGTTGTACCACTTGTTGTTGTTCCACTGGTTGTAGTTGTGCCACTGGTTGTTGTACCACCAGTTGTAGTTGTGCCACTGGTTGTTGTACCACTAGTTGTAGTTGTGCCGCTGGTTGCTGTACCACTAGTTGTAGTTGTGCCACTTCTTGTTGTTGTACCACTAGTTGTAGTTGTGCCACTGGTTGTTGTACCACTAGTTGTAGTTCTACCACTGGTTGTAGTTGTGCCACTGGTTGTTGTACCACTTTTTGTACTGCTGCCTCTGGTTGTTGTACCGCTGGTTGTTGTTGTTCCACTTGTTGTTGTACCACTAGTTGTTGTACCACTGGTAGTTGTGCCACTGGTTGTTGTACCACTAGTTGTAGTTGTGCCACTGATTGTTGTACCACTAGTCGTAGTTGTGCCACTGGTTGTTGTACCAGTAGTTGTTGTTGTGCCACTGGTTGTTGTTCCACTGGTTGTTGTGCCACTAGTCGTAGTTGTTCCACTAGATGTTGTACCACTAGTGGTAGTTGTGCCACTGGTTGTTGTACCAATAGTTGTTGTACCACTAGTTGTAGTTGTGCCACTGGTTGTTGTACCACTAGTTGTAGTTGTGCCACTGGTTGTTGTACCACTAGTTGTAGTTGTGCCACTGGTTGTTGTACCACTAGTTGTTGTTTTGCCACTGGTAGTTGTGCCACTAGTCGTAGTTCTGCCACTGGTTGTTGTACCACTAGTTGTAGTTGTGCCACTGGTTGTTGTACCACTAGTTGTAGTTGTGCCACTGGTTGTTGTACCTCTAGTTGTAGTTGTGCCGCTAGTGGTTGTTCCACTTGTTGTTGTACCACTACCTGTAGTTGTACCACTAGTTGTTGTCCCACTGGTTGTTGTACCACTGATTGTTGTTCCACTGGTTGTTGTGACACTAGTCGTAGTTGTGCCACTGGTTGTTGTACCACTAGTTGTAGTTGTGCCACTGGTTGTTGTACCAGTAGTGGTAGGTGTGCCACTAGTTGTTGTACCACGTGTCGTTGTACCACTAATTGTAGTTGTGCCACTGGTTGTTGTGCCACTGGTTGTTGTGCCACTGGTTGTTGTACCTCTAGTTGTAATTGTGCCACCGGTTGTTGTACCACTAGTTGTAGTTGTACCACTAGTTGTTGTACCACTAGTTGTAGTTGTGCCACTGGCTGTTGTTCCTAAAATTTGCACGGTTATCAATTGGTGATATATTTGTGAATACTTTCTTCTGTCCTCATGTATGCCATTCTTTAAAGAGGGCATTCGTTTGTTGCCAAACTGTTCCAGCATCATATTAGATACATTCAATCCTTATACTGTATACTGGGCAACCATAACACTTATTAATAGCACCTTCTCAAAAGACCGAACAGAATTTGTTTATCTTCAAGAACACATCGCTTCTTCCCCCAATAAAACATCCGACCATGGAAACAAATAACCAAAAAGGGGAAAAGATCAGAGCATGTACCTGGGAAAAATATCATGTAACCAACAAATACAAACCCATCACTTATACAACCTAAAACTTCTTGTACCTGAGGATGTTGTCCCGCTTGTCGTCGTGCCACTGGTTGTTGTACCACTGGTTGTAGTTGTGCCACTTGTTGTAGTACCGCTGGTTGTAGTTGGGCCACTGGTTGTTGTACCACTTGTTGTTGTTCCACTGGTTGTAGTTGTGCCACTGGTTGTTGTACCGCTGGTTATAGTTGTGCCACTAGTTGTAGTACCGCTGGTTGTAGTTGTGCCACTGGTTGTTGTACCACTTGTTGTTGTACCACTAGTTGTAGTTGTGCCACTGGTTGTTGTACCACTGGTTGTAGTTGTGCCACTAGTTGTTGTACCGCTTGTTGTAGTTGTGCCACTAGTCGTTGTACCACTGGTTGTAGTTGTGCCACTTGTTGTAGTACCGCTTGTTGTAGTTGTGCCACTAGTCGTTGTACCACTAGTTGTAGTTGTGCCACTGGTCGTTGTGCCACTGGTTGTAGTTGTGCCACTAGTTGTTGTGCCACTGGTTGTAGTTGTGCCACTGGTCGTTGTACCGCTGGTTGTAGTTGTGCCACTAGTTGTAGTACCGCTGGTTGTAGTTGTGCCACTGGTTGTTGTACCACTCGTTGTTGTTCGACTAGTGGTAGGTGTGCCACTGGTTGTTGTACCACGTGTTGTTGTACCACTAGTTGTAGTTGTGCCACTGGTTGTTGTGCCACTGGTTGTTGTACCACTGGTTGTAGTTGTGCCACCGGTTGTTGTACCACTAGTTGTAATTGTACCACTGGTTGTTGTACCACTAGTTGTAGTTGTGCCACTGGATGATGTACCACTAGTTGTAGTTGTGCCACTGGCTGTTGCTCCTAAAATTTGCACGGTTATCAATTGGTGATATATTTGTGAATACTCTTTCTTCTGTCCTCATGTATGCCATTCTTTAAAGAGGGCATTCGTTTGTTGCCAAACTGTTCCAGCATCATAGTGGATACATTCAATCCTTATACTGTATACTGGGCAACCATAACACTTATTAATAGCACCTTCTCAAGAGACCGAACAGAATTTGTTTATCTTCAAGAACACATCGCTTCTTGCCCCCATAAAACATCCGACCATGGAAACAAATAACCAAAAAAGGGGAAAAGATAAAAGAATGTACCTGGGAAAAACATCATGTAACCAACATATACAAACCCATCACTTATACAACCTAAAACTTCTTGTACCTGAGGATGTTGTCCCGCTTGTCGTCGTGCCACTGGTTGTTGTACCACTGGCTGTTGTGCCACTGGTTGTTGTACCACTTGTTGTTGTTCCACTGGTTGTTGTTCCACTGGTTGTGTCACTGGTTGTTGTACCACTAGTTGTAGTTGTGCCACTGGTTGTTGTACCAGTGGTTGTTGTACCACTAGTTGTAGTTGTGCCACTGGTTGTTGTACCACTAGTTGTAGTTGTGCCACTGGTTGTTGTACCACTAGTTGTTGTACCACTGGTTGTTGTACCGCTGGTTGTAGTTGTACCACTGGTTGTTGTACCACTTGTTGTTGTTCCACTGGTTGTAGTTGTGCCACTGGTTGTTGTACCGCTGGTTGTAGTTGTACCACTAGTTGTTGTACCGCTTGTTGTAGTTGTGCCACTAGTCGTTGTACCACTAGTTGTAGTTGTGCCACTGGTCGTTGTACCACTGGTTGTAGTTGTGCCACTAGTTGTTGTACCACTGGTTGTAGTTGTGCCACTGGTCGTTGTACCACTAGTTGTAGTTGTGCCACTGGTTGTTGTACCACTAGTTGTTGTACCACTGGTTGTTGTACCGCTGGTTGTAGTTGTGCCACTGGTTGTTGTACCACTTGTTGTTGTTCCACTGGTTGTACTTGTGCCACTGGTTGTTGTACCGCTGGTTGTAGTTGTGCCACTAGTTGTTGTACCGCTTGTTGTAGTTGTGCCACTAGTCGTTGTACCACTAGTTGTAGTTGTGCCACTGGTTGTTTTACCACTAGTTGTTGTACCACTGGTTGTTGTACCGCTGGTTGTAGTTGTGCCACTGGTTGTTGTACCACTTGTTGTTGTTCCACTGGTTGTAGTTGTGCCACTGGTTGTTGTACCACTAGTTGTAGTTGTGCCACTGGTTGTTGTACCACTAGTTGTAGTTGTGCCACTGGTTGTTGTACCACTAGTTGTAGTTTTGCCACTGGTTGTTGTACCACTAGTTGTAGTTGTGCCACTGGTTGTAGTTGTGCCACTGGTTGTTGTACCACTGGTTGTTGTACCCACTAGTTGTTGTACCACTGGTTAGTTGTTGTACCACTGGTTGTTGTAGTTGTGCCACTAGTTGTTGTACCGCTTGTTGTAGTTGTGCCACTGGTCGTTGTACCACTAGTTGTAGTTGTTCCGCTTGTTGTTGTACCACTAGTTGTTGTTCCTAAAATCATGAGTTACCAATTGATAATTTATATTATCATGAGTTATCAATTGATAATTTATATTAGTATTTCCTTGTTCCCTTACTTTTAGTATGGAAGGCTCGTTGATTCCATAATGGAAAATGGGCATTCATTAGCTGCCACGTGTTCCAGCAATATAGTACATGGTTTTCAATCCCTACACTTTACACTTGGCAACCATACTTCTTGAAGTCGCATGGAATGTAACAAGATCAAAGATTAAATGGTCTTCATTCACTGAGTTGAGAAACCTCCACGATAACATAGGGCAGTGTGTCGCGGCGTCAAACAATTAAACCAATATTGTGTGTAGACGTTATGCACATGTCCATGACAGCTACCATCCTATAACATGGCATCTAACGTTTAAGAATAGAGCCCATGCCCATGATCATCCAAAGAATTCATGCTGTCTCTGATGGTTCACGTATCTTTCAATGTCAAGAAACAATGTTATTCGTAGGATGATTGTAAGGTCTGATCTCATAGAGTATGTGGTAACAAAGACCACGCTGTTGTGCTAGGTTTTAACATTCATATCATTTCAACGTGAAGAGAACATTAGTTGTACATCCCTGCATGATACTTCACTCTATGGCTTCCTGTCCCCTAAAACATGACATACTCAACCTTTCCGCCAGTACAAGAAAACTCATTTCAATAACTTCTTTAATTAACAAATACACGTGCTAATATTAAAAGACAATAAATACAGGAATCTTAAACGTCGTTAAAATCATGTCACGTTGTTTACACATATCTCAGGATGTAAGATCAACATATTGTGCTCATTCAGTGAAGTGTTCTCGTTCCTGTTTATGATGCAGTGACTTGCACCTACTCTTTTATTACTACAATTGACCCTAACACTTATAGATAAAACCTTCTGAAAACACCGCACAACAATATGTTTAGATCTTCAAGAAAAGGCTCTTCCTTTCGCCGATAAAACATCGGAACATGGAGACAAATCAAGAAAAAGGTCAAACAATCAGAGAATAAACCTGGAAAATACATCATGAAATCAACAAAATAAAAAATGAAGTTGTACTGGTTGTAGTACCACCGGTTGTTGTACCACTTGTTGTTGTTCCACTGGTTGTTGTACCACTTGTTGTTGTTCCACTGGTTGTAGTTGTGCCACTGGTTGTTGTACCACTAGTTGTAGTTGTGCCACTAGTTGTTGTACCACTGGTTGTAGTTGTGCCACTAGTTGTTGTACCACTGGTTGTAGTTGTGCCACTAGTTGTAGTACCGCTGGTTGTAGTTGTGCCACTGGTTGTTGAACCACTTGTTGTTGTTCCACTAGTTGTAGTTGTGCCACTGGTCGTTGTACCACTAGTTGTAGTTGTGCCACTGGTTGTTGTACCACTGGTTGTAGTTGTACCACTAGTTGTAGTTGTGCCACTAGTTGTTGTACCACTGGTTGTAGTTGTGCCACTAGTTGTAGTACCGCTGGTTGTAGTTGTGCCACTGGTTGTTGAACCACTTGTTGTTGTTCCACTGGTTGTAGTTGTGCCACTGGTTGTTGTACCACTGGTTGTAGTTGTACCACTAGTTGTAGTTGTGCCACTAGTTGTAGTTGTGCCACTGGTCGTTGTACCACTAGTTGTAGTTGTGCCACTGGTTGTTGTACCACTAGTTGTAGTTGTGCCACTGGTTGTTGTACCACTAGTTGTTGTACCACTGGTTGTTGTACCACTGGTTGTAGTTGTGCCACTAGTTGTTGTACCGCTTGTTGTAGTTGTGCCACTGGTCGTTGTACCACTAGTTGTAGTTGTTCCGCTTGTTGTTGTACCACTAGTTGTTGTTCCTAAAATCATGAGTTACCAATTGATAATTTATATTATCATGAGTTATCAATTGATAATTTATATTAGTATTTCCTTGTTCCCTTACTTTTTAGTATGGAAGGCTCGTTGATTCCATAATGGAAAATGGGCATTCATTAGCTGCCACGTGTTCCAGCAATATAGTACATGGTTTTCAATCCCTACACTTTACACTTGGCAACCATACTTCTTGAAGTCGCATGGAATGTAACAAGATCAAAGATTAAATGGTCTTCATTCACTGAGTGGAGAAACCTCCACGATAACATAGGGCAGTGTGTCGCGGCGTCAAACAATTAAACCAATATTGTGCGTAGACGTTATGCACATGTCCATGACAGCTACCATCCTTTAACATGGCATCTAACGTTTAAGAATAGAGCCCATGCCCATGATCATCCAAAGAATTCATGCTGTCTCTGATGGTTCACGTATCTTTCAATGTCAAGAAACAACGTTATTCGTAGGATGATTGTAAGGTCTTATCTCATAGAGTATGTGGTAACAAAGACCACGCTGTTGTGCTAGGTTTTAACATTCATATCATTTCAACGTGAAGAGAACATTAGTTGTACATCCCTGCATGATACTTCATTCTATGGCTTCCTGTCCCCTAAAACATGACATACTCAACCTTTCCGCCAGTACAAGAAAACTCATTTCAATAACTTCTTTAATTAACAAATACACGTGCTAATATTAAAAGACAATAAATACAGGAATCTTAAACGTCGTTAAAATCATGTCACGTTGTTTACACATATCTCAGGATGTAAGATCAACATATTGTGTTCATTCAGTGAAGTGTTCTCGTTCCTGTTTATGATGCAGTGACTTGCTCCTACTCCTTTATTACTACAATTGACCCTAACACTTATAAATAAAACCTTCTGAAAACACCGCATAACAATATGTTTAGATCTTCAAGAAAAGGCTCTTCCTTTCGCCGATAAAACATCGGAACATGGAGACAACTCAAGAAAAAGGTAAAAAAATCAGAGAATAAACCTGGAAAATACATCATGAAATCAACAAAATAAAATGTACTTGTAGTACCGCTGGTTGTAGTTGTGCCACTTGTTGTAGTACCACTTGCTGTTGTACCACTTGTTGTTGTTCCACTGGTTGTAGTTGTGCCATTGGTAGCTGTACCACTAGTTGTAGTTGTACCACTAGTTGTTTTACCACTGGTTGTAGTTGTGCCACCGGTCGTTGTACCACTAGTTGTAGTTGTGCCACTAGTTGTTGTACCACTTCTTGTAGTTGTGCCACTGGTTGTTGTACCGCTGGTTGTAGTTGTGCTACTGGTTGTTGTACCACTAGGTGTTGTTGTGCCACTGGTTGTAGTTGTCCCACTGGTCGTTGTACCACTAGTTGTAGTTGTGCCACTGGTCGTTGTACCACTGGTTGTAGTTGTCCCACTAGTTGTTGTACCACTAGTTGTACTTGTGCCACTGGTTGTTGTACCACTACTTGTAGTTGTGCCATTGGCTGTTGTACCACTAGTTGTGGTTGTGCCACTGGTTGTTGTACCACTAGTAGTAGTTGTGCCACTGGTTGTTGTACCACTAGTCGTAGTTATGCCACTGGTTGTTGTACCACTACTTGTAGTTGTGCCACTGGTTGCTGTACCGATAGTTGTTGTACCACTGGTTGTAGTTGTGCCACTGGTCGTTGTACCACTAGTTGTAGTTGTGCCACTGGTTGTTGTTCCACTGGTTGTAGTTGTGCCACTGGTTGTTGTACCACTAGTTGTAGTTGTGCCACTGGTTGTTGTACCACTAGTTGTTGTACCACTGGTTGTTGTACCACTAGTTGTAGTTGTGCCACTGGTTGTTGTACCACTAGTTGTAGTTGTGCCACTAGTCGTAGTTGTGCCACTGCTTGTTGTTCCACTAGTTGTAGTTGTGCCACTGGCTGTTGTTCCTAAAATGTGCACGGTTATCAATTGGGGATATATTTGTGAATACTCATCCTTCTGTCCTCATCTATGCCACTCTTGAAAGAGGGCATTCGTTTGTTGCCAAACTGTTCCAGCATCATAGTAGATACATTCAATCCTTATACTGTATACTGGGCAACCATAACACTTTTTAATAGCACCTTCTCAAAAGCCCGAACAGAATTTGTTTATCTTCAAGAACACATCGCTTCTTCCCCCCATAAAACATCCGACCATGGAAACAAATAACCCAAAAAGGGAAAAGATCAGAGAATGTACCTGGGAAAAACATCATGTAACCAACAAATAGAATCCCATCACTTATACCACCTAAAACTTCTTGTACCTGAGGATGTTGTCCCGCTTGTCGTCGTGCCACTGGTTGTTGTACCACTGGCTGTTGTGCCACTGGTTGTAGTTGTGCCACTGGTCGTAGTACCGCTAGTTGTGGTTGTGCCACTGGTTGTTGTTCCACTGGTTGCAGTTGTGCCACTGGATATTGTACCACTAGTTGTAGTTGTGCCACTGGTTCTTGTACCACTAGTTGTAGTTGTGCCACTGGTTCTTGTACCACTTGTTGTACCGCTTGTTGTTGTACCGCTGGTTGTAGTTGTGCCACTGGTCGTAGTACCACTAGTTGTGGTTGTGCCACTGGTTGTTGTACCACTAGTTGTAGTCGTGCCACTGGTTGTTGTACCACTAGTTGTAGTTGTGCGACTGGTTGTTGTACCACTAGTTGTAGTTGTGCCACTGGTTGTTGTACCACTTGTTGTTGTACCACTCGTTGTTGTACCACTAGTTGTAGTTGTGCCACTGGTCGTTGTACCACTAGTTGTGGTTGTGCCACTGGTCGTTGTACCACTAGTTGTAGTTGTGCCACTTGTTGTTGTACCACTAGTTATAGTTGTGCCACTGGTTGTTGTACCACTAGTTGTAGATGTGCCACTGGTTGTTGTACCACTAGTTGTAGTTGTGCCACTGGTTGTTGTACCACTAGTTGTTGTTCCACTAGTTGTTGTACCACTGGTTGTTGTACCGCTAGTTGTACTTGTGCCACTGGTTGTTGTACCACTGCTTGTAGTTGTCCCACTGGCCGTTGTACCACTGGTTGTAGTTGTGCCACTGGTCGTTGTACCACTAGTTGTAGTTGTGCCACTGGTCGTTGTACCACTAGTTGTAGTTGTGCCACTGGTTGTTGTACCACTAGTTATAGTTGTGCCACTGGTTGTTGTACCACTAGTTGTAGATGTGCCACTGGTTGTTGTACCACTAGTTGTAGTTGTGCCACTGGTTGTTGTACCACTAGTTGTTGTTCCACTAGTTGTTGTACCACTGGTTGTTGTACCACTAGTTGTAGTTGTGCCACTGGTCGTTGTACCACTGCTTGTAGTTGTCCCACTGGTCGTTGTACCACTGGTTGTAGTTGTGCCACTGGTCGTTGTACCACTGGTTGTGGTTGTGCCACTGGTTGTTGTGCCACTAGTTGTAGTCGTGCCACTGGTCGTTGTACCACTGGTTGTAGTTGTGCCACTTGTTGTTGTTCCACTAGTTGTAGTTGCACCACTGGTTGTTGTACCACTAGTTGTAGTTGTGCCACTGGTTGTTGTACCACTAGTTGTGGTTGTGCCACTGGTTGTTGTACCACTAGTTGTAGTTGTGCCACTGGTTGTTGTACCACTAGTTGTAGTTGTGCCACTGGTTGTTGTACCACTAGTTGTAGTTGTGCCACTGGTTGTTGTACCACTTGTTGTTGTACCGCTTGTTGTTGTACCGCTGGTTGTAGTTGTGCCACTGGTCGTAGTACCACTAGTTGTGGTTGTGCCACTGGTTGTTGTGCCACTAGTTGTAGTTGTGCCACTGGTTGTTGTACCACTTGTTGTTGTACCACTCGTTGTTGTACCACTGGTTGTAGTTGTGCCACTGGTCGTTGTACCACTAGTTGTAGTTGTGCCACTGGTCGTTGTACCACTAGTTGTAGTTGTGCCACTTGTTGTTGTTCCACTGGTTGTAGTTGTGCCACTGGTTGTTGTACCACTAGTTGTAGTTGTGCCACTGGTTGTTGTACCACTAGTTGTACCTGTTGTGTTGTGCCACTGGTTGTTGTACCACTAGTTGTAGATGTGCCACTGGTTGTTGTACCACTAGTTGTAGTTGTACCACTGGTTGTTGTGCCACTAGTTGTTGTTCCACTAGTTGTTGTACCACTGGTTGTTGTACCACTAGTTGTAGTTGTGCCACTGGTCGTTGTACCACTAGTTGTAGTTGTGCCACTGGTCGTTGTACCACTGGTTGTAGTTGTGCCACTGGTCGTAGTACCACTAGTTGTGGGTGTGCCACTGGTTGTTGTGCCACTAGGTGTAGTCGTGCCACTTATTGTTGTACCACTAGTTGTTGTACCACTGGTTGTTGTACCACTAGTTGTTGTACCGCTAGTTGTAGTTGTGCCACTGGTCGTTGTACCACTGGTTGTAGTTGTGCCACTTGTTGTTGTTCCACTGGTTGTAGTTGTGGCACTTGTTGTTGTACCACTAGTTGTAGTTGTGCCGCTGGTTGTTGTACCACTAGTTGTGGTTGTGCCACTGGTTGTTGTACCACTAGTTGTAGTTGTGCCACTGGTTGTTGTACCACTAGTTGTAGTTGTGCCACTGGTTGTTGTACCACTAGTTGTTGTACCACTCGTTGTTGTACCACTGCTTGTAGTTGTGCCACTGGTTGTTGTACCACTAGTTGTAGTTGTGCCACTAGTCGTAGTTGTGCCACTGCTTGTTGTTCCACTAGTTGTAGTTGTGCCACTGGCTGTTGTTCCTAAAATGTGCACGGTTATCAATTGGGGATATATTTGTGAATACTCATCCTTCTGTCCTCATCTATGCCACTCTTGAAAGAGGGCATTCGTTTGTTGCCAAACTGTTCCAGCATCATAGTAGATACATTCAATCCTTATACTGTATACTGGGCAACCATAACACTTATTAATAGCACCTTCTCAAAAGCCCGAACAGAATTTGTTTATCTTCAAGAACACATCGCTTCTTCCCCCCATAAAACATCCGACTATGGAAACAAATAACCCAAAAAGGGAAAAGATCAGAGAATGTACCTGGGAAAAACATCATGTAACCAACAAATAGAATCCCATCACTTATACCACCTAAAACTTCTTGTACCTGAGGATGTTGTCCCGCTTGTCGTCGTGCCACTGGTTGTTGTACCACTGGCTGTTGTGCCACTGGTTGTAGTTGTGCCACTGGTCGTAGTACCGCTAGTTGTGGTTGTGCCACTGGTTGTTGTGCCACTGGTTGCAGTTGTGCCACTGGATGTTGTACCACTAGTTGTAGTTGTGCCACTGGTTGTTGTACCACTAGTTGTAGTTGTGCCACTGGTTGTTGTACCACTTGTTGTTGTACCACTCGTTGTTGTACCACTGGTTGTAGTTGTGCCACTGGTCGTTGTACCACTAGTTGTAGTTGTGCCACTGGTCGTTGTACCACTAGTTGTAGTTGTGCCACTTGTTGTTGTACCACTAGTTATAGTTGTGCCACTTGTTGTTGTACCACTAGTTGTAGATGTGCCACTGGTTGTTGTACCACTAGTTGTAGTTGTGCCACTGGTTGTTGTACCACTAGTTGTTGTTCCACTAGTTGTTGTACCACTGGTTGTTGTACCAATAGTTGTACTTGTGCCACTGGTCGTTGTACCACTGCTTGTAGTTGTCCCACTGGTCGTTGTACCACTGGTTGTAGTTGTGCCACTGGTCGTTGTACCACTAGTTGTAGTTGTGCCACTGGTCGTTGTACCACTAGTTGTAGTTGTGCCACTTGTTGTTGTACCACTAGTTATAGTTGTGCCACTGGTTGTTGTACCACTAGTTGTAGATGTGCCACTGGTTGTTGTACCACTAGTTGTAGTTGTGCCACTGGTTGTTGTACCACTAGTTGTTGTTCCACTAGTTGTTGTACCACTGGTTGTTGTACCACTAGTTGTACTTGTGCCACTGGTCGTTGTACCACTGCTTGTAGTTGTCCCACTGGTCGTTGTACCACTGGTTGTAGTTGTGCCACTGGTCGTAGTACCACTGGTTGTGGTTGTGCCACTGGTTGTTGTGCCACTAGTTGTAGTCGTGCCACTTGTCGTTGTACCACTGGTTGTAGTTGTGGCACTTGTTGTTGTTCCACTACTTGTAGTTGCACCACTGGTTGTTGTACCACTAGTTGTAGTTGTGCCACTGGTTGTTGTACCACTAGTTGTGGTTGTGCCACTGGTTGTTGTACCACTAGTTGTAGTTGTGCCACTGGTTGTTGTACCACTAGTTGTAGTTGTGCCACTGGTTGTTGTACCACTAGTTGTAGTTATGCCACTGGTTGTTGTACCACTTGTTGTTGTACCGCTTGTTGTTGTACCGCTGGTTGGAGTTGTGCCACTGGTCGTAGTACCACTAGTTGTGGTTGTGCCACTGATTGTTGTACCACTAGTTGTAGCTGTACCACTGGTTGTTGTACCACTAGTGGTAGTTGTTCCACTGGTTGTACCACTAGTTGTAGTTGTTCCCCTAGTTGTTGTACCAGTAGTTGTTGTTGTGCCACTGGTTGTTGTACCTCTGGTTGTTGTACCACTAGTCGTAGTTGTACCACTGGTTGTTGTACCACTAGTTGTGGTTGTGCCACTGGTTGTTGTACCACTAGTTGTACTTGTGCCACTTGTTGTTGTTCCACTGGTTGTAGTTGTGCCACTGGTTGTTGTACCACTAGTTGTAGTTGTGCCACTGGTTGTTGTACCACTAGTTATAGTTGTGCCACTGGTTGTTGTACCACTAGTTGTAGTTGTGCCACTGGTTGTTGTACCACTTGTTGTTGTACCACTCGTTGTTGTACCACTGGTTGTAGTTGTGCCACTGGTCGTTGTACCACTAGTTGTAGTTGTGCCACTGGTCGTTGTACCACTAGTTGTAGTTGTGCCACTTGTTGTTGTTCCACTGGTTGTAGTTGTGCCACTGGTTGTTGTACCACTAGTTGTAGTTGTGCCACTAGTTGTAGTTGTGCCACTGGCTGTTGTACCTAAAATTTGCACGGTTATCAATTGGGGATATATTTGTGAATACTCTTCCTTCTGTCCTCATGAATGCCATTCTTGAAAGAGGGCATTCGTTTGTTGCCAAACTGTTCCAGCATCATAGTAGATACATTCAATCCTTATACTGTATACTGGGCAACCATAACACTTATTAATAGCACCTTCTCAAAAGACCGAACAGAATTTGTTTATCTTCAAGAACACATCGCTTCTTCCCCCTATAAAACATCCGACCATGGAAACAAATAACCCAAAAAGGGAAAAGATCAGAGAATGTACCTGGGAAAAACATCATGTAACCAACAAATAGAATCCCATCACTTATACAACCTAAAACTTCTTGTACCTGAGGATGTTGTTCCGCTTGTCGTCGTGCCACTGGTTGTTGTACCACTGGCTGTTGTGCCACTGGTTGTTGTACCACTGGTTGTAGTTGTGCCACTGGTTGTTGTACCACTAGTTGTTGTTCCACTAGTTGTTGTACCACTGGTTGTTGTACCACTAGTTGTAGTTGTGCCACTGATCGTTGTACCACTGGTTGTTGTTGTACCACTAGTTGTTGTACCACTGGTTGTAGTTGTGCCGACGGTCGTTGTACCACTAGTTGTAGTTGTGCCACTAGTTGTTGTACCACTAGTTGTAGTTGTTCCGCTGGTTGTTGTACCACTAGTTGTTGTACCACTAGTTGTTGTACCACTAGTTGTAGTTGTGCCACTGGTCTTTGTACCACTAGTTGTAGTTGTGCCACTGGTTGTTGTACCACTCGTTGTTGTACCACTGGTTGTAGTTGTGCCACTGGTTGTTGTACCACTAGTTGTAGTTGTGCCACTGGTTGTTGTACCACTAGTTGTAGTTGTGCCGCTGGTTGTTGTACCACTAGTTGTTGTACCACTAGTTGTAGTTGTACCACTGGTCGTTGTACCACTAGTTGTAGTTGTGCCACTGGTTGTTGTACCACTAGTTGTTGTACCACTAGTTGTAGTTGTTCCGCTGGTTGTTGTACCACTAGTTGTAGTTGTGCCACTGGTTGTTGTACCACTAGTTGTAGTTGTTCCGCTGGTTGTTGTACCACTAGTTGTAGTTGTGCCACTGGTTGTTGTACCACTGGTTGTTGTACCACTAGTTGTAGTTGTGCCACTGGTTGTTGTACCACTGGTTGTAGTTGTTCCACTGGTTGTTGTACCACTAGTTGTAGTTTTTCCACTAGTTGTTGTTCCTAAAATGCGCAACCTTATTAGTTGATGATTATTATTATTCTCTTGCTGCTGTTCTTTCAAGTAAGGCGAGCTTTCTGACAATCACGGAAAGTGTGGAGTTGGTCTTTTTTGAGCTACCTGCTAAAGCGTATAATGCATGTTTTGCACACTTTATTGTGTATCTATGGGAACCATACTTTTCAATTTGTCCATTCTGAACGGACACTGCAGTGTAAGCCATCCTACTCTCCATCCAAAAGCCAACCAACCCCGTTCCTCCTTCTCCCCATCACCTCGCTTCCTACTAAATGCAAGCTAATGAAATTGCAAAACATTGGATTTCTTCTTAATAGTTTCATTTTATTTCAACATTACCTGATGTAGTTCCGGTTGCTGAAAGCAAGAATAAATATGCAATAAGCACAATGAATGAGAAAAACAAGACGTCATTTGAACACCGTTCAACCAATGATGCATTGTAAGCTTATATTACCGATAGAGTTTATCTGTGGACACAATATGTAAAATGATAAATCGGTTATTCATTTCATTGAAACTCTATGCAGTTATTGGTGAAAGGAAATAGTTTGATGGATACAGTAGTCACCTTCATTCAAAATACAATTAAAACAGTGACAGATGCCAATATTTTATAACTGTTTTACACTGCACACTGTTTCTTGTTGTATTATTTTAGAATAGACGGAGACTTATCTATATGTGAACAATAAAGCCTAATACCTTCATTGCATCAACGAATTCTGATAGGCAGCTAAGTGCACAATCTTTCGCACGTCACAAAACCTTGTGTTATATTAGTAGAAGAGAAAACTTACTTTCTTCCTCACAAACACCCACAGTGTCCTCTATGTTGTCGATCACACCGTTGAAGGTAACAACGTAGCCTTTAATCAGCTTGTTAATGGTCACGGAATTCTGAAAAGATGTGATATATGATCATTTCAAACAAACCAATCATACAATTATTACAATGAAACAATATGAAGCTGTAGCTGTAACTACCTCAGACATAACACTTTGGCTGTCACATTCCTGTGGCGAATTCAAAACCAGAAAAAGCTATAAATACAACGATAATCCATAAAGGAGAGACACTTTTCAGAAGTCGGCATGATGTCATCAATTGCTTTCCGACTAACTAATCTCACTAACAACTGTGCACAGCTTTTAAGTATAGCGGATAGGTCGAACGACGGATATTGCTGCTTTCTGCAATAGTTGCAGAAATGTGGTATGCTTCTACGATACTTACTTCAACAAGCTCGGCAAAATATTTCAACGAAGTTGCCTGCTGGAAGTTTCCTTGCACCTTTATCCCAGGGACTACGTCTTCTTTATTGAAGAAAGCACATACGACGGTTTCCTTGCTAAATGCGTTTTCTCCCAATTCTTTTGCAATGGGCGTGATTAGTTTATTTGTGCCCACTGAAAATGAAGATCATAAAATGTATTTTATCTGTGTACCTTAAGGTAATTCATAATGCACAATAAAGTGCAGCGGGTATTTATACCGCGTGTGTACTGATATCGCATCAGCAAATTATAAAGATATGCCATTCCAATATTTCCCCAAACACAAAGGACATTAGTATTTCGAAGGTAGGAGGCTAATGTTTCCCCGTTTTCACTACTTTTGTTCTTGTTTAGATATAGTAAAAATAATTGTATTTGGTATGTTGTATTACAGTCTCAGTCTCGTGAAGAAAACATTAAATATGTTTAAATTCTCAGTTAGGAATATATGTAAAATGTTACCTTGAGTGAATGTTAGGCCTTTTGCTTCCTCGAGTGACAGAACCGTCACAAGGATTGTCTGTTTATCTTTGGTGGTATCCTCAAACGTCAACTTTCTACTGACACCAGGATCACGCTTAAAGGTAAGGGTGACAGAGTCGTGTTTTGTGGAGTAAGTGATGGAACATAAAACGGAGTAATACAATCAAAAGGAGAACATATATGTGTATGTTTGCTTTTAACGCCCCACTGCGTTATTTTCAGTTTAAAAGACTGTTTTGTGCAATAGCACAGGTATAATGATGACAAGCAAGGAAGAGCATGTTTGCGTTGAGCATCTGGCTGAGTCTGACGGTATATTCACAGTCTATGTAGTTTTTTACGTCATTGGGGCTACGGTGTCAATACGATAGGAGATGTAAGGAAGAGATACAAGAAAGGGCCAATTAATACAAAAAATGAACAAGCTTGGCTTCGTGATACTTTTACGTAGGTGTATATTTTTAGCCGTTAAGTTTGATACTTACCGTCGATGTAATAACTTCAAAGAAGTTGGGTACTGTGCCTGGTGGTGCTCTTGTGTAGTACCTATCCACAAAGGCTGGAGGGCTATATATCGCTTCCAGAACCGTCTTGTTTCCGACGACAAACTTCTGCACCTCGAACGGAGCGTTGTCACTCGTGCCATTCATATTAAATTCCTTGCACCTTTCTACTGTGATGACATAGGTAAAATAGTTGCATGTGATATTCTGTCTCAATGGTGTGTTGTTTTTATTTGTTTATTAGTATAGCATGTACATGTCATGAAAGAAAACCTACGAAACTAAAAAGGCAGTCTGTCATCCAAATACACCCAAAACTAAAAGTGGTGATCCTAGCACTGCAGGCTGGTTAGGCTTATCTAGACAAGGTCCTTTCTTGGTCGTATCATGGATTGGCTTCTGAGTTCAAAACGCAAGCATAGCGTAGACGTTAATAAAAGGACCGAGCCATACCACCATGTCGCTTCAGATACTGTGTTTGTGCCAACGCTTGGCATCCACTGATTAGGTGTTGGACAGTCTCGTTAAATTCCATGATTACATTTTATATTTACATTTTGACGCAAAATCACACATTGGCGGTTACACGTGGGAAGTGACTGACCACTTTTCTGGACAGCTATTAAAGCTCATCATCAGCTCAGGTACCCTTTTCCCTCTACACGTAGCCAAGAATGGGACTTCTCTGAGATGCGCTGCCTTAGCAAACCCACCCAAAACTTTCCGTGGAATATATAGCGCCAACTCTGCAGATCCTGCATTCAGAGTTTTAGAGGTGGAGAACGGAGCACTCTCCTGATCTGCTAAAGAGATCAGGAGGTACCAAACCAAGGTCACCGAGAGCAATGGGGAGTTGCACGACAATGTCTGCATATTTCGCATGCTATTCCAGAAGCTACCAGTCACCATTCAATGACGTTTTCTGCCAGGAAAAGTCTGTATTCATGTTTTAAACCATTGTTTTCCACGACGCCCAAGGGAGGGTCGTAATGGACCTCATCAAAGTCACAGGTGGCAAAGGCAGTAATTTTCAATGCCAAGGAAGGAAATAAAATGAACAGTCTCAGCAACTTCTTTACAAAATCACCATTTCTTGTAAGTAATTTCGTTCAGAATCACATTGTGGCGATTGCGACCGGAACGTGACTGATCGTGGGCAGCAAAATGAATGCCTCTCTTTCACTTTTAAGACCAGCCGACTTCATCCAGGCAAAGAAATTGGTTGGATTGCTGTTCTGTTGCACACACTGCATGTACACATGATGCAGTGGTCTCTCAGAAAGCTTCCCCACAAATGACCCACACTGGTCAGACTTCACCTGGCTAAATTTCGTCCAGCCGTGCATCTCGAGATTCTGTCTAACAACTTTGGCGCACTTAAAATGGCTGTGGAATTCCTTGCCTTCATTCTGATTCTTGACAAGCATCACCAGAGGATCATCCGATAAATAGACATGTACAAAAGTACAAATTAAATTCTATCATCAAGAGCCTCCACATTTATCAAACCACTACCACCCCATTTTATTGCAATACATAAACGATTACCAGAAACCGAAGGTGTTGGGTTCAGGCGGTAAAGACTCTGGATATGTGACATGTCCAATCAACTGCTCCAAAAAGAGTAAGAAAGGACTGGCTCAGCAAATATATTTGTGGCGTTGACCTTATTTTGAGAACGAAGTTCCGAGCTCCAGATGTATACTTACACCCACCCACACACACATCCCCGACCCCCAACCACCCTTTGAGCTTTCAACTTCATCTTTTATGCTATGGTATTTCACCTGATATCGGTTCGGGCATGGTAGGCTCACCTTTTCGTACCCGTATGGTCACTCTTTGCTGACAAGATTTTGTAGCTCAAATGAGAGCCAAATAATTACTTCTACAATCTGCTTATTTACTCTTTGCAGACCATAAGCTTAATACTTATAATACTTAATACTTATAATGCAAATTGATCACTAATAAGAAAACTTACCTGTTGTTCCACTTGTGGTTGTTGTTCCGGATGTAGTAGTAGTACCACTTGTTGTGGTTGTTCCACTAGTTGTTGTGGTGCCACTAGTGGTTGTTGTACCGCTGGTAGTAGTTGTTCCACTAGTTGTTGTGGTGCCACTAGTTGTCGTTCCAGATGTAGTTGTTCCACTTGTTGTTGTACCTGTTCACACACAAAAAATAAAACATGACACACATCTCTCATAAACCGATAGCTTCAAAGGAGTATATAAAAATCACCATAAAAAGAACTGGAAAGTATGGTCAGTTTTATAATGACTATATTTTCTGTTGTCCCAGATGTTGTTGTACTTCATGTATAGTTTTTCACATTCGAGCGTTAACATGGAATACAATTATCTAATCATATTACTAGCCTACACAAACAGAGTCTGCTAACCTGAAAAAGGAGTAGTGTCTAGAGTACACTATATCGCTGAATGAATGAATATATTTTAGCATGGCCTAGTGTATTCAATTATGTCAGATGTTGCTGTTGATGTGTGTGTGTGTGTGTGTGTGTGTGTGTGTGTGTGTGTGTGTGTGTGTGTGTGTGTGTGTGTGTGTGTTTGTGTGTGTGTGTGTGTGTGTGGGGGCGGTTTGGTTCTCCCGTGAATACCTTGATTGATTTGAAACGTGTCTTTGTTATGTTTCACTTATGATCGACAACTTTATGTGAAGGGCGTCTGATGCTCACAACTATCTGAATTACATATGCCCTTCCTGTGTCTGTATTTTATCGAAATAAGATAAGACTTTAACCAGTCATCGACTGACTCTTTTTTGAGTTTCATCATACAACGTAACAGACTTTTTAGCCCTGAATAACAAACAAACGAACCATAACGCCAATTTAGGGTCTAAGTGTACACTCAATGGCATGTCACTCGATGTTTCTGATGAAATTTGAAATGTAATCCATCTGAGTGACTTCTTTTGAGCACCTCGAATTAATGCTCTTCACAAAAAAGGATTCGCTTCAATCAGATTGATGCTTCCACTCGGTCGTAGAAACATAAATTTATCAATTACAGGTATCCTCAAACACAAGGTACATATGTACATCTTACCTGTTGTTTCGTGCTGGCATATGACAATTTCAGTTACACTAGCAGTTGTTGGCAGAATAATGACTGATACTGGACCATTGACGGGAACCTAAAAATTAAAAAAAGCAACTTACAGCTTTCATCTAGACAGTGTATGCATCAACATGAACAATGTAAAGAAAAGTAAAATAAATGAAAACTATAGACACAACGGCCAATGAATATAAGTGGATATATATCCACTCCGATACATATGTATATATATGTATATTTATAAATATATATATATATATAAATATACATACATGCACGTGTGTGTGTCCATGTGTGTGTGTCTCGCTCTCTCTCTCTCTCTCTCTCTCTGCATGTGTGTGTGTGTGTCTCTGTGTGTGTGTCTGTGTCTGTGCGACTTGATCAAATACTTACTTCATAAAGAGAAGAATCACTTGGGTCGACAGTGCCCACAATCTTTTGGAAGACTTCAGGTTTGTCTTTTCCAGCTGGAGTGGTTACTGTCACTGGATTTGTACTTGGTGTAACTGGCACAGTAGTGAGATACACGTTTTTAATGGTGCCTGGGGTACTGCTAGAGGTATCAACTGGTGTCCCATTGACTGTGTAGCCATCAGGTATCTCTTTAGTCACCAAGATAATCTCATCAGTCGAAGATTTGACAGGGAACTCAGTCACCTAAAGAGTTCAAACAAATATTTATTACCTTCACTTGAACATCGTTTCTTCAGTACAATCAAATGGTAAGGAACAAATCTTCATTGTGGTTATATTTTCTTCAGTTGAGTATTTGCATACATACAATTTAAACTGCTCATCACTGTAGGATATTCAATATCATTCATTCCATGAGTTTTTATTCATATCGAAAAATGTTTTGCACGTTGATTATTCATTCAGCACAGATTTTCTTTAGACATACCTGAGGGTTGGTGGTTTCCTCAGAGGGCACAGAAGTGAAGATCGTTTCCGATGTGACCTTTACTGAGTCAACAAAGGGTGTCTCATCCAAAGGTATTTCCGACAGAGGGTCGCCGGCTTCATTTCCGACTGCGGATGGTGTTGGTGGTGGTGATGGGTTCTCACTTGTGTTCATCAGATCAAGCTTGTCACATGGAGTCGTTCCTGTAATGATGTCATATAACAAGGGTCATAACTTCTTCTAGTAGTATTGGTTAAAGCAGGTTGTAGGTCTTCATTTTATAAAGAAAAAGCCAAATCTAAGTACATCGAGATATGACAAGTACATATACATAACAACATAACAGCGATATAGCAACAGTGCATATTTGAGCTGAGAATAGAGGTATATTTGTTTTTAGCCATTAACAAAGAGAAACCGAGGCAAAAATGTCGAGATCAATAAGCATTGTAGTACAAAGATATTGTAAATTGCACAAAATAAACATTCTATTATTGAGCCAAAACATATACCAGCGATGTGATTTCTTTAACCCGTTGTGGATGTGTTTGTGCCGGATGTGGTTGTACCAGATGTGGTTGTTCCAGATGTGGTTGTTGCAGATCACTAATAAGAAAACTTACCTGTTGTTCCACTTGTGGTTGTTGTTCCGGATGTAGTAGTAGTACCACTTGTTGTGGTTGTTCCACTAGTTGTTGTGGTGCCACTACTGGTTGTTGTACCGCTGGTAGTAGTTGTTCCACTAGTTGTTGTGGTGCCACTAGTTGTCGTTCCAGATGTTGTTGTTCCACTAGTTGTTGTTCCAGAGGTAGTTGTTCCACTCGTTGTTGTACCTGTTTACACACAAAAAAATAAAACATGACACACACGTGCCCTGAAGAAACCGATAGCTTCAAAGGAATATAAAATCACCATAAAAAGAACGGGAAAGTATGGTCAGTTTTATAATGACTATATTTTCTGTTGTCCCAGATGTTATTGTACTTCATGTATAGTTTTTCACATTCGAGCGTTAACATGGAATACAAATATCTAACCATATTACTAGCCTACACAAACAGAGTCTGCTAACCTGAAAAGGAGTAGTGTCTAGAGTACATTATATCGCTGAATGAATGAATATATTTTAGCATGGCCTAGTGTACTGAATTATGTCAGATGTTGCTGTTGATGTGTGTGGGTGTGGGTCCACATCAGAAGCAGATTGCTCCCGTGAATACCTTTAAATGATTTGAAACGTGTCTTTGTTAATGTTTCACTTATGATCGACAACTTTATGTGAAGGGCGTCTGATACTCACAACTATCTGAATTACATGTGCCCTTCCTGTGTCTGTATTTTCTCAAAATAAGATAAGACTTTAACCAATCGTCGACTGACACTTTTTGAGTTTCATCATATAACGTAACATACTTTTTAGTCCTGAATAACAAACAAACGAACCATAACGCCAAGTTAGTGTCCAAGTGTACACTCAATGGCATGTCACTTAATGTTTCTGAAGAAATTTGAAATGTAATCCATCTGAGTGACTTCTTTTGAGCACCTCGAATTAATGCCTCTCACAAAAAAGGATTCGCTTCAATCAGATTGATGCTTCCACTCGGTCGTAGAAACATAAATTTATCAATTACAGGTATCCTCAAACACTAGGTACATATGTACATCTTACCTGTTGTTTCGTGCTGGCATATGACAATTTCAGTTACACTAGCAGTTGCTGGCACAAGAATGGCTGATACTGGACCATTGACGGGAACCTAAAAATTAAAAAAAACAACTTACAGCTTTCATCAAGACAGTGTATGCATCAACATGAACAATGTAAAGAAAAGTGAAATAAATGAAAACGATAGACACAACGGCCAAGGAATATAAGTGGATATATATCCACTTCCATACATACATATATATATATATATATATATATACATACAGGCACGTGTGTGTGTCTATGTGTGTGTGTGGGTGTGGTCTTTCTCTCTCTCTCTCTGTGCATGTGTGTGTGTGTCTGTGTCTGTGCGACTTGATCAAATACTTACTTCATAAAGAGAAGAATCACTTGGGTCGACAGTGCCCACAATCTTTTGGAAGACTTCAGGTTTGTCTTTTCCAGCTGGAGTGGTTACTGTCACTGGATTTGTACTTGGTGTAACTGGCACAGTAGTGAGATACACGTTTTAATGGTGCCTGGGGTACTGCTAGAGGTATCAACTGGTGTCCCATTGACTGTGTAGCCATCAGGTATCTCTTTAGTCACCAAGATAATCTCATCAGTCGAAGATTTGACAGGGAACTCAGTCACCTAAAGAGTTCAAACAAATATTTATTACCTTCACTTGAACATCGTTTCTTCAGTACAATCAAATGGTAAGGAACAAATCTTCATTGTGGTTATATTTTCTTCAGTTGAGTATTTGCATACATACAATTTAAACTGCTCATCACTGTAGGATATTCAATATCATTCATTCCATGAGTTTTTATTCATATCGAAAAAATGTTTTGCACGTTGATTATTCATTCAGCACAGATTTTCTTTAGACATACCTGAGGGTTGGTGGTTTCCCTCAGAGGGCACAGAAGTGAAGATCGTTTCCGATGTGACCTTTACTGAGTCAACAAAGGGTGTCTCATCCAAAGGTATTTCCGACAGAGGGTCGCCGGCTTCATTTCCGACTGCGGATGGTGTTGGTGGTGGTGATGGGTTCTCACTTGTGTTCATCAGATCAAGCTTGTCACATGGAGTCGTTCCTGTAATGATGTCATATAACAAGGGTCATAACTTCTTCTAGTAGTATTGGTTAAGCAGGTTGTAGGTCTTCATTTTATAAAGAAAAACAGCAAAACTAACTACTTACTACAGCTCACCGATATGACAAGTATGTACATAGAATGTATGTCAACAGAGCACATATCTGAATTGAGAATATAATCATATTTGTTTTAGCAATTAACAAAGGGAAACTGAGGCAAAAAAGTGCTCACTAAGTATTAAAAGTATACAAATATTGTAAATTGACATACAATAAATATTTTATTATTGAACCATAACATATACTAGTGACATGATTTCCTTTACCCGTTGTGGATGTGGTTGTACCGGATGTGGTTGTACCAGATGTGGTTGTACCGGATGTGGTAGTGCCGGATGTTGTTGTACCGGATGTGGTTGTTGTTGCACTGGTTGTTGTTGTTCCACCTTGTAGTCGTTCCTAATGGAAACAATAGTATTATATAGACCTTTAACAGATTCTGTATTTTATCAACAAAGGATAGTAAATTTAACAATCATCGTCATCTGACACTTTCTTGAGTTTCATCAAACAACGTAACAGCCTTCTTAGCCTTGAATAACAAACAAAAGAACCATAACGCCAGGTTAGTGTCCAAGTGTACACTCAAGGCATGTCACTCGATGTTTCTGAAGAAATTTGAAATGTAATCCTTCTGAGTGACTCCCCTTTTTGAGCACCTCGAATTAATGCCTCACAAAAAAAGATTTGCTTCAATCAGATTGTTGCTTCCCACTCGGTCGTAGAAACATAAATTTATGAATTACAGGTATCCTCAAACACAAGGTACATATGTACATCTTACCTGTTGTTTCGTGCTGGCATATGACAATTTCAGTTACACTAGCAGTTGCTGGCACAAGAATGGCTGATACTGGACCATTGACGGGAACCTAAAAATTAAAAACAGCAGCTTACAGCTTTCATCTAGACAGTGTATGCATAAACATGGACAATGCAAAGAAAAGTGAAATAAATGAAAACGATAGACACAACGGCCAAGGAATATAAATGGATTTATATCCACTTCCTTACATAGAGAGAGATATATATACACATACAGTCACGTGTGTATATGTGTGTGTGTCTGTGTTTGCCTGTGTCTGTGTCTGTGCGACTTGATCAAATACTTACTTCATAAAGAGAAGAATCACTTGGGTCGACAGTGCCCACAATCTTTTGGAAGACTTCAGGTTTGTCTTTTCCAGCTGGAGTGGTTACTGTCACTGGATTTGTACTTGGTGTAACTGGCACAGTAGTGAGATACACGTTTTTAACGGTGCCTGGGGTACTGCTAGAGGTATCAACTGGTGTCCCATTGACTGTATAGCCATCAGGTATCTCTTTAGTCACCAAGATAATCTCATCAGTCGAAGATTTGACAGGGAACTCAGTCACCTAAAGAGTTCAAACAAATATTTATTACCTTCACTTGAACATCGTTTCTTCAGTACAATCAACTGGTAAGGAACAAATCTTCATTGTGGTTATACTTTCTTCAGTTGAGTATTTGCATACATACAATTTAAACTGCTCATCACTGTAGGATATTCAATATCATTCATTCCATGAGTTTTTATTCATATCGAAAATGTTTTGCACGTTGATTATTCATTCAGCACAGATTTTCTTTAGACATACCTGAGGTTGGTGGTTTCCTCAGAGGGCACAGAAGTGAAGATCGTTTCCGATGTGACCTTTTACTGAGTCAACAAAGGGTGTCTCATCCAAAGGTATTTCCGACAGAGGGTCGCCGGCTTCATTTCCGACTGCGGATGGTGTTGGTGGTGGTGATGGGTTCTCACTTGTGTTCATCAGATCAAGCTTGTCACATGGAGTCGTTCCTGTAATGATGTCATATAACAAGGGTCATAACTTCTTCTAGTAGTATTGGTTAAGCAGGTTGTAGGTCTTCATTTTATAAAGAAAAACAGCAAAAACTACTTACTACAGCTCACCGGGATATGACAAGTATGTACATAGAATGTATGTCAACAGAGCACATTCGAATTGGAGAATATAATCATATTTGTTTTAGCAATTAACAAAGGGAAACTGAGGCAAAAGTGCTCACTAAGTATTAAAAGTATACAACATTGTAAATTGACATACAATAAACATTTTATTATTGAACCATAACACATACTAGTGACATGATTTCCCCAACCCGTTGTGGATGTGGTTGTACCGGATGTGGTTGTACCAGATGTGGTTGTACCGGGATGTGGTAGTGCCGGATGTTGTTGTACGGATGTGGTTGTTGTTGCACTGGTTGTTGTTGTTCCACTTGTAGTCGTTCCTAATGGAAACAATAGTATTATATAGACCTTAACAGATTCTGTATTTTATCAACAAAGGATAGTAAATTTAACAATCATCGTCATCTGACACTTTCTTTGAGTTTCATCAAACAACGTAACAGCCTTCTTAGCCTTGAATAACAAACAAAAGAACCATAACGCCAGGTTAGTGTCCAAGTGTACACTCAAGGCATGTCACTCGATGTTTCTGAAGAAATTTGAAATGTAATCCTTCTGAGTGACTTCTTTGAGCACCTCGAATTAATGCCTCTCACAAAAAAAGATTTGCTTCAATCAGATTGTTGCTTCCACTCGGTCGTAGAAACATAAATTTATGAATTACAGGTATCCTCAAACACAAGGTACATATGTACATCTTACCTGTTGTTTCGTGCTGGCATATGACAATTTCAGTTACACTAGCAGTTGCTGGCACAAGAATGGCTGATACTGGACCATTGACGGGAACCTAAAAATTAAAAACAGCAACTTACAGCTTTCATCTAGACAGTGTATGCATAAACATGGACAATGCAAAGAAAAGTGAAATAAATGAAAACGATAGACACAACGGCCAAGGAATATAAATGGATTTATATCCACTTCCTTACATAGAGAGAGATATATATACACATACAGTCACGTGTGTATATGTGTGTGTGTCTGTGTGTGCCTGTGTCTGTGTCTGTGCGACTTGATCAAATACTTACTTCATAAAGAGAAGAATCACTTGGGTCGACAGTGCCCACAATCTTTTGGAAGACTTCAGGTTTGTCTTTTCCAGCTGGAGTGGTTACTGTCACTGGATTTGTACTTGGTGTAACTGGCACAGTAGTGAGATAAACGTTTTTAATGGTGCCTGGGGTACTGCTAGAGGTATCAACTGGTGTCCCATTGACTGTGTAGCCATCAGGTATCTCTTTTAGTCACCAAGATAATCTCATCAGTCGAAGATTTGATAGGGAACCCAGTCACCTAAAGAGTTCAAACAAATATTTATTACCTTCACTTGAACATCGTTTCTTCCAGTACAATCAACTGGTAAGGGAACAAATCTTCATTGTGGTTATACTTTCTTCAGTTGAGTATTTGCATACATACAATTTAAACTGCTCATCACTGTAGGATATTCAATATCATTCATTCCATGAGTTTTTATTCATATCGAAAATGTTTTGCACGTTGATTATTCATTCAGCACAGATTTTCTTTAGACATACCTGAGGGTTGGTGGTTTCCTCAGAGGGCACAGAAGTGAAGATCGTTTCTGATGTGACCTTTACTGAGTCAACAAAGGGTGTCTCATCCAAAGGTATTTCCGACAGAGGGTCGCCGGCTTCATTTCCGATTGCGGATGGTGTTGGTGGTGGTGATGGGTTCTCACTTGTGTTCATCAGATCGCTTGTCACATGGAGTCGTTCCTGTAATGATGTCATATAACAAGGGTCATAACTTCTTCTAGTAGTATTGGTTAAGCAGGTTGTAGGTCTTCATTTTATAAAGAAAACAGCAAAACTACTTACTACAGCTCACCGGGATATGACAAGTATGTACATAGAATTTATGTCAACAGAGCACATTCGAATTGAGAATATAATCATATTTGTTTTAGCAATTAACAAAGGGAAACTGAGGCAAAAGTGCTCACTAAGTATTAAATAGTATACAAATATTGTACATTGACATACAATAAACATTTTATTATTGAACCATAACATATACTAGTGACATGATTTCTTTACCCGTTGTGGATGTGGTTGTACCGGATGTGGTTGTACCTCGATGTGGTTGTACCGGATGTGGTTGTTCCCGGATGTGGTTGTGGCTTGTTTCTGAAATAAACATTTATCACGTTATATGTAGACATTCGTAATATGTATTTACAGTACATGAGACATAACAGTTTCACAGTTTCTCATAAAAGAAAAGAAAGATCTTTTTGTCTTCAACATTACTGTCACAGCAGAGAGGAGGTTAGGTTGGGGACTGGCTGTATGTGTATGTTGGTGGTGGCAGGAGGGGTTGGGGAAGGGAAGCTGAACGGTCGAGATATCAGGGAATGTCGAAGAATCAATAGTCAGCTTTAGGAGTAGACGTCAGACTCAAAATGAAACAAACATAACATTTAGGCTCATTGTTTACTTTTTTTCTGGTCTTTGCAGTTGCAAACTAGTAAATATCCAGTTTCTATTCAAAATCCAGTGTCTTCCAAACCACAATTATAATTGGTCGGTCCCTTAATTCACAAGACAATCCTCCTTAGATACGAACCCCAGCGCAGCCATGCCTGGTGGGAAAGCTAGACCAAAAGCTAGATCAAACATACCTGTTTAACGAGCTTCCTTTGTAAATGTTCCGTAAAAATATGTCTAAATGCATAGCAGGTTTGTTTGCCATTAGATCTATTGATCTGTGATAGGGTTTATGAGTTATTGATATAATAAGCCCTCTTGATACTTTTCATTGTTAAATATGAAAACTAGTGGCAAATATAAGTTTTACCTGGTGCCTTCATAACATCCTTCAGGTTCAATGTTCTTTATATTGACCGTAGTAACTCCTGCTTTCGGCGTTATCTTCACTTGAAGCGTTTTTGATGATACGAGTTCAAGTCCGTCCAGTATACTCAAAACGGCTTTGTCTCCTTTGGAACGGGACATCCTGAAACCGAAATTATGTGGACGTGGATAATTAAACTCCTTTCATTACTACGATTAAGTTGAAGCACAATCTCAAATATGCTGGTATATTTTCTTAGTATCATAATCCCTATTTATGCTTGCTACCATGCTGAATAAAGCATATCTGCAATATCCTTTTCCTGTACGCTCAAAGGATAGATTTAGGTAAACACATGTTCATGTATGTCTGTGTGTTTGCTTGTCCGTGTAGTAGTTCCTGGAAATAGTGGTTGTAGTAGCAGTAGTAGTAGTAGCAGTAGTAGTAGTAGTAGTGGCAAGTGGCAGTAGTAGTAGCAGTAGTAGTAGTAGTAGTGGTAGTAGTAGTAGTAGTAGTAGTAGTAGTAGTAGTAGTAGTAGAAGTAGTACCAGAGGAAATGGTAGTAATGAGGTATAGAAGAGGAGTAGATGATGTTTGAGGATGATGAAGTAGTAGTTATAGCAGCAGCAGCAGTAGTGGTAGTACAGGAGCACTACCATATACCAACCTTGATTATTTCGGTTGATCCATCATCATTCGACACTCTTGCAACGCGGCCTTTTCCATGTCATCACCGGTTATTACCAATGAGAAAAGTTCAGCATTTGTCCCTGTTTTGTGTTGATTATGATGGTCAGCAGAACGTCGCCAGTATCACGAGGACTGATTTGGAATGCAACTCCTGACTGCGGTAAGTCGTTAGCGCTCACGGAAATGTCATCCACGGGCACGTTCTTCTTTTCACAAACTTTGAAAGAAAACGCGAGACTTTGTAGCTAACTGGCATATTTCTGGAATAACACTAAATAATAAACAAGAAACAACAAAAAGGTAGACATATTACTGTTCAACAAATATTCACACCGCAAGATATTATATTAGTCACTAGTCGACATGGCAGTATCAAGGTGAGTAAATTTCAACATCCGAGTTTTAGCAAGTTTGGTCATAGTATCAAGATACACAGACAAACAGCGAGAGAGAAGTATCAACGCCCTTACATATGTGCCTTTTATTTCATGTTTCAATGCCCATGCAAACTTTATAAACATTATTATTTACAGTTCCGTTTTTTATGGCGTTAATATTTAAGAAGATCCAGATCTTCAGCACAAAGTCTCTGACTCACCCGCTGTTGTAGATGATGTAGTTCCTGGAAGGTAATTCGAGACAGTTAAAGGATGACACTAAACCGCCACAATACATGACGCCTACACATATTGATATGGACAATTTCATTTGTCAACTTACAAGGGCTTCATATATCATCAATTCATCTATTCACTTCGGAATCATCACATGTGATTGTGGGGGCGGTGGGGTAGCCTTAGTGGTTAAAGCGTTGGCTCGTCACGTCGAAGACCCGGTTCGAATCCCCACATGGGTACAATGTGTGAAGCCCATTTCTGGTGTTCCCCGCCGTGATGTTGCTGGAATATTTATTTTTTTTTAAATTTTATTGTTTTATAGATGTTTTACAGTTGCTGGAATATTGCTAAAAGCGGCGTAAAAACCCAACTCAGTCAGTCATTCTTGGCCTCAGTCATATGTGATTGACAGTGAGACCTCCCTGAGAACCAATGATTGTTTTCATTTCCGACGATATTCTACCCGATATAGAAATACAGGTTATCCAAAACTTAGAATTTTGTTGTGATATGGCCTTTGAATTAGGATAAATGCTGAATTACCTGGAAGTGGTCGTCGTTTCCACTGCAAAATAAGAAGCTTATAAGTAATAAATTTCAACAAGAACATTTCTGAACCTTAAAGAATTGAACATCAAACCATTACGCATCAATATATATCAATAGCCCTGAGTATATCTACCTTTTTAATGACATTCTATTTGTATATTTTTTTATACCTCGCATGAGTGTCAAAAATAAGTTTGTATTCAAATAACTGACTAGCAAATGACAACATATCTTTTAAGAGTTGGTAAAAAATCATAGGAAATTATCAGAACATTATGTTAATCTTTTTAAAGTTTGGAAAACATATTCCACTCACTTCAAATGAGGAGGGAAAGGGGACGCAAATTTGAATCATTTTAGTTTTACTCATCCGGTTTGGCATATACTCTTCTCTTCGCTGGAAAATGATTAACTGATATTTTCCAAAAAGTGAGGGAATATGATGTAAACAAATTAAAGCTACAATGGAGTAAAGTCATTTCTAGGTGGACGAGTTTTTGTGTTAATCAACTGGCTACGGCTTATTGTAAATACCTGCATAATGTGGCCTCGTTGTGGCTTTGGTAGTCGTTGTTGTGGCTTCCGTTGTTCCGAAAGACCTGTACCCTCTGTTGAAACAAATGTTAAAGACAAGGTTCTTACAAGAAGAGAGCCCTGGACATGAACTTCTACGTTCAAACAATATCCAACCAGACTGTAGTCCGTATACGCCATAGCTGACCTAGGGGACAAATCTGCTAGTTTGTGATTTGGGCGCAGTATAGTTTATTCAATCAAATAAAAAATCAGACGTTTTATAATGGGGATATTGGACCGATGCATAATATGTTATGTTTGTTAAACGTTCGTGTTGCTTGCATTTGGACGATCCTGTGTAGACAGAGGATAGCACTTGTCAAACCCCAACTATATGGCTATCCGACATCAGATCGTTTTAAATACAATTGAGCACTATATGTTTTCTGAGCAGGGCCCCGTTTCACAAAGTTTTCGTAGCCACGACTATCGCAAGTCAATGTTACAGCATAGAGGAACGAATGCTACGAGACAAGTTACGAGATCTTAGGCTTACGAGAGCTTTGAAACGGGGCCAAGGAAAACATTCTGAAGTTATTTAAAATATCCTTTCAACACTGGATGTAGTATCTTACCCGCAGTAGTAGTTGACGTTGATGTTGACGTTGTTCCTGGAATAGTATAAGACATTATGCAATACAATGTAAATTTAAACGTTCTAATTGGTTTTGTATGTCAACAATGCGTACAGTTATTTATGCAGGACATTTCTCTCTAATAAAACGGTCATTTCTACCCGCAATATATGATGTATTTGTAGCACCTCTTAGTTTCCATGTATGGTGTTTAAATGTATTGTTAATACTTGCGGCACAGTACCTGTCGTGGTGCCTGTAATAGAAATAAAACAATGAATTAGTATTCAAGAAAGGAAAATGTCCACAACCACTGTCATCCTCATCAACATCATAAGAAACATGTATATGATGATTATGAGCAGGTTAACACATAACTGTCACATACTCCCTTTATTTTTATCATTATCATTTTCCTTATTAACTTATGTAGTCATCAATACACTATTTTCTAAACTATAGTTTTGTGATACAAATGCAGATAATTGTAATACCGCTGGTTGTAGCACTGGTTGTAGTTCCTGAAGTTGTTCCACTGGTTGTTGCTGACGTTGTAGCACTGGTCGTTGTTCCCGACGTTGTTGCGCTGGTTGTTCCTGAGGTCGTTGTTGCTGAGGAGGTGTTGTTCATTATTTGAAAATTTGACAGTCTCACTTTAATTACATTTCTAACACATCATCAATCTTACGTTTGTTTTCATTCTACGAGGCGTTTGTATATTATGTCGGGTTAACAAAACATGCGGGATATCAGTCGTAAGGCAAAACATGTCATTACCGTATTTTGTTGTTGTACCACTTAGTGAGGATTGTTCCTGACGTTGTCGTACCACACTGGTTGTTGTTCCAGACGTCGTTGTTGTACCACTGGTTGTTGTTCCAGATGTCGTTGTTGTACCAACTGGTTGTTGTTCCAGATGTCGTTGTTGTACCACTGGTTGTTGTTCCAGATGTCGTTGTTGTACCACTGGTTGTTGTTTCAGATGTCGTTGTTGTACCACTGGTTGTTGTTCTAGACATCGTTGTTGTACCACTGGTTGTTGTTCCAGAGGTTGTGGTTGTACCACTGGTTGTTGTTCCAGATGTTGTTGTACCACTGGTTGTTGTTCCAGACGTTGTGGTTGTACCACTGGTCGTTGTTCCAGACGTCGTCGTTTGTGCCACTGGTCGTTGTTCCAGACGTTGTTGTTGTACCACTGGTTGTTGTTCCAGACGTCGCTGTTGTACCACTGGTTGTTGTTCCAGACGTTGTGGGTTGTACCACTGGTCGTTGTTCCAGACGTCGTCGTTGTGCCACTGGTCGTTGTCCAGACGTTGTTTGTTGTACCACTGGTTGTTGTTCCAGACGTTGTGGTTGTACCCACTGGTTGTTGTTCCAGATGTTGTTGTATCACCGGTTGTTGTTCCAGACGTCGTCGTTGTGCCACTTGTCGTTGTTCCAGACGTTGTTGTTGTACCACTGGTTGTTGTTCCGGACGTTGCTGTTTGTACTCCACTGGTTGTTGTTCCAGATGTTGTTATACCACTGGTCGTTGTTCCAGACGTGGTTGTTGTACCACTAGTCGTTGTTCCAGATGTTGTGGTTGTTCCGGATGTTGTTGTCCCACTGGTTGTTGTTCCGGACGTTGTTGTTGTACCCACTGGATTTGTTGTTCCGACGTTGTTGTTGTACCACTAGTCGTTGTTCCAGACGTCTTTGTTTGTACCCACCAGTCGTTGTTCCAGATGCTGTGGTTGTTCCGGATGTTGTTGTCCCACTGGTTGTTGTTCCAGACGTTGTTGTTGTACCACCAGTCGTTGTTCCAGACGTCTTTGTTGTACCACCAGTCGTTGTTCCAGATGTTGTGGTTGTTCCGATGTTGTTGTCCCACTGGTCGTTGTTCCAGATGTTGTTGTTGTACCACCGGTCGTTGTTCCAGATGTTGTGGTTGCAATTCCACTGGATTTGTTGTTCCGGACGTTGTTGTTGTACCACTGGTTGTTGTTCCAGATGTTGTTGTACCACTGGTTGTTGTTCCAGACGTCGTCGTTGTGCCACTCGTCCTTGTTCCAGACGTTGTTGCTGTACCACTCGGTTGTTGTTCCAGACGTTGTTGTTGTACCACTGGTTGTTGTTCCGGACGTTGTTGTTGTACCACCATCGTTGTTCCAGACGTCGTTGTTGTACCACTGGTCGTTGTTCCAGATGTTGTTGTTGTTCCAGATGTTGTTGTCCCACTGGTTGTTGTTCCAGACGTTGTTGTTGTACCACTAGTCGTTGTTCCCGACGTTGTTGTTGTACCACCAGTCGTTGTTCCAGACGTTGTTGTCCCACTGGTCGCTGTTCCAGATGGTGTTGTTGTACCACTGGTCGTTGTTCCAGATGTTGTGGTTGTACCACTGGTTGTTGTTCCAGATGTTGTGGTTGTACCCACTGGTCGTTGTTCCAGATGTTGTTGTACCACTAGTCGTTGTTCCAGACGTTGTTGTCGTACCACTGGTCGTTGTTCCAGACGTCGTTGTTGTACCACTGGTCGTTGTTCCAGATGTTGCTGTACCACTAGTCGTTGTTCCAGACGTTGTTGTCGTACCACTGGTCGTTGTTCCAGACGTCGTTGTTGTACCACTGGTCGTTGTTCCAGACGTTGTTGTTGTACCACTAGTCGTTGTTCCAGACGTGGTTGTTTGTACCACTGGTCGTTGTTCCAGACGTTGTTGTTGTTCCACTTGTCGTTGTTCCAGACGTCGTTGTTGTACCACTGGTCGTTGTTCCAGACGTTGTGGTTGTTCCAGATGTTGTTGTACCCACTGGTTGTTGTTCCAGACGTTGTTGTTGTACCACTCGGTCGTTGTTCCTGACGTTGTTATCGTACCACTGGTCGCCGTTGTACCCACTGGTTGTTGTTCCAGACGCCGTTGTTGTACCACTGGTTGTTGTTCCAGACGTCGTTGTTGTACCACTGGTCGTTGTTCCAGATGTTGTTGTACCACTGGTCGTTGTTCCAGACGTGGGTTGTTGTACCACTGGTCGTTGTTCCAGACGTTGTGGTTGTTCCAGATGTTGTTGTACCCACTGGTTGTTATTCCAGACGTTGTTGTTGTACCCACTGGTCGTTGTTCTGACGTTGTTGTCGTACCACTGGTCGTCGTTGTACCACTGGTTGTTGATCCAGACGTCGTTGTTGTGCCAATGGTTGTTGTTCCAGACGTCGTTGCTGTACCACTGGTCGCGTTGTTCCAGATGCTGCTGTACCACTGGTCGTTGTTCCAGACGTCGCCGTTGTACCACTGGTTGTTGTTCAGACGTTGTTGTTGTACCCACTTGTCGTTGTTCAGACGTCGTTGTTGTACCACTAGTCGTTGTTCCGGACGCTGTGGATTTGTTCCAGATGTTGTTGTGCCACTGGTTGTTGTTCCAGACGTTGTTGTTGTGCCACTGGTCGTTGTTCCTGACGTTGTTGTCGTACCACTGGTCGCCGTTTGTACCGCTGGTTGTTGTTTCAGACGCCGTTGTTTGTACCACTGGTTTGTTCCAGACGCCGTTGTTGTACCACTGGCTGTTGTTCCAGACGTCGTTGTTTGTACTCACTGGTTGTTGTTCCGGACGTTGTTGTTGTACCACTGGTCGTTGTTCCTGACGTTGTTGTCGTACCACTGGTCGTCGTTGTACCACTGGTTGTTGTTCCAGACGTCGTTGTTTGTACCACTGGTTTGTTGTTCCAGACGTCGTTGTTGTTCCGGACGTTGTTGTCTCACCGCTGGTTGTTATTTCGCTGATATTTGTTTTAAATGATGCATTATTTGGCGCTCAACTTTCAACTTCTCTAACTTAACCTTGTTGGACACAAGTCCAACTTTGATAACATGTAATGCCGTAACTCCATTTCCCACTTGCCTGGTTTAGGTATTTTTGACAAAGATTAGTGCCATTTTTCGTGGCACATGTAACCCTATTACAAACTGCAATCTGTGTTTAGAGCGTATGGATAAAAATGTGGGTACTAATAATTGGTGATGGAGATCTTATCTCTGTACTGTTTGCAACATGATACTGATGAAGGATACAGGAAAATAGAATGTTTACCTGTTGTTTCCTCGCCGCAATAACTGATGGAACCAGAGCTTGTTATGGCAGTCTGTAAAGCACTTTCATCTGCTTTAGGCTTAAAAAGTGCCAATATACTTTGGGTCGCTTGGTTGATTGTAATCGGTTTTGAAGCCAATAATACAAAGAGACAAGGGGCTGAGACATGTGAATATCTTGATTTAAATAATATAAGTACTTTGTACAAAATAGGAATATATGCAAAAAGGGTTGACATGTTCCACTAATTATTGACGTTTCTGGTCATGGGAAAATATGATTCATATTGTTCCTGGCGATATTTTGCTTTGATAATAACGGAGACAGCATCACATACGTGTGATAGGCATTCAAGAAAGATAGATGGTCACTTATAGATAGATAAGATAGGGTGTGATTACGGATTCCACAAAGAAGGGAAAATACTGTGATTTGGTTTGTTGTCTGATCAAAGTGGCATAAAACTCATAAAGTCAACTCTCAGTATAGTTCCCTTAGGTTATGTAGATATGTCACTCAATGATCAATACACATAGTTAAGGCAACCCTGAACAAGTATTTCGCCTTTACTCACATCGAAATCACCAAGTGATTTTACAATCTCCCAGACTTATAGAATCTTCGGGATCCTTAATTGTCAGCTGTTTGGATGGATCAGCATTCTTCACAGTAACCAAAGTAATCGTGGGTGTGCTGATTTCAACAGTAAACGCAACAGGTGAACCACCAACTGCAACAGATGAATATCCTTAATATCGTTAATCCCTCTCTGGAGGATTTATATCAATGTTACAATATAATACATCCGTTGCTATTCTTATGTTTCTTAATGTATTGTGTATATTTGCATTCACTCTTGTGATGTAAATATATACATTTTGGTCTAACTCATAATGAACCATACATGAAATTATGTCCAGTCATATTTTTATTGCTTCGGTAAGATAAGTTCCTTTAAAGTCTTTAGAAAAACCATGCTACGGGCTTTACATAACAAATATTGATGCTGGAAGCTAAATAGAAATAATTAATTTTCAATCAATGCACTTGGCACATCCAACTTCATCGGATCGAGGCATCGCCACAGTTTTATGAGAACACCAAGGGGGATGTGAGTATATGATACATCTTCATATATTTTGTATGTCGGTGGAACCTTATTATTAATCATATTTCCATGCATTGATCTAAATTCATTATTACATATTATTTCCTACTACCCGAACTACATCATATTGCATATTACGGCCATGGATCTTTACCTGTCTCTGGTTATTTCAAATGTGCTTAGGTATTCTTACGAACCAACAGAGAAAATTCATCCTTCATTTCCCTCTGTCACATCCAGTGTAGAGGTTTGGATGGGTTCTGAAAAGAGAAGGGTTGTACTAGTATACACGTTGAAACCCCTGTGTGATCTGCAGTAACGATTATTTACTTTTTAAACCGTATTCCATGGTTTAAGTCATCTTGATTTGTTGATGTGGATCGGCTTTGCACTGTTTCCCTGACAACCTGTTAGCGGCGAATAGCTGTCAATATTTACTACATGGTTTAATAGCTTTGGGATTACCATCGATGGGATTAAAGAGGGTCTGTCTAATTTCAACGATTAGGTTGGAGTCGAGTTTTCCAGCTTCCGCCTCGATCTCATTTCATTATGGAGAAGTTGGACCACGGGGAGCAGATGGATTATTGTGTAGTTATTTTACCAAGAGACAGGATGTGACCAGTCACAATGCCAGTATCAGAGGTTGTTTGACACCTTCAACAATGCATCATATATTGTAATTGTTCAGCATTTGTGTGGCCGACATAGCAGATATAGTACAGACAATAAGGTAAAAACATAAGATAGACAAACGCTGCCGACAAGTCCACATATCAGCAAAACAGTTATCACCTTGTATCTCAAAGTTGATTACAACGACCGTGACATTTTACAAAATAGTATTCATAATTTTGTTGAACACGGTGTGAGTAGTATTACATTCGGCATGGCGCGACAGACTAACCTTTCATGGGTCCCTAAACATTTTGTCCACGAGTATAAACTAAAAAACACAAGTTGCACTAAAACAATGGCGATCGATGATTGATCAATGCGACTTAACAGTTGCTGAGGTTTGTACGTACAGTTTTCTCTTGAAGTGTCGAAAACACCTTGGCAGTTCCAGTGAAATCGAGATTCACATCGCCAACTAATCTGTTGGGCCTGGGGCCATCGAGGACCAATGTTGCAGCAGAATCTCCTTGTACATCTACTACGGTGAGACTTTCTATGTTTGCAGGTCCCTGGAAATACGACGATCATATCAATATTTAGCAGCAATTATTTTGTTTTATGGCGTGGCGTTTTTTAAATGTATTATTAAGCTGTTTTGGGAAATGTATTATTAAATAGTGCACCATCAGAACCACCAATACCTGTACACACATGTGATAGAATAAGATGATGGTCAGTTGCACAGTTACAGGCAGCTCGGATAGATTGAATCAGAATATATATGAATAGTTAAGGATTGCTACAATGAAACACATTCCAAACTTACATGTGGATAGAGGCATGAGCATTCAGAGTACAAGAGTGAGTGAGTGAGCGAGCTATCGTCACATCGGCAATATTTTGGCCATATCGTGACGGGACAAACCACCATTGTATTACAGAACAATAAAATGAGAAAGTGAAAAGCCTGTTGACGAAGAACAGTAAAACTACCAGTGTATCGCAGATATCAAAGTAAAACTAGCACGTTGTCAGTAAGTGAAGTAAAGTAAACATAATTATTGTACCTGTGGTTTGCCGA